AAATAATATTTATTAAATTTATAATATATATAATTTAATTAACATTATAATTAAAATATTATTAAATAAGGCTATAAAAGTATTAATAAAAAATAATTAAATTAATTTACATTTAATAGGATAAATAAAATGTAAAAAACTTAAAAATAGTTATATATTATTATAATAATAAGCTATTATAATTAAATATAAGCATTAATTATAATAAAAAACATTATATAAAAACTTATTAATTAACTTAAATATAAAATAGTATAACATAAACTAACACAACTTAATATATGAAATAGCCCTTAATTTAAGCCATTATAACTTTAACTTTAACTTATTATAAAAGTATATAGCACATTAATATAAATACATATTAACATGTAAGCATTTTAACCTATATATAAGTTAATTTATATATGTATTAATATATATTCGGACCAATATAAGCACGTACTATTGTAAATTTCTTTTTAAAGATTTTTTTTATTATATAATTAATTTTATAATTAATTAATTGCAAAAGAAAAATAAAATAAATAATAATTATATAATATTAACACGTAAGCACCGTATCGGAAATAAAATACCTTATTACTAATATTAAAAGAAAGAATAATATACCTATTATTATTATATAAAAGAACATTATATTATTAACTAACTTTAAATAGATTTTTCCTTTTAAAAATATTATTAATACACCAATTTTACCCCTATTATCATTATTTTACTTATTTATTATTTTTATTATATATACGTACCTACTAACAATAATAATTACAAATTTAATTGCTAATAAAAAAGCAATATAAAGATTTGTTAAAATAAATATATAATAAATAAATAAAATTTTTAAAATTAAAAGAATTAATAATATTAATTTAATTATTATAAACTTTATGTTAGTATATATTTTTTTATTAAAATTTAGTTATTTTATTTAATATTTTAATAATTAATAAAAATAAGCAAATAAAAAATAAAAAAATTATTAATTACGAAATTTTAAAAGATAAAAAAGTTAAAGAAAAAGGAATAATGTTATAAACCAATATTAAACGTAAAAAAGGATTAATCTAAAATGCTTAAAAATGGAATTTTAAATACATAAAGTATTAAATGAACCTTGGAAAGCATCGTTAATATTACTAAATTTATTAGATTTATTAAATTAACCAGATTAATTAAATTAATTAAATCCGTAAAAGTTATATGGAATATATACGAATAAAGGGACTTACAGGTTTATTTAAACCATTATATATTTAATCATTCATTTAAGTTTTTTTTAACTATTAATTCAAGTTTTATATTTAACACATATAAAGGGAAAAGCTTTAAGCTTTTTTAATAAACATTTTAACATTTATTTTAACATTTAACTCATATTATTATTATTTACTTAAAAATCAAGATTTATTAGCATTACATTTTAATTAAAGCTTTTTTAAAAGTATTAACTATATTTAAATCTAGTTTTTATAATAGTTAATGTTATTTAAAAATAAAATATAATTAATATATTTAATAAAAAAAATTAATATTAAGATTTATATATATTTTAAAAAAACTTTCAACTTTTTTACATTTAATATATATTTTTTAAAAAAATAAAAAGATTCATTAAATAATAATAACTTTTAAAAAAGAAATTAATAATAAAATTTCTATTGAAAAATAATTTTAAATATTTGTTAATTAATATTTATATTTTATGTATTAAAGTATTTAATAATTTAATTTTTAATATTAAAGGGAGTTTAACGTTATTTAATAAAAAAAACATAATTATAATTTTTTTATAATAATAAATTAAAGCTTATATAAAAAACCAAATAATTTTAATTATTATTATTTATATTTTAAAAAGTTTATTTAATTAACTTTATTATTTAAAGTAATATATTTATAAATGGTTTATATAATTTAAGGATTATATTATATAAACATAATTTAAAAGTTTTAAAAGTAATAAAAACTTAAAATATTTTAATTAATATTAATTAAGTTTTTAAAATAATTATTAACTTTAAAAGTGTGGTAAAAAAAATAAATAATAAATATTTTATATTAAATTTTAAAATTATATAATTTTTAATAATAATAAAATTATGAAAAAAAACTTAATTTTTTTATAATTACTTTATTTATATTAATTAACAATGAAAATGAATTTGCTATTTTAATTTATTTTTAATTATAAATTGTAATAATTTTTAATTTTAAAAGTATAATTTTAAGTTTTTTTTATCGATTAATGTTAATTATTAAATGTATAAAAAAAGCATTTATTATAAACTTATAAAATTAATAATAAAGATTAAAGTTAAGGGTAAAATAAAATTAATAAATATTAATAAATATTATATATTTATTTTATAAATAAATTAATAAATAATATTTAAAATTTATGAAATTATCCATTAATATAATATTATTTAATTATATATAATATAATAAATCATAATATTAAAATTAAATAAAATTAACAAATACTTAAATAATAATTATATTTTAATATTATAATAATAATATATTAAATAATAAATAAAATTACTTTAAAATAATTAAAACATTTTAATAAATATATTAAAGGTCGTATAATAAGCCGTAAAAAGCTATTAATGTTAAATAACTATAAAAGTTATGTTTTTATAGAATTCCAAGAATATTACCGTAATAATAATATTATATGCTTTTATATATTTGCTCACTTCTCACACAAACTTTAATAATTAAATATAATTATTTTTGCACCTTTAAAACGCACGTATTCATTATTTATCGAAAAGTTAATACGTTATAACTTTATATATATTGTAAAAATTTTTTTCTTAATGTTTTATAAAGTGTTGTAAGCTTTATTTATAAAAAGAAATATATATGCAAATTTTAAAATAATTAAATTATACTTTTTAAATAATAATAAAATAATTTTAAAACTTAATATAATTAAAATTAATTATATACTATTATTGAACTTTTAATTATTTAATTTATAGTAATTATTTTTATTTATTAATAACTGTTTTAAATACTTTAAATAATATTATAAAAATTATATATTATTTGTTATTATATTAAAAGAAAAAACTAATAATTTTTAAAAAATAAATTACGTACTTTTTAAATATTATAAAGTTAAAAATAAATAATTATAAAAAGGAAAACCTTTTATTATTAAAAAAGAAAAAGCTTTATAATTTTAAAAAAAGGGTAATAATATTAAAAACAATTAAATAATAATTAAAGGTAATTTTTTAAATAAGTGTTATTAAGCGTTTTAACGTTATAACATTTACGGGAATATAAGCTATAATTTAAAAATATATTAAGCTAAGGTAAAAACATTTAATAATAAAAATTAATTATATAATTAATTAATTTAACATATTATAATTAAATTATAATAATTTCAATTAAAAAAGTATAAAATCGTGGATTATTAACTTATGTAAATTATTAACTTATAATTTATATTATTATATATTAATATTTAATATTATTAAAAAATTTTAATTAATTTATTAAATTTTTAATTTATATTTAATTTATATATATAATAAATTTTAATTTTAATAATTATTATATAATTATTTTTTATAATTATTTTTTTTATTTTTTATTTTTTTATACGTACGATTGATTTTTTATATGTACGTATATGCGATCTTTTCAATACATACGTATGTACGATCTTTTCTATATATATGTAATCTCTTCCATACGTATGCGATTAAAGTTACAATATTTAAGATGTTTACAATACCTACGATATGATACCTATGATACGATACTTACAAGTTACGATACCCACGATACCCACGATACTTACAATACTTACGATACCTACGATACCCGAAAGGTTAAAGACGTAAGACGTAAGATGTAAGACATAAGATGTAAAACGTTAAGACAATTCAAGACTAAAGACGTTCGTAAACTCAGGGCTTTTGTGCACCTCGGACGTGGTGCCTCATGTATTAAATTTAAACTTTATTATTTTTTTAAACCTTTCTTTTTTATTAATTATTTTAATAATTATTTTTAATTTTTTTTTAATTAAAACTATTTCATTTATTAATATTATATTTTATTAGATTAGTTTTTTTAAAAGTTAAATATTAAATAAATTATTTAAAAAAAATTTAAAAATAATAAATTATATATTATTAAAAATAATATTAATTAAAAATTATTAAAATATAATAAATTTATATTCAAATTTTAAATAAATAATTAAATATATAAAAATTATTTAATAATTATATAAAATATTTCTTTTATTATATTATTTAATAACTTTTACTTAAATTTATTAAATTTTTAATTATTTTAAAATTTATTTATTTTTAAAAAATAAATATAATTTCATTAATTACTAGTTTATAATATATTAAATTTCTATTTAATATAAAATAATATATATAAATTATAAATTATTTTTGATTTTATTTTTAAATATTTGAAAAATTAAAATAAATTAAAATAAATTACTTTAATTTTAAAAAGTTTAATATTGTAAAAATATAATAAATTTATTAATAAAGTTTATTATATTTAATTAATATTTAAAATATTATAATATTTTATATATATTATTTTTAATATTTTTATTTTAATAATATAATTTTAAATTACGAAAAAAAGTATAAATAAATACTTTATATATTAATTTAAATTAAAATTAACATTACGGATTTTTACTATTTAATTTAATGAAGTTATAGGTTTTTAAATATTATTAATTTTATAAAAAAATAATTTTTTTAAAATAATTTTTAAAACTTTAAAATTATATATTCAAATATATTTTATATATAATTGCGTAAATAATAATTATAAAAAATTATTAAATTAAAGACCAAATATTTTTATTTAATTTTAAGCTAAAGTTATTTAAATTTGAAATATAAAAGTTTAAAATTAAAATGTGCCGTTTTTTTATCTACTAATTGTAGCCCTTGTCGTATTAATCGTAACCTTTCGCCGGAACTAAATCCCTGGTCGTGCAACAATGATTACAATTGACTTTTACATCCACCAACCGTTTGAAACAGGGTTCAGTTACAACGTCTCTACGAAAGGTCTCCTGGATCTGGAGACTAGCAACATTGTACCTATGGACTCTGATAACCAAGGAAGTAACACTTGTATTCCAGGGGTATTTGCGAGCCAGAATCCCGAGTCCACTGCCAACAGCACTGATATAGCGGCGATACATTTCCGTAATTATCTCCAGGCGTGGACAGTAAGCTTCAGCAAGCATGATACTGGAGACAGTTCGACTAGTATCTGGACGGAATCCTATGGTGGCCGGTATGGGCCAAGCTTTTCTGCCTTTATCCACGAGCAGAATATTCGTATCAAAGACGGTTCTTTGACTGATGTTGAGACTCTGAACCTCACAACGCTTGGCATCATAAATGGATGTGTCGATTTACTCGTCCAGGAAACGTCTGCCCCAGAATTTGCCCACGACGGGAATTCTTACAATATTGCCGGTATCACTGACGGCAAATTTTCAAATGTTACTGATGCATACTGACGTGAAGGAGGTTGTAAGGACAGAATTGACAACTGTCTTAGCCGTGCGAAAGATTTGGATCCGGGCATGTACGGTAACGTTACTGAGGTCAATAAAGCATGTGAGGATGCAAGCGATTTCTGTCAGAACGAGGTAGCATGTCCTCATCTTTACCGTAAGAAATGAGCTTTTCACGACATGGCGCATTGCTACTTGGACGCCTTTCCTGGAAATGAATATCTATACTATCTTGCCAACGAGGATATCCACAAAGAGCTAGGCGCTCCTGTTAACCATACTGATATTTCCAATACTGTCGGAAAGGCGTTCAGCCTAACTGGAGACTACGCGAGGAGGGATCCCAATGGCTACCTGAAGGATATTGCTAGGCTCTTAGACTTGGGTATACAGGTCGCTATGATACATGGCGATCGGGACTTTGCTTGCAACTGGATCGGGGGCGAACGAGTTAGTCCTAAACCCGTCACTCTCCTTGTAGTTCACGTTAAGAAAGCTGGATACGCCGACGTAACTATAGACGATTCTACGCCTGTAGGACAAGTGCGGCAACATAATCTGTTCTCATTCACTCGTGTCTACCAATTTGGTTGTATGGTTCCTGCGTATAAACCGGAAGTTGCGTATGCGATTCTGAACAGAACGATGAAACATAGGGATGTGGCTGCGGGTGATTTACCATAACTGGAGACTATTCGACGAATGGCCTTCCTACTTCGACAACTACCCTTAAGCCGCCTCCTCTTCCTTTAGGGACCTGCTACTTGAGAGGGATGGCTTCTACATGCGCAGAAAACCAGATCGAGGCTATAAAAGACGGAAGTGCTAGCATCTATAATGGCGTAATAGTATCATCGACCTCTTCGCCAGATCTGTGTCCCGACCTGGTAGACACCTTCAGCACTACGAGTATGGGAGGAAAAGGCCAGAACGAGGATTAATTGAACTACGAAGAACTATGAAGAACTACGAACTTGGCGGAGACCTGACTACTAGCATAGCGAGACGTCCCGTCCTAGGTATCACGGTGGTCTTGGGGGAAGGGGGGGTCTATTCGGCGAGAGGGACAGAAGTAGAGTATACCTAAGGTATAGGTACCTAGGTAGTTTTTAGGGACGGAATACGTAGGTACCTACAAGGTGTAATGTACAATACAAGTATTGTACAGAGTACTTGGCCCCCCCCCACCCCCTGGGCCCCGGGAATTGGTGGTGGGGCAAAACAATCAACAAAGCATCAACCCTTCTTCATTCATGTTCTCCCAACTTTCCCAACTTTTACATCATGACTTCTCGTTTCACTGCCCAAAATAAGACGACACAGCAGCGTCTGTCAACCAATACTGTCGGCTTAGTCGCCCTGTCTGACTTCCGCAAACGACGTGCCGAAGTAATCGAGCAACAGGAACGCGAAGCACGAGACGCTATCGTTACTGGAACACCTCTAGACACACCCGAACGTTCGCGCACCAGTACCCCAGACGACGGCAGCGATATTTCGAACCCCCGAAAGAAGAAGAAGAAGAAAGAGGAGAAAAAGACTGCCAAAGGACGTGGCACAAAACTTTCATTTGCTGACGACGAGGGCGAAAATGAAGGGGACGAGAATAGTGCCGGAGGAAGAGACGACTCTAAAAGTGGAGAAGAGTCCGGAGAGAAGAAGTTTAAATTCAAAGCCAATACTTCCGTGTCCGTCGTTCCTCGCGCGGTAACCAAGTCTGCCCTTCGTCGTGAGGCCACCGAAAGAGAAACCCTCCGGCGCGAGTTTCTCATGCGGCAGGAGTCTGTGAAGTTGACTGAGATTGCGATACCATTTGTGTTCTACGACGGGACCGATATCCCGGGAGGCGTTGTCCGCGTCAAGAAGGGAGACTTCATATGGGTATTCCTGGATAAGAGTAGAAAAGTTGGTGCTGATCTGGGCGTTGGTGAAAAGGCGAATGCTAGGAGAGAATGGGCACGTGTTGGAGTGGACGATCTGATGATGGTTCGAGGCAACATCATAATTCCCCACGTAGGTTTTTCTGTTATCCTGTTTTGCATGACACTTCCGAGATCTGCGTATTTAGATATCATAGATTTCTAACTGGGTTATAGCACTATGACTTCCTCTTCTTCATCATGAACAAAACTGTCGGCCCTACCGGCAAGCTGTTATTTGACTACGTGTCCGAAGTCTCGGAGTCAGTACTGCCTAAAGATCTCGCAGACGGGCAAGCTGTCAAAGCCTCTAACACGCAGCCGGCTATAAGCAGTCTAGAGGGAGCTTCTGACGACCCAACCTTCACCAAGGTTGTTGATCGGAGATGGTATGAGCGGAATAAGCACATTTACCCTGCCAGCGTCTGGCAGGAGTTCGACCCGGAGAAGGATTATCAGAAAGAAGTGAGACGTGACCTTGGCGGGAATGCTTTCTTTTATTCTTGAGCAGCCGCAAGCATTCCAATCTGGTCACGGGCCTGACATTTTCCTACACGGTACTGGGGACCGGGATCGAACCGTACTTCTTGATCTACTTGTCATTGTTTGTCAGGTGAACCGGGTTATAGTAAAAATCGGAGTCCACTTACAAAGCGGAAAGTTCACCCAGTTGACCATCGAATAGCCACCCAGATCAGTGCTAGGATCAGTGCTAGGAACCACCATCCTGGCCAAAAGAGAAGGAGACATAACGAGTTACCGCAGGAGCCAAGCATCAATGTGAAGAACTCGAAAACAACCTTCTTTCTTAGATGCCGCACAGACTTTGCCTTCCATAGGGCTGTTACTAGGATGGCCGCATGGTGTTGCAATAGCTTTAAAGCTGGATATGCTTGGCCACCAAGAATTCGGCATACGCAGGAGAGTTGCCAAGCGAACCAGCTGGTTCTGTTATGGAGCGACAAGGACACCGCATGAAGAACTCGTAGGCATCTGAAGATAACTATTAGAGTGAACGCAAGCATTGCGATTACGCTAGAACTTGAGTTCACTACTTGAGTTGGTGCGACGATTATGGCGACCCTGGAAAGCCCCATTTTGGCGTTTGTTCCCCCAGATTTCTAGCAGCCCGTGTCTTTTAAGTCGGTACCAATGGGCCCAGGGAATAGATCAATTTTATCGAAGGGGTCCGGTCGTCTAAATAGGACGTGATGGCTAATGGAATGTGTATCTCCCCCTGGGTCAAATTTGGGGATATGGAGAAGAGGCAGAAGGAGGCAGTAGAACCCACAGGCAAGCATATGCAATGTCACGATGGAAAACTTGGGCTTGATTCAAGCGTTAGATATCGATCTATATCCGGCGTATCGCGCAGTCCATACTTATCACGAGGCTACTTCCCATCTATATAACCATGGCGTCCCTTAGTAGAATGTACAATGTGTCCTGCTTCCAGATTGTACAATCATGTATCCACGTGCCCTTGTTCATTGGCTATACCTGGACCTCTAAAGCGGACCGGGGAAGGGAAGGTTGAATATTGGAAGGTGTTAGAGGCATTGTGTGTCCCGTACATGTAGTGGCTTGAGCCATAAATTTTACTCTGCCTCACCACTTCATTCGACCGTAGAATACTAGACCTGTAGATGTCCGGTTGGGAGCCACATGCTTTTATAAAACGTGCTGGGAGATAGTTGTTGATTGGTCGTGAGAAGTTATATCATCCTGCAGCGGACCCCTTCTGATAACTTCTCCATAGGGATCGCCTACTTCTTTTCCTAGTCGTTGTTATAATCGCAAATCCAATTCGTTTCATCCTTAGCTTTGAATCATGAATAGTTTTATATGCTATATGAGGTTGTATCCATTGCGCTGACAGTACCATTGCCCGTCATTTTTGTCTTGCTCCTTTCAAGCTATAGTCGAGCTTCATCATCTGGATCCTATGTCCGTTCGATTCAGGACCGAGATAACATGAACCACAATGAACTAGAAAGATGTAACTGTTCTGGGTATCGTGATTTGTATAACTACCTAACCTAATGCGACGCGAAATCTCGCGTTTATTCGAGGTCCTAGTCTTGCCTAGCAGTAGCTTGACATTATTAGTCGAAAGCTATTTAATAGTATACTTACTCATACATGAGGAAACCTGGTCCGATCTACCAGTTTCTCCGTCCGCCGCCACGGCCACGTCCGCCGAAGCCGCCGCTACCTCCACTTCCACCCCGACCCATGCTTTGCTCGTAGCCGAAATTCTGGCCTTGGGCACCGCCGAACCCTTGGCCAGGACCCCCGAAATTCTGATTCTGGTTACCCTGTCCTCCGGCACCACTAGATCCAGTATTCTGCATACCTGAAAACATGGCAGACATAGTAGAAGCATCCATTTGACTCGGGTCAAGACCGGAAGCCATCATCTGCTGCATCATCGCTTGCATCTCAGGAGGGATTCCATCCATTCCTGGCATATTTGGCATACTGGTACCTGCACCTGCACCGCTCATCCCTGGCATACCGCCCATCATCATCATTTGCATGTCTTCCAGCATCTTCTTGTTGTTCTGAGCAATGGCGTCTGAGCTGTACTCGCTGCGAACATTGTCTTGCTTGGCGGCATACAAGGCCCAGGTGAACTCGTCGAAGCCGTAGTTGAAGTAGTCGCTCAAGTCTGTACCAGGTTTCCTCCAAGGTTTATCGTTATCAGGCAAATCTAAGACGTTCTTACGTTAGCAGTAGTTGGCGAAATAAGGAGCTATATCCGACAGACCTTCATCAATATTGACCTGGGTGATAGGCTTCCCTACTGGTTTGTATATAGGTATTGTGTTTACATCAACCTTAGATGTAGAGACTGCGGGTAGTTCGTGGCTTGAAGTAGATCGCGATGGCACATCTTCTTTCTTGATAGCGGTAGGCTTGGTCGTATCGCTTGACGCTGATCTTTGGGGTATGTTTCGTATATCGCTGTATCGCGACTGGCTATAACATATGTGAGTAGACATATACAAAAGGGATACTAGAAGATGCTAACGTAGGCGGGGCCGCGTTTGTGCCGTCTTTCCGTTCTGTGATTATATCGATGTCCTTTTTGTCCGGGGCTATTAGCGAACATATATGTGGGAGATATATATATATTGTCATTGGGACGCACTGAATCATCCTCGTCCATGTCGGCACCTTCCTCTTCCTCTTCCCCCTCCTCTAAATCCTCTTCGTCTTGTTGTTGTTGTTGCTGTTGTTGAGGCTGAGACTGTGCAGATGCAGCTGCATTATGATGGTCGGCAACGTAAGATGTATCATTCTGAGTTATCGGCTCGTCGGGAGCATAGAAATCATCGTCGTCGTCGATATCCATTGTGGCTTCCGGATAGTTCGAAGTCTACCGAGGTTGTAATAGGTAAACCGTTGAATCTCGACGGCGAAATAGCTAAAAGAAAGTGTATGTAAAGGTGCAGATGTAAAGTTTACAAATTACTGCAGGTGGACGGGTTCAATTGGTTTTCGATTGGTTACTTCGAAGCTACCTAACCTAGGGATGACAAGAAAGTGTAATAGGTACATGGACGTTGCCATAGGGCCGTTACAGCTACTATACTACATTAGGTATGGTTGTAACGGAGCTATGGCACAAGCTGCTAGGCCGCCAGGCTACAGATACATTAGCACACAGTACCATCTGGGGGGGATGGGGGATGTAAGCACGCTAGCAACGCGACCCTGCAGCTCCAGGTTACGTGATGCAAAAGATTAAAAAAAAATAAAAATAAAAAAAACAATTAGATAATTACATACATGTAAACTTCATATTCCATACCTTTTACCCACCCTTACCTTCATCCCTATACCTACAACCACATACCAGCATACGCCCTTTGTTGAGTATGCGAGCTAAGGTATGTCTCAAATTTCAAATTTACAAACAAAGGACAAAAAAGTATCGATCATGTACTAACTTAGGTACACAGTTATCATAACCTAATAACCTAGCATTCCACGTCCGGGGAATCATGGCCCTTTCAAGATCAGCGAGTGGCCCTGGCGGCTTGTCTATCAACACGTCGTCCGCGAACTTGTTGTGAGTCTACCTACCATCCTATTATTCTTCCCAATTCTCGTGCAGAAAACTGAACATAACGAACTGCATCATCACCCCTCCTAAGTCATCATGTGGACTCAAGCAAGAATAATTCCTAATAGTAGGCAACTTTTGAACAGTAGCCAGCAGCAACCTGCTCCCGGAGGAAGCCTTTTCGGCAACGCATCAAATGCATCAACTACACCTAAGCCATCTTTATTTGGAAATACTACCACCGCCACCACCACTTCTACCGCTACCACTCAACCCTCAGCCAGCAGCCTCTTTGGATCCTCCTCTACTACTCCATCATCTCAGCCACAACAGACGACTTCTAGTCTGTTTGGAGCAAAGACTACCCCTACACCGCAGCAGCAGGGGGGGAGCCTTTTCGGGAGCACGCAGCCTGCTCAGGCTCAAACGCAGGCGCAGGCGCAGGCTCCGATACAGCCCGCCACCGGACTATTCGGCGGCAGCACAACCGGCCAGTCGACATCTACGGGAACTGGAGCTTCTGGGGGGCTGTTCGGTAGTACTACGAAGCTTTCACAGCCAGCGGCAAGCAGCGGGGTATCGTCTTTATTGTAAGCTTAAGTAACTCATATCTCATTTCAACTTTTTGTATTAACTCAATCCAGTGCTGCTAATCAAAAGGCTCAATCCCAACCACAACAACCAGGCCTAGGTCTGGGCAATTCCCTTGGCCTTGGCCTGACCATGGGCCAATCGTCCACCCAACAGACAGTTCCCGGTGTGCGTATCGATATAAGCAACCTCAAGGGAACCACGAGGTTTAATGACCTCCAGGAAGATCTGCAGAAGAAAATAGAGAGTGTCGACATGTTCATCCAGCAGCAAATGCGGAATAAGGACGAAGTGGACTCATTCATGCCTGGTCATAAGGAGATGCTCGAAAGCATCCCTAGCGATGTCAGTTTTGTTGCCAAAAAGTACGAGAGCGCGCATAGTGCACTGGCATCGGCTGCTCAGGCTATCGATGCAGCCCGCGGTTTGGTCGCTCAAGATGTGGATCATGCCCGCCTAAGTTTCCGAGCCATCGATAACTTGAAGTTGCCTGAACAGTACCACACAGCCGGGATATGGTCCCCTAGGCAGCAGTCGGCAGGCACGGCGAACGCGGAGGCGGACGGGCAGGATCTAGTCAGCTTTTTCTCTAAGGCGGCAGATGACATGGAAGATCAAGTTAAGAGATACGACCGAAATATGACTGAGATTGAGATGCACATGCATGGCGTCTCCGATAACTTGGTAGAGCAGTTGCAGAAGATGATGGCTAACAAGAATGGGGCGCCATCTGGCCCCAACGAGAAAGCCCAAGAGCTTAGCGCTGTGCTTAGGGAGTTGCAGCAGGGTATTCTGAAGGTGGCTGGCGATGTCGCAGGCGTGAGAGAAAATATGACCCAGCTCCAGTTGGGCAATTTCATTAGCAACGACGGCGACCGCAATGGTGTCTACTAGGTACCATTTTGATTTGCAGGACTGCGTATTATGTGGCTTAGATACCCTGGTGAAAATGAAAATAATTAACGGGATATGGTTTAATGAAGTAACAACTGTCAAATTCGGACACATACACCTATTTTCCTGGATCCCGTATTTGAATCCTTCGGAGAGGATCGACCTTGGTAGACAGGTTACCATCCTGCGTGTGCCTAGTCCAGTGCGTTTATCCTGATACAGCAGTAGGATGTCATGACACATATCTAAAAAAAAAAGAAGAAAAGAAGAAGAAGAAAAAGAGTTGTACACTATAAGGCTCAGTATTGACATCTTATATGGTGTACACGAGAAATATCGTGATAGTAATGATTGGTCAATATCAGTACAATTAGATAGCGGGTGCTTTTATATCTAACCTAGCTACTGAGGATACAATATGGGAAGCTTTCGATGAAGCTTACACTCTGTTGCCCTATGTTAAACTACTGCCATAGCAATACCCGCCAACGCCAACCCTTGAGTAGTTTTATATCGTCCTCTCCAAGGCTCTGATCTCCCCTTTCGATTTTGCCCATGAGCCGTTTTAGACGTTTCGACACGGTTCTAGCCACACGCATCGATACCTCGCTCTGAAATACATAAAGAATAGCCAATACAAAGAAGGCTACTGAGGCAAACTTGCCTTTACCGTGAACGGAATCCAAGATGCGAGCAATGAGACCCTTGCTTCTTTTGAAGGCATACTCGGTGTCGTTAGACTCCTCGTCTTTCGACGAACGACGAAAGACCCTACGGATGGCGGGGATGAAAGACGCCCTGCACCTGTATGAGAAACCATAGACGAAAAGTAGTCGGTCCATGTGTCATGCCGCTGGTATTCGAGATAGGAGGGAAGAGATTCCATGGCATAATTTGGCATCTGTATGGCGGGAACTTACACTAAACCACCTAAAAGCCACCGTCGCCATCTATGTGCCTCGACCGCCTTGGCTAAATCCGATACTTCGCTCCGCAATAGCTGCAAGTCACTCATGACGATGCTCTGCTGTGCTTGGAGGCGACGCTCGCTGGCTGGATCATCATATCGTCGCTTCTTGTATTGTGACACATACTCTGCGAGGGAGGATTCGGAGGCCGTCCTTATCGATTGTAGGTCTGTTCCCTCGAAAGGTGTAGAGACCGGCTGTTCAAACTTAGGATCTGGCGGCAATTGTGGTGGACCCGAAGGCAGCGGGGCCGAAGCTGAGGGTGGTGCCGAGTACGATGGCATCGGCGCTTGCTGGTAATCCATTGATTTCAGGCGAGGAAGCGGGTTACGAGAGACGTGAAGCTGAATGAGAGTCAATTACCTAACTCGAGCCCCCAGAGAGCGATTAAAACTACTTCCATATGAGGCCGTCAATTTGATAATTATATTCGTTTTATTTTGTTCTATCCCTCCCTGCAATCAGTATGGGGGTTGAGGTCGCGGGGTATCCGTTCAGCTAATAAGACATGCAGGCTCGGCGAAATAGCCAGGTTTGGGGACTGGGTTGAGCAGTAAGCACCTAGCCACCAACCTGCATGATGATGATGATGCTTGTTACCGGAATCTTTTAACGAGTTTATATCCCCAATTACATTAGATATTTACACACAACTAATTCTTACCGACGACGAGTAGAACGGCTCGCCTAGACTTATCCAGACCTAGACATTTCACTATGAAGTCCCCTATAAGAAATAAACTAGAAGGGTTTTAATAGGATGAGATGGAAGGAGACGGCTTTGGCTCATTCATAGTTTAGTAGTCAGAGCAAAGGGCTAAGCTGTCGTCGTCTATAACAGTAGAGAAACGCTTAGTATTTACTCAAGGTACCTAAGTTAGCAAGAGAACTAACGGTGCAAGTAATCCCCCGGCCCTTTAAAGCTATATATTCCGGTGTGCAACAAGATCTATCAGCCTCCCCGACCGTTACGGAGCGGGAAACCAAGCCATGATGGAGACAGTCTACACCCCTAAATGGTTACAGATGCAATCAACGGCATGATAAAGCTAATGTAATATCAAGAAGCTAATCTGGATAACCTATTATAACTTGATTATAATACCTAGCCCTGGACATCTCTCGCAGGTTGGCTATGTTTGGTAGGTATATAGTAAGAACGGCCTCGCACATAGTTCAGTGGCCAAACGTGTAGTATTTAGGTAGCAGACAGTGGAAGTTACATACCGAGAGGTTACCTCTTACCTATAGGGTTAGGTACGTACATATGTAGTTACCGAAATAGTGTAGATCGGATCAGCTGCGCCTTCCGCGCTGACAATCTATAGGAGGTACCAGCCGGGATGAATGCGGACATTCCATCGCCGGTACCTACCTAGCCTTTTAACGAACTTATACAGGCATAAAATTAGGTTCATCTAGGTGCCTATATGAGCATTTATAAACTAATAAACTACCCGTATTCAGTAAGACACAGATGTACTGCGGGGACGCCTAGATTCGAGTAGAATCGTTGCACAAACATTTTTGAATTTCTCTTTTATCCAAATCAATGGTGCGTGTAGATCGGGAACTCGGCATCATTTCTGAATCTCTGGCGCTCTTTAAATATCGCTACACGATAGAGGTTTGCAGAAAAAAAAAAAAAAAAGGCTCGGCCGAAAGCCTTGCACGTTACGTTGACAGCGTAATCCAATCCGATTGACTGTCTATTAAATCCTGACCGAAGCGTCGCCAAGGACTTCTAATCCCGCATCTCCTTTTTGCTTGCCTTGTAGTGTGGACGGGGCTAGATAGGGGTGTAGAAAATTTCAAGATAAAGGATCCGGCCCGCCCCCTTTTAATCCGTTGCGGCCGAGAAAATGAAAAAAAAAAAAGGGAAAAAGAAAAAGGATATGACGCCAGGCGCCGGGTTTGGAGAGCATTGCAGTAGGTAGTAGGAGGCGTGGAGGCTAAATTAGAAGAAGTGGGCACCTAATGGAGCCTTTCATCATCATTAGGTATTTGTAGCATAGGACCATAGGTACCAATAAGCCGTACATAGTACCTTAGGTACCTACTATGTATTTAATGGTACCAGGTAACATGAGATTCACGATGAGAATACCTATACCAGATAACCTAGATCTAATACACAAGTACACAGTACATAATTCTGTAACGGTCTAAGTGCCAGCAGATCGTCTTGTTGGATATTCCGGCGGACAGGCAAGGAACGGCCGATCTAACCCGGTACCATGGTTGATTGAATCAGTAGCGTTGAAACTGATACATGATAGAAAGTGCTTGACTTGCCCCCTCTGTAGATACTAAATAGACCGTAGAGGAGACAGCATCAACAAACGAGATACGTATTGTACCTAGGTAGGTACCTATGAACAGTGCTGGTTGGTGCGCGGGGGCCACCCACATCACCTATATTCAAAGCAGCGGAATGGGCCGTCAGGCTCGAGAATTAATGGCCGGGTCTTGGCATTTCTCTCTAGAAACAGTACCATCTCTAACACGAAAATAACCACAGGAATAAATCGTAGAAAATTGAAAAAATTAATAATTATATACAGAATCTTCTAACAAATATCGCAATATTTTTTATTTATTTTTAATAGTACTTATTGCTTGACAGAATTGAAAGTTTGAGAATGCCAAGACCCGGCCATTAATTTTCGAGCCTGACGGATGGGCTGACAAGAGCTGTGCAGTTTCGGTCATCGCATAAAATATTGGAACTACCTAAAGTTGATAATCTTAGGTACCTAGGTAGTTATTCGGTACCTAGGTAAACTTACCTAAGGTGAATGGAGGTTACTCATCTTACAACGTGAATCTCACGTCTCACGCATAGCGGAGCGAGCTGACGAGCTTCCTTCTTTTCTTCAATACCAAGTTCCCGAAACACGCGCGCACAACTGCACGGTCTATATTTAGGGTGCCAGACGGCGATTGGCGTATTCGAGGTGCATTTTCACATCCCGCACCGGCTCTGCTTAGGTTCAACGGTAGTGTATGATATCCACTACCAGTCTACCCAGGTTTTGCTACTTGTAGTGCTATGACGTCCTGGACGTCCAAGGAAAACTATCGGAAAATCGGTGGTTCCACCGCCTTCCGGAGGATTGAAACTAGGTACGAGCGGGGATCAAGAACGGAAAAGGATCATAGGAATTTATCGAACACCTGCCTACCTATCCATGGAACCCTGCGAATCTTGGCTTTAGGTACTAGTAGGTACATTACCTAGGTACATATATGTACCGGCATACGTACGAAGTAGTGTTGTGGGATTTTACGTCGACCAATCTCTATTGAATTCTATGCTTTACAACTTTATCTTCCCTTAACTAAGTGCGCTGCCATAGTTATGTGGTAGTGGGTTGAGACTATGTTTCTTACCCGTTGGGCGATAGTACAAAAAAGAAACCTAGGTAAGCTAATCAAGTTCCTAGTTGGCCAGATACATGTCTGCCCGAGGAGGGGGGTCGGAGGTAGAGTAGAGAATGTTTGTGTTGAGAAGGGCGTTGTAGGATGACAGTGTCGGGAGCATTTGACTTGGCACATCCTTAAGTATCGGGTTAGACGTAGATATAAAATCCTAGGGTTAACTCTCTAAACGATTACGCGCAAGCGGCGTCGCATGATCTCGTGCTGTATTCATACCGCGACGGGAGGAGGGTACTTATTTGTATGTAAGGTCGGACGGAAAATGCACCAAACGAGTCCGGTGCCGACATTAGAGTAAAACCAAAGAGGATAGGGATGACCATGATTGCGTGCACATGGCACTGCAGGTGAGTGTCACCCAGTCATCGAACCATCTCCGCTTCGGACTATCCGCCGCCCGGATATCCCGAGTGTAGGATAGGTAGCGTACCCAGAGTGGTAGGTTAGGTTATATATGTCCTATGCAGGTAGGCAGGTATCTTTATTATTTATAGAACAGGTAAGCAAAACTTGATAGAGTTTGGTCATATACCTAAGTAGGCAGTAGGCATAATTTAAACCCCTATTCTACGTTTCGGCGACGGCGAGGCGGCCCCATCTCGGTCAGCAATGCGTGACCAGTGGGAGGTTTCCCGTCCCGTGTGTACCCTTCCAGTGGCCTGTAACACGCACGACATGATGGGCTGCGCATAGGACGACGGCCGGCGGAATTTTCAAGTAATAGCCAACGTGGCGGGGTTGGGTTGCCTGGTCGAGGTTGCATCCAGTCAGCCCCGGCTAACCGATTCAATGGCTTCGTCAGCCGAATAACAACCCCCGAAACATATTAACGATACTATCGTTTTTCCTGTGGCATACCGGGTGGGTAAGACGAACCGATTGAAACGAGTACGTCCTCGGAACAAATACGTAGCGGTATATTTTCTCCAGCTTGGAGCTTTAAAGCTTGGAGGCGTTGGCTGTAGCGGCGGATTAAATAATATTCACCTACGTATTTGCGAATCTCGATGGCGCCAGGGGTTAAATATCCCGAATGCTATTTTCCCCTTTCTTCCTTAAAATGAAGGTTTGACAGCATAATATAATAATATAACGACACGGGGTGCCTATCAGCTCACCAGACAATCAACCTGATTAAAAAAGGACATTCTCGGGAGGTAACTTTAGATTAGGAGGCTGGTTGAAATTTGTTGGTAGGCAGTAAAACAGGGACCGACACTCCGAAAATGCCCCAGCCCACCCGCCGCTCTAGACCCCGAGTCCGCATTCACAGTATGAAGTATTTTATTTGTGCTAGTTTAGTCACTTGTCCGAGTTACTCGCACAGAGGCAAAAGAGGCGTGTGCTCCTTTTTTTTTTTTTTTTTTTTTCCTTCCTCTCTTTCTTTCTTTCTTCCGCACATTAGGTGCGTATCTAGTCAAAGCGCATCAGGTTAAGCTTTCTATTTTCTCCCGTCATCCGTCTCCGAGGTTTAAAAAGTAGCGTACGTAATAGGAGCTCGGTCGGCTTGCCGAATTGTCCATTTCGGATTTATCTTTGAAAGCGGTAACGAAACAAGCAAAATGAAATAAACCCACTCAACTAAGATTACCTAACTTGATTTAAGGGAGGGACACTTCATTCCCATCGAGAATAACAATTTGCGAGAGTATGCCATTGTTATATATATATTCTTTAATATGTTAGTTGCAATCGTCAGGAAAGAGGCGAGACGAGGCGAAAAATAAAAATAAAAAAGGTAGAGCAAAAATACACGGGCGAGGACGGATTACGAAGTTACGTGTTCACGCCTCCCTTCCCGCATTGCGCTGTCACAGTATGTATAGACAGTACGGCATAGCCCCGTACCATTGCCTAGCCAAATTGGTAAACTCCCACGCGAAAGAGACGACCAGCGCCGGGAGCCGTGGAGCCGAAAAAAGCCCCCTCCAGGGAAAAGATGTTTGAGTCTAGGGATTTCATCAGTCTGTCTCCGGTCGATCACAGAAAAAAAAGAAAGAAGAAAAAAACAACTTGTTTGGCAACGAAAATATCACTCTTTAATTTCCCATAATACTTTGATGCACGCTATCATTTGAATGCTTCCATATCAAACCACCTAGTTAAATGAAACTTAATAGAATACCAAAAAAAAGGGTTGACCGATAAAATAAAGTCATTCACAAACGCGTCTGGTGAGCACTTGATGCACGGGCGAACCCCCGGTTGTGGCCCCCCACAAGGGAAATAAAAGTACACAACGAGAAAGAGTAGAGGGCAAAAAGAGGGAAGCGCGAGATACCTAAGGAAGAAAGAGCCGGGCTAGGCCGTATCTTGCACCCCCTCCCCCGAATTGACCGCCTGGAAATCATCAGTGCTCGAGGTTGGCTCAGGTGCGCGCGCTGATTTTTAGCGCAAACGCCCGAGTCTGGTCCGTCTTAATTTCTATTCTCCCTCCCGTCCTGCCCCGTCTCCTGCAACATCCCTCTCCAGCGGCTTCGCGCCAGAGCGCCATCACCCCAGGTTCTATCCTTCCAAGAAAAAAAAAAAAAAAGGGTTCCATTTTCTTTTTTCCCTTTTCTTTTCTTCCTCAATTATTCCACTTGGCTTCTCTCCCACTAACAAGCCCCCCCCTCCCCCCCTCCACTCCGACCGAAACTTACACAACTAAAAAATTTCCCATCCACCCGCACCGAACATCCACCGCCTCCCGTCTTCTCCGTCTACAAACAATTATTCCATCACTCTATCATCTTCTACCGGACCTGCATTCGGAGTGTCGCCTTATTGTTCGGAACAACATCATCATCTATTCCTTCACTTGCGATACATCTTTGGTCTATCATCTATCATGGCGTCTGTCGTCCGCGGCACGTCGCTCAGAGCCGGCGGTGCTTGTGTGCGTTGTCGCAAGGGAAAGACGAAGTGTGTCTACGAGAATGGTCGCGCACCATGCAGGAATTGTGCGAAGGGAATGCATGAATGTTACTTACCATCAGAGAGTATGGCTCACCACCATGGTCAATCACCAGCAAGGCCGCCCCGTCCGCGAGAGAGTCTACCTGGAGAGCGAAGCGTGTCGGCAACCAGCGACCGCCAGCCTGTAGCGACCGGCGCTGTTTTGCCGCGCAGTTTGCAATCTAATAGTGAAAAGTAAGTTGTCTTTTACTTCTCTATTTTTTTCTTCTTCTTTTCCCTTTGTCTTTCCTATCGAGGCGGCCATCGCGCACTTCTTCATTATATATCTCTCTTTCGTCTCTTTCCTCCCGAAGCACCTATTCCCTTATGGCCTCTAGTCATTATTACTGGGTGATCCTGGTGTTTCGGTCTTGATCCAAGTTGGCGGCAGCTACGCGCCCCGAACATATGCCTGGGCTTGGTGATCTGTGCCCCCTGGCGTCGTCGGTCAAGGCAGAGTGCAGTCCGGCCAAAACCATCCCCCCAATATTCAACCACTAATCTGATTCTTCTGGGTGGCTGTGAATGCGATGGATGCCGGTTGCCTCGTCTCGCCTCAGCATCTCCAGCGTCTTGTTCCAAGGCCCCCAATCCTCCCCATTCTGCCCTCGTCTACTCGTCTGCTCGTCTGCTTCCATACCCCGTTTGTTCCTACAACCCCCAACACGCGCTCCTATTTCAGTCCAAATACCCTTGTCCTCCCCCAAACTTCGTTCGCGTTGATCGGCTCCACTAACACGTATTTTCGTCCGTCTCCACAGACTCAATCCGGAACTGGTGACGGAATGTGAGAGGGTAATCAGCAAGACCATTCCGTCTTGTGTTGCCTTTCACAAACCTTCCTTCCTACAGAAGCTCAAGAATGGCACCCTTGAGGCTAGTATTGTTAACGGTCTTTTGACTTGTGCTGCGCGGTAAGCAAACATAGCCATTTTCTTGTTGTCTTCCTGTTCATTGAACATAATTCCCCGGAACCCGCCTTATCCACTTCTAAAAAGGATTCCGGGCGAATGGTTCATTCATCTCCGGAGTTACATTCGCGTCTCGCCTAACCCACCAATAATTACCACTTTCCGCAAATCCTTGCCACCACCTGGCTTTCCGATCGCCTATGAAAATATATCGTTACATTTGTTTAAGTGAACTGGGCTTACCTAACCATCAATCTCGTGTATAGGAGTTCTCCAGCCTTGATTCGTCGTTATGGCGGTCAGGGAGGTGCCTCGGCTGCGGCCGAGCATTTTGCCGTCAAGGCCATCAATATAATCATGCAGAACCTGGACAACCCGAGCTTGGCGGATATTCAGGCTCTTTGTCTTCTGATCATCCACGAATGGGGCAACCGCAATGCCGTCCGTGCTTACATCTATCTTGGCCAAGCCGCTCGTATGGCTCAGATGTATCGGATAATTGCCGTTCACCAGAACCGAGACGATCCGGACCAGTTCATTAAGGATGAATCATTCCGTCGCACCCTGTGGTTGATCTATGTGCTGGACTGCTTCCTCACCAGCAGCCCCGGTCGGCAACCGGCCGTGTCCCACCATGACATCAAAGATGTGCCACTTCCGTGCCTTGACATGAGTTACAACTTCGGTACGCCTGTGTATGTTCGCACCCTTGCGGGTGGACCGCCTCCGACGCTTCCGACGCCGACTACACCTATCTCCGAGGTTGGCGAATTTGGACACATTGTGATGGCAACCCAGGCTTGGCGTAACGTTGTTGAAATGCTTACTACCGTAACGAGCGCCACTTTCTCCGAAGAGGACTGTGCTTCCCTTGAGGCTGGCATCGAATCTGTTCGCAGTTCGTTGCCGCCGCACTTTATGGATAACAAAAGTAGGCAGATCAACCTACACATCACCATGGGCAGTGGATACACGTACGCCATGCTGCATTGTCTCCTCCATTGCGCTACTATCATGGTCAATCGTCGTAGGCTTCTTCACCTTGTTACTACCGATGGATTCAGTCATGAGACTTGGCGTATGGTGCCACATGTTCACCTGCAGACAGTCGACCGCGTATTTGCGGCTGCTGACAGCGTGGTGTCACTCCTACTAGCCTTGGAATCTAATGCGGATAAGGACGCCGTCCTTAACTTCCCCTTAGTTATGCTGTTCTCGTGTTTTACAGCTTGCTCTACTGTGGCATGGTTTAGTTTGAAAGGCTTGACGCCCGGCGACTTGAACGAGACGGCCGAATCGATAGTTCGTGATGGCATGCGCTTCCTTCAGGATGGAGCCAATATTTGGATTCTGGCTGTTCCATGGTACCGCCATCTATCTGTCATGAATAAAGTCCTCCGGAATGGCGACAGGACACTCCAGAGAGCACAGCCTGACCCTATTGTGCCCTTGATCAAAGAGGACACAGCAAGCCAACCGGATAACCCTGATAGCATGGATTACGAGCGCCCCCAGTCGGCGAACGCTCAAGAACAGACGGACGGTCGAGGTAGCGAGCCTCCCCGAAAGTCTGGATTTACGACTATCAACGGGGGATCGGTTGGGGTGTCACCACCGGCCACTGCGAGCCCTCCTCCGGGTCAGACGAAGGCAGAGTCTCCTGCACCTTCCTCCTCTGGACAACCGGCCGAATCCGCGCCGGCTGCTGGTAACGATATGACCGCCGCCGAGCTTTGTGTGGCATTTGAGCGCCAGCTGTTGGAACTGGACGATCTCGCTGCCTTTATGGGCGGAGGTGTGTGAAAACCCGGGGATTAAAGCCCTGCGCTCTCTAAACCTTGTACTACTTGCACTCACGCATTATCCAAGTGCCGTCTCATGATAACCCGGCGTATCTTCCTACGAGGTTGTGTTAATAAGGGAAACATGGGTTGGCGTTAGTTGGTATTCTCGAGTTACCCTATGGGGGGTTTCCTATTGTTTAAGATAATTAGTTTCGGCCATCGCAATATACCGCAGGACTTCGAAGTCCGCATGGGTCAAATGGCTATGGTTTCCAGCCGAGAGCCCGCGGTATTGATAAGAGGATGAAGGTCTTTAAATATGGTGGGATCTTGGGCGGCGCTTTATGCATGCAGATTTGTTTTTCCGTCGAGGCTTGAGCATATGCTTTTACTGTGGCTGTCCACTGCTGTCCACCTCTGTACGTGAAGGGGCAGAGAGGGAAGGCTGCGGAAACAGCTGAAACAGAATTGAAGGGGGGATAAGTGGAATTTTCTTATACGCACTACAGCAGTGTATTGTTCTAGGTGATGATGCCTGATTGCTATAGTTGAAGATGGCTGGGGGGGGCTTTGAGCCAACTTGTACTATTACTACTATTATAAGGCATTTTATTTGCAATTGCTAGTTAATTCAACTATGGTTTACCATAGCTATATCAAATGGTTCTTGGCATGTTGACAAAGGTAACCTTGGCACCAGGTATGTTTCTTGTATGTTGAGTAACTTGTTAATTCAGCATTTGTCCCTGTTTCTTAGAGCTTGCGTAATACACGGGTCACGTGCATTATTCAATTATCATTACAGGTGCACTATACCTGCTAAAACCTGAGCTAAGAAGTTTTGCCTATTTTACCACAATCCAACTGTTCCTCGCCTTAGGTAGCAACAACAACAACGCGTTACTACACGTTACCTACCTAGGTATTTTCTGTAACACACCCGGTACCTTTAAGATGCACCGGCTTTCTAAGATAAGGAGAGGAGATGAAATATGCCGAGCCAGGACAGTTGTCCCAAACGTGGGACAAAGCGAAAATTAACTGAAGATGGACTGCTCGATAAAGGTTTTAATAAGCCACTTCTCATGGAACACGCGATCTTTTCGCCAACATCAATCGAATGCTCCGTTGCCTGCAATGACCCCCCGTCGAAGCCAGTGGCACCTGGAGGGCCAAGGGATGACCATTACTACAAGACGCTTTATACTGAGGAACTAGACTTCCGCGCGCTTGGACAGTACGACCCCGAATTCAAAGCTGTGCTAGAGCGTAGCTCGCATATCGACTTTAATAATCCTAAGTCGGTCATGCAGCTAACCAAAACCCTCCTCAAGCGGGACTTTGGTTTAGCGGTCGATTTACCTGTGGACCGACTCTGTCCTCCTGTACCTAATCGACATAATTATATCCTTTGGCTAAAGGATCTTCTTGACTCTTCTTCGCCTCCGTGCTTTGACACTGGAGAACTGGTCTCAACTCGGCGCGTGATTGGGTTAGACGTAGGCACAGGGGCTAGCCTCATCTATCCGCTTCTAGGTTGTGCCCAACGGTCATCGTGGTCATTCGTTGCTACCGATGTTGATGCGAAATCCTTGTCATACGCACGCAAGAATGTTAACTTAAATAATATGCAATCGCGGATTCGGGTAGTCAGTCGGACCGTTACGGATTGCCTGATCCCCCTAGATGAGCTTGGGTTGGAAAGTATTGACTTCACCATGGTCAATCCTCCATTCTACACCTCCGAGATCGAGCTCGCAGATCTAGCCAAGCAGAAATCCCGACCGCCGAATAGTGCGTGCACAGGTGCACCAATTGAGATGGTATGCGCTGGGGGCGAGATTGGCTTCATACAGCGGATGATCGACGAGTCCTTAGTCTTAAAACAAAGAGTGCAGTGGTACACATGCATGCTTGGCAAACAGTCAAGTTTAGAAGTGCTTGTTGGCATTTTGAAAAGCCATGGGGTAACTAACTATGCCGTTACGGCATTCGTTCAAGGGAACAAAACGCGTAGATGGGCTATTGGGTGGAGTTTTGGCCCCAGGAGACCGTGCCTATCAGCTAGTAGGGGTTGTGAGCCCTCGGCCGGAAAGAAGATCTTACCTGACCCTACGGAGACGACGATTTTTACGGGATCCAGCTTGCAAACCAAGCCGGAACAGCTGAAGCTGGCCATTTGCAATACGATGGATGGCCTCAACATGAGTTCCTGGAGCTGGAGCACGCAATTGTCTCAGGGCGTAGGTTTTTCCAGTGGTAACGTTTGGAGTCGGGCTTACCGTAGAAAACGGGCGAGAGAAAGGGAATGCCTGAGCTTAGTCAAGGGAGATACTGCCGAGGCCGCGCCTTCGCCTTCCTATTCAAAGAACCCTAGCCAACAGGCTGAGCAGAAAACTGCCCAGTGTGTGTTTGGGTTTTCTCTGGCTATACAAGTTTCAAGAGATGCGGAAAGTGAGAATCATATGGCAGTATTAGCCCGCTGGCTCCAGGGGGTAGACTATACAGTTTTTGAGAGCTTCACAGGGTTTCTTCGAAAGACCATCCTCTCAGCAATCCAAGAGCAACAAAGCACGATATCGAATCCTAAGGCTAGACGGCGATCATCATAAAAGAGAAATATCTGTGGTAACTACTTGGAGTTGCTAATTATCATTCTGATTAGGCTCACTATATACTCGGGTCCTATTCCTGCACTACAGATAGACCGTAGTACGCAACCCTTTCCCTTCTTGTATTCGTTGCTATGCCACATAGAGGTGTACATATCCTTGTTAATCCTGCGGATCCTACAATACTTTCAAATCCACCACACATTTTATGTTGTTTAGTCCTCGATACGAACGAAGAAATTCGTTTCGCTGCCCTCTTTCGGAACCACGGTAGCACGTTCGACAAGCTCATCGCCGACGGCTAAGCGCAGCTTTTCTGCTGTGGCTGGAGCGTTGAGAACTAGTGGTTCTATCACCCCGTTCATCTCTCTCGCAGCTTTTACCGCTTCCCTGAGCGCAAAAAATACTGTCGAGCCCAAGAAAAGGGGTGGTTCCCCAATACCCTTGCTGCTTTGGATGGAACGCAAATGCTTCCAGCTTATAGCATTCCCATCCGAGTCGTGTCTTAGCATGGACACGTTGAAAACCTGAGGAATATCCGAGAACCCTTTTACAAATATCAGTCCACGTAATTCTGTCGGTATGTAACGTCCTTTGTTACTCACCTGGAATCTTATACGCCCCAGGTCCCTTGGTGAAGATTTCACCTTCCCGTGTCCACAGAGATTCCTCCATCGTGAATAAGCCTTGTCCTTGGACGAAAGCCCCTTCGATTTGGCCGTAGTCGATCGAAGGGTTGATCGAACGACCTACGTCCTATCTTGCCATTAGACAGAATTTACGGTTGTAATCCGTTTACCACTCACCATTATTATATCCGTTCGTAAAACGGTATGATCGCCTGTAAGCAGATCTAATTCCGCCTCCGTGATAGCAACGCCTTGAGTAAAGTAGTAATACATGGGAAGTGGATCTTTGTAGTTCCCCCATTTGTACCCTAGTAGTGGTCAGTGTACGTGGCATAGATTAACTGGAGATCGAGAAACTCTACCTATCTTGGGCATTTTCCAGAACCCGTTGGCTGCGAGGTTTACTCGGTCTCGGTATGCGGCATGGGCAATTACTGATATCGGGGCAGCACGCCCGAATCGCTCCCTATAGGGTGCGATGCGCTCGTTGAGCTGATCGCAAGCGTTCTTGACAGCCATGCCGTTAAGATCACTACCCGACGATGCGGCGGTGGGCGATGGGTTGGCAACTTGGTCAGTCTGTGAGTCTTTATTGAATATTTGGTCCACGCTCACACCGAGCTCTTCAGCCGCAACCTGGCACATCTTGGTATATAGGCCTTGTCCCATCTCTGTGCCTCCGTGGTGGAGAAGAACCGAACCGTCCTCGTAAATCCTTACGTATGCACCAGCCTGGTTCAGATGTAGAGCAGTGGCAAAGCTGTGATGCAATATTAGCTGCTGTCTTTTTACTGATACGGAAGAAAAGTCAGGGGGTAGTCTACCTGAGCCCGAATTTTGTAGGAATCATACATATCCCTCTTTTCTTATAGCGGTTACTGGAATTGAATGTTCGAACTTCCCTTTTCCTATTTTCGTAGTCTGCGTTGGCGCTGAGTTGTTCTAGCATAGTCGGGATGTGGAAGTCGACATCGATGGTCTGTAAAAAGGGGGTCAGATCGCCTTGCTTGTATAGATTTTTGAGTCGAAGTTCGTCAATATCCATGTTGAGGCGTTCGGCAATAACACTCATATAGGACTCGGCAAAGTACATGGCCTGCGGCCCTCCGAAGCCACGGAACGCAGTATTAGATACCGTGTTGGTCTTGCATACCCATCCACGTATCCAAGCATGTGGTATATTATAGCAATTGTCGATGTGGGTACAAGCCCGATCCATCACAGCTCCAGACATATCTAGAGAATATCCTGCGTTGCAGTAAATATCCGCATCGAAGCATTGGATAATCCCGTTTGCATCAGTACCGATCTTCCATTTGCATTGCATTGGATTTCTCTGTCCGCTGGTCGACATGTCCTCATCGCGGTTTAGCATGATTCTCATAGGACGACGTTCCTTCTTAGCAGCGAGAGCTACAAGGCATGCCGCCGGCGTCGTTCTCGACTCCTTTCCACCATACGCACCTCCAAGACGTCGGACTCTCATATTCACCCTACTCATAGGTACACCTAGCACTTGAGCGACGAAGATTTGGTTCTCTGCTAGGTTCTGTGTGGAAGCATAAACTTCCATGGAGCCGTCCTCGACGTGCGGGATTGCCAATGCGGAAATGGTTTCTAGATAGAAATGCTCTTGGCCGCCTAGCTTCGTCAACCCTTCGAAGACGTGCTCGCATTTCGCGAATTCGGCATCCAGAGGCCCCTGAATAGCAGCCCCCTTTTTAAGTTGCTTCCCATGCTCATAGAAACTTTGGGCTTTGATCGCTTGGCTGATGGTAATTATGGCTGGTAGCGTCTCGTATGTCACCTTGACCTTAGCGGCAGCTGCTTGGGCCTGTAGAGCTGTCTCGGCATATACTATACCTATCGTCTGGCCGTGTGAATAAACTTCATCTACCGCAAATAAGGGTTCGTCCGCTCGGATTGGGCCCCACCTATTGCTTGCTGCCGGTATGCTGTCCTTGTCAAGATAGCCTATAACTCCTGGCATCTCAAGCGCAGGGCTCCAATCTATTTCAAGTATTTTTGCGTGTGCTTTCGTTGATAAGACAAGAGCACAATGCAATTCATTGTTTTGTCGAGGCATATCGTCAACATACTCCGCCTCGCCGGTGCAGTGCTTCAAAGCCGAAAGATGTGGTATTTCTTTGCCCACGACATTGGTACCTGAGCTAACGAAGTGATCCCGGGTCCCCGAAGATACCCCTCGGCGTATTTCCTGTATAGCATTATCTTCGACTTCAGCAAGGCCGAGCTCTGCGATACTCTCCTGCCAGAAACGACAAAATAGTGACAAAGTGAGGACTGTTGTAACTATTAGCAAGTAAGAGCAGGATAGAATTTCCGAGACCTACCCTTTCTATACTGAGCCATGCCCCCCGGTACGTCGAATTTCAAGTCAAAGTCCTGTAACAGGGCTTGCAAAGCTTCTTCACGCGCGCTGCTCTCTGCCCATCGCTTCCCTATCACCACCTTCTGGGCTGTAGTCGCGAGCGTAGTAGTTGGCGCCATACCACCATAAGCGAATGCCGCTTGTTCGACGAACCCTTCTTGACTTAAACGTACTCGGAAACTAGCAGTTACGATCGCGATGTCATCATCTTTCCTTTTCGCTTGCTTATATGCCTTTGTGACCTCCAACGTCTCCGGCGATGGTAATGGTACCTTAACATGTGTAATTATACCATTTAGGGGCAGCTGGGTTGTTCGATACTTAACGAAGAACGTCGAAAGAGGTATGTCGTAGGGACTATTTCCCTTGGTCCTCACAGTGATCACAGATCCTGCTGCTAGTAATACTGGCGCGGCATCGGATATAGGACTTGCTGTCGCTAAGTTTCCAGCTAAACTGGCAACGTTCCGAATCTGACGACCGGCGAAGTATCGGAGTTGCTTTCTAAGTGCCTCAAGTGCACTTGCTCTAGTACCAAGTCTTGAGAACAACGCAGCACATAGTTCTTCTACCTTGGTCAGAGGCATATTCCCTGGGATGGATACTTCCGAAATGGCCTTAATGTCAATATCGCTTTCAGGTGCTTGGAAGCTGCTAAGCTCTTTTATATCTGAGACGTAGACACAAACTCGATATTCGGACTTCTTGAAGCGAGTCTCGATCTACCTTCAGGTAAGAAACGGTGGGGAAGTAGGGTTCGAATATTGATATGGCCCTACCTGAGTCTCACTAGCACCCCCTATGATTTTGGCAGATGGCCAGGCATCCTTGAGTTCCGCCAATTGCTCTAAGGTTATAGGTTTGAACCAGATCTTTCTCTCGTCCCCATAACAAATAGGCCTTTCTGAATATTTACGGAGAGCTGGTGGGAAAATGACTTCTGCTGCAGGATTGTATGGTATAAATGAAGACAGCCCTGAAGGTTTACCTGAATCTACGGAGGTAGCTCGTGTGCTGCTGGATTCCTGAGAGGATCCTCTGTCGGCGCTGCTATCGAACGAAGATGTTGACGGATCGCGACAGCAGCCACCTGGACGCCCACAGGAAGCGTTAGATGACGAGCCACATCGACTACCATTTACTGACGTTTGCAGAAGTTCATCGGTGTCTTCGGCACGCAGGGGGGGAGAGATACTCTTCTCGATTAATTCGCCTTTTAAGTCTTCTAAAACGAACGTCTTGGCGGCCTCAAGAATTGGTTTATAGCCTGTCTGAATAAGTTGAGTACAGCACTTGAGAAGGAGGATATAATTTGATACATACACATCTACAAAGGTTACCGTCTAAATGTCCTTGTAGCTCAACGTCCGAAGCTGAAAGATGGAACTTTCCGTCTTGATATGAACTTCTAATAAGTGCATAGAGACTCATTACTATTCCAGGAGTACAAAATCCGCACTGAGAACCACTTAGGGAAGACTTCGTATTAGCACAAACAGTGGACAAACTAAAAAGTAATACGACGGCTGATGACTTACTGCATTTTTGCTATGCGTTCTTGCAAGGGATGTGGCCGGTCAACCGTGCCCAGGCCTTCAATAGTTATCAGACTTTTACCATCGACGCCAACCAGTGGAAAAAGACAAGCGTTCACAGCATTATGCCTTAGGCGTCCGTCTTCGCCGACAGTCTGGATAACGACAGTACAGGCACCACACCCGCCCTCGCCACATCCTAGCTTAGTTCCTTTTAAATTGCCCTGAGCGCGGATCCAGTCGAGAAGAACCCATTCAGGATCAGGATTCCGAACTGTGACGCGGCGTCCGTTGACGAAGAAGAATAATTCGGAAGTAGTATATGTCGATTGTATCAGAGACGCGAGGGCTTCGGCAACAGATGGGGCGCGAACATGTTGCTGCTCGGCTATAAGCGGCTTCGGAAGTATTTCAACTGCTGTCATGGCTTTAGGAGAATAGGAGAGAGGGAGAAATGATGAATATCGAAGTTGCCTTTGCCTAGACTACCTCTTATTCATCTAATTTAGAGAGTGAACTATGTACAGACATGAGTGATGGCTATCAGCACATTTCTAGTATCTCTTGGGCTATTGTGCAAGATGGAAGCATGAACGTCGCTTAGGTTTATAGGTTTACTATGTCATTCATTCATTGCTATCACCCCACTCTGATCGGGCATAACGTTTCGGGCATAATAATCCTGGACTTAGGTAGGTTGTTCAGCTCCGGTAGGTGTTCGGGGGGCGGGGGGCAAATGCAAACAAACTTCCATCACCCTATAAACATGTATGCTTCAATGCAGGTACCTATATACTGCTATCCTGCTTGCCCCACCGAGGATCATACTTCCAGTTGTTGTCAACCCCACTGTCGTTGAACATCGCCCTTAGATGTCTTCCCCAAGTTTTGAAAAGATCCGTTAGACATAGAACATAGATGACGCATATTTATGTCTTACGCTTTAGAAAGCTTGAAGAGATCCAGAGAATATCTAGTTACATTGCTGTCCTTTATTTTTGATTCCAGGTTCTGTTTTTATACCAAAGGTTCTGCGGGAAAATACCCCTAGAAAAGCATACTAAATTAACTCTCAAGATCAGAACAACGCCAACCAGAAAAAATATAAGAAATAAAAAAAGGAAAATAAATCAAAATTAACTAAACGATTATATTTATAAAGTTTGATAATATTGAATATAATATCAACAACTAGACTACAGAAGTGGGCGCGTCTGGTTTTCCTTTCGGGTTTGTTCCCATCTACGCTCTACGGCCGTCTCTATGTCATACGGCAACAACCAACCCCCAACGCCATAATATCTCCAAGGCAAGGGATCATCCCCTGAATCTGACCGTGGCTGTGTGAGAACCTCTGGGCTCTTGAATAATTCTTCATCCATCTTCCCAAACATCTCAAGTCTTCTATCTCTCTCTCTCTGCTCTTCGCCATCGTGAAGATGGTACATGTACTGCTGAAAATTGCCTCTCTCGACTACCTTCTCGGTCCTCTCCTTTCGGCAATTCTCGTATACCTTAAGAGCGTATAGCTTTTGTTCGCGCGACTTGTTGGTCAGCTTTGAGAGGCAAAGACCTAGAGCTGCCCCATCTTCCAGGGCCATACCGCAACCACCTGGTGAAGGCAATATTAGTGAATCTTATATCTCGTCATGTGTCTCAAAGTGTTTATTATTTGATGGTTCAAAAAGAAAGAAAGAAAAGGAAAAAAAAGGAACACATTATAAGACAGAACTTACTAGCGAGGTATGGAAGAGTCGCATGGACAGCATCCCCTAACAGCGTAAATGTGCCGGATTGATGCGTCCAACGTTCCAACGTAGGCCGTATGCAGAGCTTCCACTTCTGAACAGAGTGACAAAGACTTAGGATTTTGCCTATTATCGGATCCCAGTCTTTGTATAAGGCCTGCATCTCTTCCACATTCCCGTCTATTGTCATAGAAGCTGCAGGCATGTCATCCGGGACTAACAAGACCATGTTGAATAACTCCCCGCCCCTGAGGACGTAGTTAACCGCGTGCGCGTCTGGCCCTATCCAATAGTTGACCTGAGGATCCTGGATGAAGTGTCGTAACTCAGGGTCTGCCAGCATATCCTTAGCGTTGATAAGTAACCTGTAGGCAAGATCACCTGTTGGTAGAGGGGGGTCTGGTTTTCCCAGAAGAACCTCGCGCAGTCTAGATGAGATGCCGTCAGCTCCAACGATGAGGTCTGCTGGCATAATCCTGCCGTCGCTTAATACTGCACTAGCTGTTAATCCGTCCGATGCATATTTGATCGATTGGACCCTCGACTTTACATGTATCTCAGCTCCGAGTTCGACAGCCCGATCAAGGAGGCAACGGTGTAAGTTAGCTCTATGGAAATCCCAGAAAGGGGTACCTAGAGCTTCCCCATAAGCATGAAGGTCCATCCTGGATAGTCTATTGCCCTTCCAGCCGATCATATTTGCATAACGAGGTTTCGTTGCATCCTTCACGAGCTTGCCTTCAAGTCCCCATGAAATCAATATCCTCGATGAATTAGGCAAGACTTGAATACCGGCTCCTATTTCGCCGATCTCAGACGCGCTCTCAAGGACAGTTACGCGGTGTCCCGCGAGAAGTATAGAAATAGCTGCACCGAGCCCGCCAAGCCCGGCACCTACAATTATAACCTACGACGAAACTCAATAAAACCAGACGATTGTATAGTCTTATGATCTACTTACGTGAAGTTGACTTGACGGGTCTCTCTTAATCTGCTGCCATACCCTTGGGCGAAATCTAGACGCCATCTTGGAATCTGACGTTGCCTGTGTGGTAATTCGATTCGGTCCAAGTTGAAGTCTGTGAGCTGGTGAGAGATCAATTACAGTACAGTATAGTACAATGTAGTATGTGGTTGTGCGACTACTTATCATAAACGAAATGTATGAATTCCATAAATGCGTTTTTTGTTTTTCAAAGATATGATGATGACGATGATGATGTATATAGATGAGACATGGCGTTCTGCTCCTAGGGCGTATCCATTTGTCATCTCTTCGGGGATCCGAATCACTGTGCGATTTCTACCTCTCTCTTGTGGCTGATTGTTATCGTCTACGCATACGTCGGTATCATCCCTCGGTTACGCATTCTGGGTAGGACATATCATGAATTAGGTAAAGTAGGCCTGTATGCCATCGGATTTCAACGTATCCTGAGCCTTGAATGTCTCTATTGAGTAACCGTATGCATACCCTAACCTTAGGTTAGGTACCCCTGAGGTAGATATATCTCTCAAGTACCTTGTGCAGAGTTGCATGCGGAATCTCTGCCGGCTTATCTCTCCAGCCAACACTGTACAATGGTGCTGCTTCTGAAAACCCCACTCTTGTCAATAATATGCCACCTTTCTGAGAGATAGCAAAGGTGGGGGAGCATGTAAGTGTATGTGCGTCCGAGAATAAGGCAGTTGTTGTCGGCAGTGATTCGTGAGAAGGGTACATTCAGCCCGCTTGGCATCACACAGACAGGACACAGAGTGTTACCGAGTTGCTGAACGATAGATTTAATAATTTAATAACGTCAATATACTTGACGGATACCATGTACTCACCTTGAGCCTCTAGCCTACCTAACATTAGCAAGAGCCTCAACCTTCCCCCCCATTTCTTTTCTCTTTTACTTTTTCGTATTTCCTCTCTCCCCCAAAGTTAATTGGGAGGGTGAGAATGGGGGTTGTCCGTTCTTTGAGACGATCCACATCACTAGATTCGTTGAAAGTGGTGAATGCCAACTAGTTGGGTCGCTACGTGATTGTGAGTCTGGGCATGATGCAGCGAGCCAAGCGTAATAGAACTCGGCGGGAGGGTGATGGTGACACCAGACGATCTTTTCATTGCAACTATGAAGGTTGCGGTAAATCTTTCTCGCGGTCTGAGCATCTCCATCGTCATCAAAAGAACCATACGGATGGAAATGCGACTTGTCCGCGCTGCCGCGCCCACTTCAAACGTCAAGACCTTCTAGGTGAGAACCCCCTTCGACCGCCTCGGATCTTCGGGGGTTGACACGGTAATGTAGAAAGGCACATGAACCGGCATAAACAGAAGGATGAAGAAGCCGGAGGCGCAGGTGTCGGTACGCTGAACACGCGTAAGCGCATGTGGAAAGACCACGACGGACGGATTGTCCAGAAGAAGCCAGTAGAACAGAATACGTCTTGTGGTAGCAGTAGCAGTAGTAGTGTGGGAGTGTCGTTTGTATCTCAGGCAGAAGGTCCCATTTCACCTCCTGTGTCAACCCATAATTCGGATCACCAAAGCGAGAACGACCCGGCGACAAATACGGCTTTCGCCCATGGCCATAACCTTTTATCAGATTATGAGCTTTTAAATGGACAATTAGGTTCTCATGCTGATAGCGGTTACTGGATTGCGCCCGAGACATTACAACCTCCATTCTTCGATATAAACTACGATGAAGTATTCCAGCCGGATACGGCGAGTTCGTTTAATATGCCATATACGACGCAAGTAAATTATGACTGGTTGTTTAGTCTTGATAATAATGTTCCGAGCGCTGCTGTTCCGCACCCCCCTTATGTTTCTACTCCGTCCTTGGGTACCTTATATACTGGCGTTCAAAATCACCCCCCTAGTTTGAGTCAAGACAACTTCTCGCCAGGGGCTAGGCCTTACACCGGGGGCATGCCTGAGAACTCTTTAACATCTATAGGATCCCTCGACTGTATGCCTTCTAGGGAGAACACTGAAGATATTGCAACTCCTGGCTCCTCTGATAGGACGGCGGTTAGCCTCTCACCGGCAGCTAAGCAAATTCACCAGGGTCCAGGGGGCTTTCGCGAAGCAGAAATCGAGCGTCCCCTGTCCACTCTTCAACCGTCGAGCCATCTATCGTGCATAGACGAATACACTTACAGCAAGATTTTAGAAACTATCGAGACTGCAAAGCCGGTAGCCCCCAATGGGGCCCTCCTCGACGTCAACCATCCGTTGATGTCGCAGCTTTCATTGCAATCTTATTTGGACCTATACTTCAGCAAGTTCAACACCGCATACCCGCTGATACACCAAGCTACCTTCGAACCAAGCAAAAGCGAATCGTTACTACTTCTGTCTATGATTCTACTTGGAGCTACCTGTGAGTGGCCATGAGAGTTAATGTTCCCTAGGGCAGCTTGCCTTTGCCATGTTTGTCACTAGCTGATTCACGGAGCGGTTGCTAATTTCCATCGTGAATAGACTCTGAGAAAGAAGCACATCAACTGGCTGTCTGCATACACGATGTAATCCGCCCAGCAAGTGAGTAATTTCGTGAATTCTTGCGATAGCCATAATCGAGCCTCACCTTTCTTCTTATGAATCTAACAACCGGATAGTATTTTCTCATGCGAGCTTCAACCCCAAACCAGACCTCTGGATGCTCCAGACAATCCTGCTAGTTGAATGTTTTGGCAAGAGCAGGGCAGGCCAGAAGCAACACGACATGAGCCATCTGTTCCACGGGATGTTGATCAACCTGATTCGGCGGTCTGACTGCCAGTCTGTTCGGCCAATTCGCCCCCACGAAGATAAAGATAAAGATAGCTTGGTGGCTGATCGCAGCTGGAGACAATGGGTAGAGGCCGAGGAGAAAAAAAGGCCAGTATTCCGTAAACCTCAATGTCTATCGTTATTAATATGATCCTCTAGACTCGCTCTTCTATGCTTTATGTGGGATACTCAGCACGCCGTTCTGTTCTGCCAATCCCTCTGTATGTCAGCCTTCGAACTCAGAGTCCCTTTACCCTGTAACCAAGCGCTTTGGGAAGCATCTACAGCCGCCGAGTGGTCACGGCTCTCGCTCTTCACAGCTCCTGAGCCGATGTATCTTCTTGCGCTAAAGTCGTATATCACGCGTGATGCTCACTATTGCCCTCGACTAAATGGATTGTCGCGGATCTTCATCTTTCACGGTTTAATGTCTATTTTTTGGGACATGCGGCGGCGAGACCAGACTAGTCTAGGCGTCATCTCCCCGCAGGCCGGCGGGTGGCAAAGACGTCTTGGAAATGCGTACGACGAGTGGAAGGTGGATTTTGATAACTTTTGTTTGCGCCTGGAGGACGTCACATTCGCCGAGATAAGAAAGGGCACTGTTCCAGAAAATGCCCAAGCCGAACTGGACGTCTGGCGCGCCGCGTACATCTCTATATACCATGCTGCCCATACCCTTCTACATTCGGAATTCCTTGACATACAAATATTTGCGGGTGCACGGCATATCCTTGGACGCTCAGTTCAACGAACGGACTTTATTCGCTCAGAGAAAGTCATAAAACGATGGGCTACGGGCTACACCGTCCCAGGTTCTGAAAATAGCGACGGATCCGCAGATGCGGTAGCAGCGGTTTGGCATGCGGCCCAATTACTTCAGAGCGCATCGCAGACGCTCGTTGATTTCGACTCCACGGGCTTGTTTCACGTACCATGGTGTCTTTACTTGGCCACTTTGACAGTATGGGCATTCCACCACACTAGTCGTAATGGAACCAAGGGGTCTGGCCTCCGTCCCGAAGATGATAGTGAACTTGTTTGGGATGCTCAAGCAGAAATGCGCGTGCTCATAGACTCGATGGTTGAAGCGGGTATTCAAGGTCTACTTGAAATACAGGGGCTAAAGCGAACCAGCGGCCTGGTGTGGGTTATGGCGGAAGTGTTGAGTAAAGTCCGCTGGGGAATTGTGCATGCCGGCGTCACTGTGCTTAAGGGCTTGATCCCCTGGAGATTGATCGGGAAGTTTGACGATACTAGTATCTGAGTGCATGTGCTTCGATATGCCCGCACAGGTATGATGAAAAATCAAAAATCAAAAATCAAAAATCAAAAATCAAAAATCAAAAAAAAAATCAAAGATCTACGGTTAGAATATCTACACGATGATGAGAAGTTCGAAACGCAGTTAGGGGGTCTCGTAAGGACAACTACCTACTCAAGGAAAAGGGATGTGTGAATTAAGAGAGCATGTAACCCCATGAATGCCACCAATATGTGAAGTATACCGTACAACTTGCCGAATGCTGATGAAAAAAATGAACCCATAGGCATCGCCACGCATACATTTTGCTCTTTAAACCCCCCTTCCATTATGCTCATAGCTTGACATTATTTTGCTTTGTCTTCGGGAACTTTAAGAAATCCGTCGTAGTAAGAATTAAGCCAATCGGCTGCTGTTGCGCCTGCATTAACACCCAGCGAATCCCACCTGCTAATCGACCCTACGTAGCCATCTGGTCGTAAGATCACGATGGAAACCTCGTCTTTCTGTAGGGTTCCCACCCACTTGCTTGTACATGTCTGTCTGCGCGTATCCAAGTATGGCACATTGTCCAGGTAGAATGTCCATGCACTTCGAGCGAAGAGCGGAGGGAGATCTTGGATCTCAACTCTGGCTTTCTCCATGGTTGCTGTATCAAAGGTTAGCTTAGCTTGTATAGACTCGTACGTAAAGGATCCTTCTTACTAATGAGTGCAAACGTCGTGAGCTCGCTCACGCTTATATATCTCTCCGAGCGTATATACACGTCCTCAGAAGTGGGCGTTCGTGGCTTTTCCAAATAGCTGGCCGCGGCGGCTTGACTCAGTTTCCTAAACAATGAGTCCTGCCTTGTTAATCCATTGCAGAAAGTCTGAAGGAACGGCATGCTGTTGTGGATATCCGGCACGAAGAAGTACACCCTAAATTGGCCTAACATGGGAATATCAAGCTGAACGTCGATCGGATTTGCATCGATATATCGCGTTACCTTGGCAGGAGGAACAAGGCATCCCGGCCTCAGCTCGCCCCCGCTGCGCTTGGACGGGTGGTTTAGTATGTTGTGGTCGTACTCGACGCCGACTCCTGAGATAAATCGCACGTTCGTGCGGAAATTCTCGGCTAGAGCTTTGGCATCACCACCGGCCATCTTGTTAGCGTGCTCATAGTCGAAGTTGATAAGGTCGTGCGCAATCTTTCTACGCTCCATTTCGTATGATTCCAATAGAACCGGCTTGGCTAGACCTCTCGAGCTAAGGTTCAATTTCCAGGCAAGGTTCCAGCTGTCGTGCATACTAGTGTTCATACCCTGTGCAGCCTTGGGTGAATGGGTATGACTTGCATCTCCGGCAATAAAAGCCTGCAGATGCGGATCGGTGAATTTGTTTGCTATTCGCTGTCCGATCTGATAATTGCCGAACCATTCGACGGTACGCCATTCAACCGAGTACGGCGCCAAGATCTGCTTGGCACGCTTCATGACGAACTCTTGTCCGAGTTCTCGCAGATTACCTGTCTCAGTGTCCGGTTTGATCTCGACGTAGAATCGAGTAGTGCCCCGTTCCCGCGGGACAATGAGTATGGAACCATGCACTTCACTGTAGACGACCGTCTTAGACCATAGGTCTGGGAAGTCCGAGATGAGTTCTCCATCGAGAACAGCCCATACGGATTCATGAGATTTACCCACTGAATAAGTGTCTGGTATGCAGGTTCGCACCTTAGATCGGGCACCATCGCCTAATACATGTTAGTCAGGGGCATCTCAGACGTGCCAGCTGGTTTAAAACTTACATCCGACGATGTATTTGGATAACGTTGTCTCCTTTTCCCCGTTGGTTGTATTCTTGCACTCAATCTCTAACAACCCGGACTCGTCGTCTTGCCGTTTAAACGATTGAAATTGATGACTGCGCTTGACCTGGACACCTCGCTTTAGAAGGTCCTTTATGAAGACTCCTTCCACAACCCCCTGATGAACGAGAAGGATATAGTCGTCCAGAAGGTCAACAACTAAGGCTGGATAATGAATCTCACGACCTAGGCGCCTTAAGCGGCGGTTTGCCGTAGCTTCCCAGAAGCATATGTCATACACCTTGGCGCCTCTCGCCAGCAGGCTATCTGCAAGTCTGAGCTGACGAAGCGTCTCTATCGTTTTGGGTTGTAACCCATCAGCACGACCAGCTTGAGTCTGATCGGGTCTCTCATCTATGACTTCGACACTGACGCCGAATCTAGCTAATAAAGTACTGCAAGATTTGGATGTGAGCTTGGGCGTTAGGGATGATATCTTTTAAGGATAAGAAATGATGAATGATAACGGCGATGAGCGTAATAGCCTTATTTTTTTTCTTTCTTGACTTTTCATTCTATAACTATAGATAGACTACGTATATATAAAAAAAGAGGAAAAGAAAAGAGGTTAAAATAAATAAATAAATGAAATAAAAATCGACTTACGCCAACATTAAACCGGCAGGACCAGCTCCGACGACGCAGACCTCGGAGGTGTGTCGTGAGCCGTTGGTTTCACGGCGCTTGGCTGGACCATGACCATTAACCTCGCCATTGGTGCTGCCGTTGGTGTCGCCGTTCTGTCGCACACCGTTTACCTCATCTACGATCATGGCGCCGGTGGATATGGCCTAGACAAGATTTATTTCATGCGAGTACGTTAAAAAAGGCTTCTACCAGAGCACAATAAATAGCAAAGTGGCTTGGTTTGAGGTAGCAAAGAGTAACGAGGCGGCGTTTGGAGGGAGTGGTGGTGGTGGGTCGTTGACGGTTGGTCCGATCAGTAAGAGATGGATTGGATTTCATCGGTTGATTGATTTGATGAAGTTGAGAAGACGAAGTTATAAAATGAGACTTCGCACTGTGCTCAGGCCATTGTCAGGTGGTTTGGCGCCATTCTCGAACCACTCCGGGTCCCCCAGGTCGGATTAGTCGGACTGGTTCAAACTGGGGGGTTGTCAAAGGGGGGGCCTTATTGGAAACTACACTATCAGATATCCAAACAGTGGGTTTGTTTCGACTTGTTCTAGAACTGCCATTTATCAATTAATCTTGACCTACCAAACTGGAATAAAACAAAAGAAGAGGAAAGAGTACTACATAGTATGTATGATATCCTATCCCCCCTTCTCTTCTACCCCTTTTAGGTCCTCCTCTAGGTTTAGGCTCTTGGACCCCTGAAATAGTTTATTTTTCTTTTCTTTTTTCCCCCCCTGCTTTTGCCCCTCCCCCATTCTTTTCACCTATTCCTTGCCTATTTCTCAGTTACCTTTCTATGTAGGTACCGGCATTAGGGGGTACGTTCGTCTGACAACCCTCCCACTTATTTACTACCATTTACTGCCAATTACTGCCAATTACTGCCACACTTACATACGCTGCTGAATATCCCTGTCGAACATGTCAAAATATCACACCACTTTTGTAATCGGGTACAAATACATATCCAAACTAGCCCAGCTTATCTCTTCTAGACTTTTCAAATATAGCAGCACGTCGCTTAGGAAGTCGACGGGTCGGTAACGGAGATGCATCCCTCGTAGCCATTCTTGCACGATACATCATTAACGAGAAATAAGTTAAATTATCTTACTTTCTATATTGTCCCCGTTCCGGTCAATTCGACGTCTTGGTGGATAAGAAGGTTACCTCACAATGGCGGAAATCTCAGGTGGATGGCAGGAAAAAGTTCACTTGAAGCGCGAAGCTCAAAATCAGGCTCTAGCGAACGTTGCGGATAATAACGCATGTGTATGAACTATGTAAGGTGTGCTTATTATGACCGATGCGGGTTGCTAAATAAATTGAGGCGATAGCATCAAAAAGTTGACTCGTCTCTGGTAGACATTGACGATATCTCAACATTGGTCGGTCGCATCGCCTCCGGCGATTTAAGTTCGGTAGCCGTGACGGAAGCATATATTCAAAGGTTCCGTAGAAATTTATAGCATGTGTTGAATCGATATTTTGTAATCGTCCTTGGGAGTTGCTAATTTCTTATTCAACGAGTCAGGGCTATTACAGCACATAATCAGGTAGAGTAAACCTCCACGCGGGTATCTATTGCTGCAAATTATATACTATGTAGAGGTACCTACTGATAATGTCTCTGTCTGGTATTACCTATTAGACGAACTGGTTAGTGTACCTAACCTAACCTAACATACTGAAGTTTTGTCGGATGGCTGGCTAACATCAGCGATAGTCTTACTGAAATCCTCTTCCAAGAAGCCTTGGCGCGGGCTCGTGAACTTGATAATTATCAAAAAGTGCACGGAAATGTCATCGGACCACTGCATGGTATTCCCGTTACCCTTAAAGATCAGTTTAATTTGAAAGGTTACGATAGCACGCTCGGATATGTCAGCCGCGCATTCAGTCCCGCGGTTGAAGATGCAGCTCTTGTCGCGCTATTAAAAACGCTTGGTGCAGTTATTCTGGCTAAGACGAATCTTCCTCAAAGCATTATGGTATGCCCGGTTTTCTTTTCTTCTTTTTTTTTCTTGGACCACAAGATGGATTTGCATCTGATCATGAATGGCAGTGGTGTGAGACGGAAAACCCCCTTTGGGGCCTTACTACGAATCCTTCTTGTAAGGACTACACCCCGGGCGGCTCGACAGGCGGCGAGGCAGCGCTGTTAAGCCTTCACGGAAGTCTCCTTGGTTGGGGGACGGATATTGGCGGTAGCATCCGGATACCTACTCATATGATGGGCTTATACGGATTAAAGCCAAGCGTAAGTCACCTCTCTTTCACCCCTCTTTCTTTTATACTTCTCCTCAGTTAGAGAAATGAATCCTGAAGAAATGATAATGATAATAATAATAATAATCACAATAATAATGATTCTTCCAGAGCTCCCGTCTCCCTTATCAAGGAGTGCCTGTGTCAATCGAAGGGCAAGACTATGTCCCTTCATCAGTAGGGCCATTAACACGGAATCTACCGTCGCTTACCGTAGTGATGAAAGAGCTAACCCAGCTAGAACCCTGGAAACATGACTCTCGCTGTGTACCTACGCCGTGGAGGGAAGAAATCTTTCAAAAATTTAGAACTGAGCCGCTGACAATTGGCTTGCTTATTGACGACGGAGTGGTCCGACCACATCCTCCGATTACGCGAGTACTCCACTCATTGGTAAACAAACTTCAAGCAGCAGGTCATGATGTCGTCGAATGGAATTCCAACCTCCATGCTGAGTGCATCCAGGTTATGGTGAGATAACAATGATTCATCGTCGTCCGCACCCCCTATTTACTCATTATTTTGGGCTTCAGGATGAGTTCTACACAGCCGACGGTGGCGAAGACATTCGCCGCGATGTTCTAGCTGGTGGGGAACCTTTTATTCCCCACGTAGAAGCTTTGGTCAATAAGGGCCAGCCTATCTCAGTCTATGACTACTGGCAGCTGAACAAGCGCAAAGTGGCGCTGCAACAAGCCTATCTGGAGAAATGGAATAGCATCAGGTCGCCAAAGACGGGTAAGCTAGTTGATGTAGTACTAATGCCACCCATGCCACATGCAGCCGTTCCCCATCGTGCGTGTCGATGGGTGGGATATACCAAGATATGGAACGTTTTGGACTACTCGGCTCTAGTTATCCCTGCAGGAAGAGTGTTGTCTATCGATGGCGACGTGCTATGGAATCACACGGCGAGGAACGCACTAGATGAGTGGAATGCTGCGTTGTGGACTCAAGAAAGAGAGAAAATGATTGAACTTTGTCTGCCGGTCGGGGTGCAGATTGCGGGAAGGAAGCTCGAAGAAGAGAAAGTCCTCGCAGTCGGTGCCATCATGGATGAATTGCTTCATGAGACTAACTGTGTATGATTGTACATACTCGGAAGCTATCGTCGTTACTACTTCCTATATTGAGCTTCCTCAAGGCTCCCTTCCACTTATGCTTTCGGCTTCTCGAGAATATCTCCCGGAGGAGCTGGCATCATAGCTCCCTCGGGTGGTTTATTCTTACTTTTGAAGTAGTCGCACATCTTTGAAGGTTAGCATTGCTAAAAGAGGTCAGGCTTATATATATATTAAAAAAAAGAAGCGAACCTCGGCAAATGTCATCCACTCTACTCCCTCATGCTTATTGATGTGTTCAATCAGTCTTTCGTGCATTAAGAGAACGTGTGGCCGACCTGATACATCGGGATGGATCGTCATCGGGAAGATAAATTCGTCATACTCGCGGTAGAAATAATCGAAATGGTCTCGCCATATATCCTCAACATCCCTAGCAAAGCAATTAGATGTAAGAAGGAACCTCGTTCTATACGCCTCGCGAACCTTGGATTTACCCAGCCGTGGGAATTGGCAGAGTTTTTCATAAACATCATAGGAGGAAGATCGTCAATGTACCACGAGCCTGGGATTTCTACCATCCCTGTTGGTTGCCCCTTAACTAGAGGCTTCATCCACTCTTCGGCCTTTTTCTTGTAGTCGATCCTGCTGCAAGTTAATGATAACATTATAACCCATATCGCCGGCCCAGGTGAAATGAATATTCTCAGCTTTCTACGCACTATTTCTTTGCCGAACAGAGAACCGAAAATGAAGGGAATAATTAGGACTTACTAAGACAATATTAGCCAAAGTTCGAGGTGAGGGAGATGAATCCGGCATATAAAACTTCATCGGACTTACCTTGGTCCACGAGTCTCCCGTGCGTAACCAGTACATCTGGCAATCTTCATGGGACATGGAATGATCGTACTCAATACCATAAGAGAGCATCAACTCTGTCCCTTCTTTGCTTGTCTCCCACCAAGGCGCTACACTACCTCTCGGCGGCTTACCACAGAACTCAGTGAGAAGTCTGTACGTCTTATCCAGGACATCTCGCTGCTGCTCGAGCGTCATATCGACCGGGTTCTCATGAGAATATCCATGGAGACCAATCTCATGCCCAGCGTCTCTCACCATGGCACATTCTTCTGGAAACGTCTCAAGCGAGTGGCCTGGTATGAACCACGATGCCTTGATGCCATACTTATCAAATAGCTTAAGGAGACGACGGGTTCCGATCGTGCCAGCCCAGATTCCTGAACAAGAAATGGAATTTATCTCAGCTTTGCAGCCCAAGCATGAAGAACATCAACTCAGATTACAATTAGGGGCGGGGGTATCTAACCTCTGCTAATGTCGCTGGTGCTATCTTCACCCCCGTAAGAGCCAAGCCAACCGGCAACAGCATCAATGTCTACTCCGTAGCTAACCCCATTCTCGATCAGTTATCGTTATCCAAACATTTACAAAGCTGGATATCTGCAGAGTACTCACCCAACAAGAACCTTTTTCTTGCCCATGGTCAAATATAGCAGTGATAAGGCTAGGGTGGTTGGAATGGTACGGTGGATAGTCAAGTGGCATCTAGATGATGCGAATTGGACGTAGAATTATCTAATTTTTCAGATATCTGTCGAACACATAAGGTACCTACCTACCTATACAACCCCCATTCTTGGCTGCCCACTCCCACGTACCCCGCAAACTTAAGCACATCACATTATCAACTTAGCTCCTGGATAAACCGTGGCTTATCTGTGCTTTCAGGGAGAGAGCTGATCCGAGATGTCCCTTGGGGAGCCGGCGTACAGTACAATATACTCACATCACATATACGCACATAATACTGTACCGACTTTCCCAAGATTTCATTAACAATTCCTGTTCTTCTGTCTATTCGTGCGACTTCGCTACCTGCTCTAACCACCAAACGTGAATTCGAATATCATCCGTTAGCTCCGGGTGGAAACTCGTTCCGAACACGTTCTCTTGCCTTAAAGCGACGATATCTCCTGCTCCTTTAGGGACTTCTTTTTGGTTATCGGTACCTTCAATCGACGCCGCTGCAGCTTTGTTTGAGGCGTGACGTCCCGGGAGAGTTGCTAAGATCTCAACCTTTCCTTTCGGAGCCTTAGTTTGGTTCCCGGAACTTTGCGTCGCGACCTTTGGCGTTATGTTTTCAGCCTCGCCGTCGACTGATGTGATGTCGTCCGTCAATACTTGATCCACGACGGGAGCTCGAATAAAGACGGCTGGGAAAGGAGCTACCGTTGCCGGATTACCATCGCTTCCCTGAGATAGGAAGGGTAATTCCAAGTCCGTTACGAAACTCTCTTTCTGTCGACCGAAATGGTTGCGATGGACTTTGACATTGAGTCCCCCGATTAACTCTTGCCCTCCTCTCTTAGCAGCACTAGCTTGTTCGGACAGAAAAATAAGGCCAGCACATGTGCCCCAAGTTGGCTTCTTATTTACTCTTACGCAGCCAGCCAAAACCTAACGTTAGCGGTTTTTACTTCTCCCCCTAGTCGCTTTACGTGTGTATATCGGACTTACTTGACGAACTCGCGCAAGGGTTCCAACAACCCGGACTGTGCAGCTACGAGCGACAGCGTGGTGCTCTCTCCTCCTGGTATGATTAGAGCGTCGCATTGGGCCAGCTGCTCCGGGGTTCGCACCTCGGTAAAGGTGAAGTTGGATGACGGTGTCGATACGCGAGTAGCTGCTTTACGAAGGGAGCTGAGGTGTTCTGAAAAGCCCCCTTGAAGAGCAAGAACACCGATAGTCACCATATTCGCTCTGATAAGAGGCTAGGTCGTTTCCACGATGTCGCCAAATATACTTCCGCAAAGTGGTTGGATAAATCTAGCCAACTATATTCGCTCTTAGTCAACCGGTACTATGGAACGATCCGGGATTAGCTCTATAAGGTCCGGGATTTGATAGATCATAGATGCAGGTGATTATGATTATGAGTTTTACGTACCTATAGGAAGTAGGTAATTTATTAGGTTAGGTTAGGTATGTTTTACATTGTTTATTCTCCCTATTAGGTATTGCTCATAGATACCTCATCTCATACCTCTCTCTTATTAGTCCATCTTCTTAGTGCCACTATTTCTTTCTTAGCTTGTCGCATCCCGCGGAAATCTCTTTGGTGTACCTAGTTTGCAGCGCGGACTGTTACGACTTTGTTACGATCGTTACCTGTACAGCTGTTATCCGGTTACCACCGCAGTTATCGTTACAGTTTGTCCACATTTACTTCCCTCCCTCCCCCGGGCCCCCATGAATACCTAACCAGGTATTAAATATGACTCCTTATCTGTTACCGCATTTGTTACCTCTACTATAGCAAAACAACCCCCCCGAGACCGGCGATGCCGTATGCGTCATCCCGACCAGTACGGTCTCCTTGGGCCCTTCTCGCTACATATCATGTAAAATTTTCAATTGATCGGACTCTCGAACTAAGCATGGGTCCATCCTAGACGCACCGGAGCAATTAAACTTCTCCATCTATACCCATCTTGGGGAAAGCATGGCTCCATCTTGTTCCTGGGCAGTGGTTTGATTGGTGAATGAGCCCTTTTTTTGTCATCTTTGAATGAACCATAAGGCCCGGTTAGCTTCTGAAAATTCCCGCCCCTTAGGAGGCGGGTATAGACGGCACGCCGCGCTTGCATGAGTAAGTTATTGTCATTGTACCAACCGTAAGTTGAAGAAATTGCGATTATCCTCACATTCATTATTGCTATTCCTCTACTTGAGCAGCCTGTCAAAAGTTCCGCCTTTTCAGATACTGTCCCACGTCTTCGACGAAAACTTATCTAGCAATCATGACGGGCAATGACACAAGCAACGCTTCGGCGCCTGCCAATGGCACATCGATACCTTCCTCTTCCAAGTCTGACTTCATCGTCAAGGCAGGGTTAGCCCAGATGCTGAAGGGAGGTGTCATCATGGACGTGACAGATGCCGCACAGGCTCGCATAGCCGAGGAGGCTGGAGCCTGCGCTGTCATGGCCCTCGAGCGTGTACCTGCTGATATTCGGGCAGAGGGTGGCGTAGCACGCATGTCCGACCCTGGAAAGATCAAGGAGATTCAAGAGGCTGTGACTATTCCGGTCATGGCTAAGGCACGTATCGGCCACTTTGTCGAGTGCCAAATCCTCGAGGCTTTAGGCGTAGACTACATTGACGAGAGCGAGGTCCTCACTCCCGCTGACGACACGTTCCACGTCGAGAAGAGCCCTTTCAAGGTGCCCTTCGTCTGCGGCTGCAGGAACTTACCCGAGGCCCTAAGGCGCATTGCTGAAGGCGCCGCTATGATTCGTACCAAGGGCGAGGCTGGTACAGGAGATGTCGTTGAGGCTGTTAAGCACATGCGCACGGTCAACCGCGACATTGCCCGAGCAAAGTCTGCGCTTCAAGAGGGTGGCGACCTGGCCATCAGAGCCCTGGCGAGGGAATTCGAGTGCGATGCCGGGCTACTCAAGCAGACTGCAGAACTTGGCCGCTTACCGGTGGTGAACTTCGCCGCTGGAGGTGTCGCGACACCTGCGGACGCCGCATTGATGATGCAGCTGGGATGTGACGGCGTTTTCGTCGGCAGCGGTATTTTTAAATCTGGTGATGCGGCCAAGAGAGCTAAGGCTATCGTGAGAGCCACAACTCACTTCCGAGACCCGAAGGTGCTAGCTGAGTGCAGCGAAGGACTCGGTGAGGCTATGGTCGGCATCAGCGTCAGCAGCATGAAGCCCGAGCAGAAGCTAGCTGGAAGGGGCTGGTAATATTTGGGATGCGCTGTAATGTTATATGGGTCCGGACATCTGAATTTCAACAATTATATATCACATTCAGCCGGGAGAATATGGGGAATCAACACCAATGGCGCGGACTAAGATAAGCCGAAGCGACGTCTTTACATTTCGTGAAGCTGTACATATATCTACCTCCTATTTAGTAGTACAACTACCACTACTACCACTATCAAACAAAAGATAAAAGGACCTGGGTGGTCGCAACTTGAGCAATAATTTCTTGACATTCTTTGAATTTTTCTTATGCAGGTTGGTTGTTCCAAATAGCGTCGCTAAGGGTCTTATTGGGGGTGAAATACTTCTCCAAGCATGGTTTCGCGCGGATTATTAGATCTGCCTCCATGCGGCCGAACACGATAGTCCCACGCTCATTTAGATGCGTCGTGTCCTTCTTGTCCGAACCGTAGTTATATTCGTAGGCAGCTTGCTTCCCTATGGCATTAACATACTTCAAGCTTGCTTCATTAAGGTCGATAACAGTCGAGTCTGTCGCCTTGGCCGCTGCAATGGCCGCCAGGCGTTGGTCATGTAGTGAATCAGTCGCGTTGTGGTCTTGGTGCGCGGGAAAGGCCCGGCGTGTGAGCGACGATGTTAGGAGCTGAATGCTATGTTAGCAACTAACGTGGAAACCTTTCTTCTGTTCCCCCGTTCCTCCCTGACCTTCTATGCGATTCTCTTGAAATGGCACCGAACCTAAGGTATACTTACTGGAGTGCCGCCTAGTGATTTAACCTCGTTAGCAAAGCGAATGAGGCTGGCTTGGTACTGCTCGAAGGTAACTCCGCTTGTGGACTTCTGGTCGTTGTGTCCAAACTATAAACGTATTAGAGACATGATCAGTTAGCTCAGATACCCTCTAATCTCCTATGTCCCTTTTTATAATGTGGCCAGCATGATGTCCTTACACTGATAGTCACGTAGCAATCATATTTGTCCACATTATCCTTCAGGTGCTTTGTCACATTCGCCCAGTAACCACCGGCCGAGAATGAGGCTGTCGTCGCGCCGCTCTTCCCGATATTCAAGCCCCAAGCGGGACTCTTAAGCGCGGCAAGTAAGCCATCACCCCATCCACCGTTGATCGCTGTCGTGGAATCGCCCGCCAAGAAAAACGCCGGTGGCTTAGACGAGCACTCGGCTACCGGACGACCGGTGACCAAAGTGGATAGGGTCGTGGCCCAGAAAATTAATCGCGACATGACTATGATGAGGAAGCACATCAACTATTACTCTTGATTACCAGAGTGTATCTGAAAACTACTTTCTTTCCTGGCACGACTGAGAAAAGCCCAGGCCGGGCTCAGGCCTCCATTTATACTACCTTAGCAGACAAGCTACGTATGAAGGCAACCAAGGCTCCAATTTGCGTCCCAAGATTTTTTATTCTAGATTTCCTATCTCTCCGCTGAAAAAGGTACGTCGCGACGGCTAGGCTATGGCAATACCACCAACTCTCGTAGGATTTATGCACCGAAGCACGGAATCGAGCTTTGCCCTATTGGTTCGCTTCGGGGTCGGTGGAAAATTAGAGGATATCGCCCAATTCATCCGGCGGGTATTAGCTACCCACCAATCATCAACGTTAGCGCACATGGCAAAGGAGATGGCAAACGCTTTCGGTAGGATGCGGCGCTACGTCTCCGTGCGGAACTGTAGTGTAAGATGCCGATAGCATAGAAGGCTGGTTCTTCCGGGCGTCGTGTCTTCGCCGGCGGTTGTGCCTCATATAGGTCATTGGTTTTGGGTGGTTAGAGCTCCGGTTGGGCTGACAGCGGCATATCCTTACCCGTTCTAGGCGGAATGGCACATCATATAATCATATATATATAGGTAAACTTGAGAATCTCATATGATGTAGTTATTTACTTAGAATAGAACCCAAATATTGAAGTTGATTTATTCTAGAGATCTTAGTGTAGCAAAAAAATTACTCCCTCCAACTTTGCAAGACAGTACTGTTTTTGTATCATACCTAGACGCCAATTTCTCGTAAGCGATAAACTCATACGTTAGAGCCAGTGTAAAGACTTACTTAGGTACACAACTCGTTACGTCGCCAACATAAGTCGCGAATAGCGGTAGATACCCAAAACCGCTGATTTTCGGCAGATATCATCACATTACGTATACACGCTTTCCGTCCAGGAGTTAACCTGCAGCCCGGTTTCTGCCATGTTGGCATCCTTCAAGTAATCCAGCGGCATCCATACAAGATGTCCTTTGATCTGATCAAGTTTAGTCCGAATCTCGTCTGGAGGGAGGAATCTGTCGAATATGTGTCCGGCTTTGACCCCCTTCGGTGGTAAGAAGGTGTTGTAATCCTCAAACGTTTTTACTATACAAAAGTTTAGATATTGGTCTTCTTAGCTATCTCTCCTAAGTCTGGAAGTCTTACCATGGTCATCCGGATCCGCGTGGAATAGATGTCTAAACATTTCCGTGTTCTTTGTCGCATTTTGAGTCCACATATCCCAGAGCGGTTCGCTCATAGGGTCCTCAACGAGCTTATAACTATCATCTCTATCCCAGATATCATTCGGCGAGTCCTCTCCAGGTGGTTGCGCATTCGGGTCGTTACTAGCGTCGTGCATCTGTGGTGGAAGGAGACCGAGGTGCTCCCTCCAGAGATATCGTCGCAATGTAGCCGCGTGCTTCCCCGCTTCAAACGGTTGTCCATCCATGACGCTTTGGATCTTGTCAGTATCTTCCATGACAATCGATAACTCGCTGTCGTGGTCGCCGAGCTGGCTACGGTCGTTCAGGTTGCTCGATCCACAGATCACAATGCGATCATCTACTATCAAAAGTTTGGCATGGATATATAGCTCCTCCTGAATCCAGTTGTCAACCTCTTCTTGAGGGTCGCCCTCCCAGATCTCTTCTGAAAGCTTTCCAGTGTGAGCCATTGCATGATGAGCAACACTGGAAGCAGACTTTGTCTCGTGGCCCTCTTGCCAAGCTGCTTCGAAACGACGCTTGGCATCATGGCTCTTCAAAGTTTCATTCATCTCCTTTTGCTCCTCCTTCTTGTCCATGTGCTCGTCGCGCTCGCCCTCAACATCTTCAGTTCCGTGAATACCTTCACCCATGATCTCTTCTGCTTCGGCTCGTTGGACTTCCTGATACTTAACGCCGGATATCTCTTCTTGCTTCTCAATTGCAGGTGTCTTATTTAAGCGATCGTAGGAGCGCAAGTTGAAGACGAATATATGATCCCTAGGATCAACGCCCTGGGCACGGATCTGTCCAAATATTGAATGTTCGCCGCGGCATATCGATTTGTACTGATAATCCATAATGGCACGTGTTCCGGTTGCGGCATCGTCTCGCAGGTCACCGGCAAACCCTGGGATCGCAGGAATGATAATAATCACCCTGAACTTCCTTTTCTCCTTACCAGCTCTTACACAAGCATCTACGATTGCCCTCCCTACTGTGTTATGGATTGGTGATTGCTTGTCGCCGGTGGCGGTGATGAAGAACTGGTTCTCGATGTATACATAATGCTGGGCATTGCGAATGATATCCGAATATGCATTTTGAATGGTATGATCCTTTAATATGCCACTTGACCAATCGGCACTGCTTCTAACGATCTGAGCACGGATGGTGCCTCTGTTGTTGAGGTTTTTCGTCTCAAGTGGCGTCAGAGGATGAAGCACATACTCACCGACTGGATGTTTCGGTCGCTGTACGCCTACAAGGTCTTCATCTTCGCCTTCACGGCCTCGTAGCATGATCCAATCGAACCTATCATCGCGCTTATACTTGTCCCTCTTGATGAAGTTCCAGCGTAGGACAAAGTGCTCCGCGATATCATAGACGCATGGCCCAACCACTCCCATGGCAACATCGTGCCAGGGCATTCTGCCGTAGTCGGCCTTGCTTAGTTCGTTCTGCTTCCAATCCTGGACGTTTTGAAAGTCCATTACACGATTATTATTGAAGTCTTGACCCGGCCAGACTTCATTGCGGACTCCTTCTGGGTGTACGTCAGATAGTATATGCTGGTGATCATCCCAGCGGCCGAAACAAAGATCGAGGCCGCCGATGAAAGCCATTTCGTAGTCGATGACAATGAATTTCTCGTGGTGAGCCCAGTAGAAAGTCATATCTGCAGCATTTTCTAGGAAATTATGGTCCGGGTGCCTCATGACAGTAATGTTCCCAAACCCCGGGGAACCCTCAGGACATAGGCTCTGCAATGCGTGTTTCGTATGCTCCGAGTTGCAAGTTAATGCTGCCTCAACTTCACGATAGACGATAACAAAGATCTTCACACCAGCTTCGGCCCGGCGCTTCAAGATCCTATCTAACCGCCATTCCTGGTTGAAATATGGGGGTCTCCGAAGAAACAACTCTGGAGAAAGCCACCAATCGGCGATATAGATCGTCTCCTTCGCCCGTTCCAACGCCTCGGAAACAGCCTATCCAAAACCTATGAGCTCTTATACTAAGGGGATACTATGATTCGGTATTGATACTCACCCAGAAGTAATTCCTTCCATCGACATACCATTTTATAAGATTTCCGTCTCGCTCTGGGAAGTACGAGTTGTACCGGTGACCCTCGGAAATTAGATTCCGTTTATCGTCACAGGCCTTTTCGTGTGCTTCATCGTGGCGATGTTGCGGATTAAACTACAGGTGCCGTCCCTGTGAGCATTCGTAACAATGGCTTCGGCAGCAGCAATTAGGACCAATATAAGAGCGACTTACGAGGTTTGCAAGCTTTCCAAATTTGTGCCTAAAATATTGTTAGCACATCTAGTTTGGAGGACATGGCTCGTCAGTACCGAAGCCTACTTTTGATGAACAAGAGTAATTTTAGCGTCATATAAATGCGTGTCCTTTAGCTTCTCCTTTAGATCATGGAACGGATGCTTAATCTTGTCCTTTATATCTGGATGGTAGTGCTCGCCACTATCTTCATGAGAGCCAGCCATTGCGAGCTATCATATGGGTATCTACCTAACCTAAGGTAATAAAACCATCAAAGCGTTTTCAGGAAGTTTTGATGAGGTAGATTGTGGTCGAATAGGACGACTAAGATGGGTTGCACCGCAATATTATATATCATCACCACGCAATGGAGTTTAGCAGTAGGTAATGACTAACTCCAATTGTAGCAATTGAGAAAGTAAGAATGGTTATCGGACTTATATATTGGTAGGAGGAATAGAATAGAATAGGCTATCTATACTTAACATATGCGGAAATGTTTGAAACATTTCGTGAACGTCTTATGCGTGAAAGCGAGATTGAATACACAAAAGGGGGAGAGAGAAAACGTCGTCATCAGTGGCTGATAACTTGGTCCTAGGATGGGAAATACCATCATTGATGTTGTTAAGAGTAGTACTAACTTACTTGGGATGAAGAGCAAACGAGGAAAATGTTTTGTATACCTATTATTAACCAAGTTTGGAGGCCTAGCACGGCAATAACGGCACATGTCGATCCTTCCTTAATGTCTTTCTTTAGCAAGCTGAGGAAAAAAGAGTGTCGATAAAGGTAGTGTATAAGCCTTATGTATGGTTGTATGGCTGTGTACCTGCCTAAGGTAGTACCTGATACCGATACCTGGCAGAGCCAAGACTTTATCGAAGCTAAGGATCATAGAACGGGACCGATCTTGCGAAAAAGAGCCACCAACGTATGTTGTTATTTATATAGTATGTAAGTCATATAGTGTTCGACATTCGAGATAACTCGCAATTAGATCCTGTCATGTTAACCTTTCATATAAGGTACCTAATAAAATAACAGGAAAGAAATTCACGATGGATGTTCCGATTCGAATTGGCTGGTCTTGTTACGATTGTCTAAACAGGTCTGGTATACGTTGGCAGGTTGGCAGGTTGGCTAGGACCCAAGGCTGCCGTGCCAGAGATCGAGTTTTGGAAACCTAATTGGGATGACGTCATGAATAAATCCAGGGATACACGACACACCTGAATCTGGTTGCAAGCATTCAATCAAAGAAAGGAAAGCGTGAGAGCCACTGTAGATCTGTGGCTAACCGTACCTGTACAATGTCCTCTGAAATTGGAGATGAACTCTTGGCCAACCAACCCCGCCCCCGCTGCCCCTCTTTAGGTACAATAGTACCTTACCTTAGGTAGTAAAGACCCCTCATTCAAAGTTTCAAACATCACCTAGGAGGTACATGTATGCGTTTACCTAACTTGGTACCGACGCTACGTACACCAAAATGTACGCCAAACGCACCAATTCAGATTTAGTACCTGAAGCCTGAAGCTACCCCTATCTTGAATCTACACCCTTCCTCATATGCACCATTGACCGCCCTTCTCCTCTACCTTAGGTAATTCTCCCTCTTTATTTCACAAATCACTTCCAACAAACCCGTAAGAATCTTCTGTTGTTCCTTCTCATCCTCATCATCTTCTAAGACATTACATTGACCATTTTCTTCTCTAGCTAACTCTAAAAAAAGAATCAACCATCACTATGGCTTCCCCTGCGTTCCCTCCCGGCGGTACTCTCCTCGAGACCTTTAAGAAGTCCTTCGTCGATGTACCTATTGACGCAAACAAAGACAATGCTATCTCTACTACCGAGTTCCTCGAAGCTGCCGAGTCCCTGACCACCATGTTCGGTACGTCCTCAGACCCCTTGGATCGTTACAAGAGATGATATTATTTACTTACCATCATCTATCTGACAGACGTACTTGGATCCGTCGCTTTCTCGCCCGTCAAGTCTGATATGTTGGGCAACGTCAAGGTACGTGTAGAGCCCAATGATGTACTTGGGAACCAGGAGATGCTGATCCCCCGAAAAAGAAAATCCGCGATCGTCAACTTGCTGCTCCTGCCGAGTCCGAAACCCTACAAGCTCTATGCCTCAACGAGCTAAAGACGAAGAAGCACACCGCCACCGAGGGTCTCGTTTGGTTAACACGGTATGATTTTGCCTAACACCCACTAAGAGAATCTTTTCTTTGGCTAAGTAAGCTACCTTACAGAGGACTGGAATTCACCTGCATTGCACTGAGCCAGAACTTGGCCCAGGAATCCGAAGAGCTCTCCGCCTCTTTCCGAAATGCCTATGGCTCAACCCTTAAGCCCCACCACGGCATGCTCATTAAGCCCGTTTTCTCTGCTGCTATGAGTGCCTGCCCCTACCGCAAAGACTTCTACCCCAAGCTGGGAGATGACCAGGCCAAGGTTGCCACCGAGTTGAGAACCTACTTGGCTTCCCTCGAGAAGATCGTCGCCATACTGAAGGGCTTCTTGGACCGCAAAGAGGCTAAGTGGTAATTCGAGAAGGATACTTAACGTATTCTTTCAAGACCCGAACGCTATATATCTCGATAAAGCTAAGGAGGATGTAATCTTTTTGTAGATTATACCTTCTTGTTAGCAGTTCGGCCGGTTTTGCAAGATGTGGGTTGGCCCCGGACATAATCAAGAGAGCAAATGTCGTCTATTCGGCGCAGCTAATAAATTTAAAGTCCCATGATGCTTCCACAAACCACCCCTCTGCTTCTATTCTGTATTCTTCTATAATAGGTCTACCACCTTAGATGACCGTCCTCGGCATGTTTGGACAAGATAGGAGTAGATACTTTGAAGAGATAGTCGAGGGGATAGTCAACTGGAGAGTTAGCTTTAAAGTAGATAAATATTAAAAGTGATCAGCTCAGTCTGTCAGCTTCGAGACTACAGAACTCCGACATAAAATATATCAACAACTCCGAATCTGTTTTGGTCAGTCTTGTTATCCATTAATTATGGAACCCCTTAGTAACAACACCAGTCAATATCAAGTTCGGAAAATAACCCCATGGTCATATCACGTCTTGCGAAAGATACGACAACCAAGCCTGTGTCCAAAACTAAGGGGCCACGAAAAACAAGAAGCTATCGTAAATGGATATCGGGTATTGATACCTAGAAATACAATCGCCTAAAAAGAAAACAAGATATATCTAACTCCATATGTGGCAGCCAAGCTGGGGGTTCTTCCCAGACAACCCGCCCATAAGTAGATACCTACCTGTATCTAAGGAAGATTAGGTTGGTGCATACACCTATCAAGGTGCTCTCACTATCGCCCAATTAATAGGAACCGACTCGCATGTAAAGTTACCAGTAACGCCTACATGGCCTCCGCGAGCAAACCTGTTTATATCCCTTTAGCATTTCTGCCATATCCTGGTAGAGTACCTAGGGTAATTAATAGATTAGGACCGTACTGACCTGATGATAGCCGAGTCGAAATTGTCCACCACGTCTCTACTGCCAATGTCGACTCGCCCACTTTGCCCATCGAGGCGCTTCACTCCAAACGCGCATGTTCCGCAGACGGCGATGATGTTTAAGTCGGTACCACTGTAATCCCCCGTTTCGAAGAAGCCAGAATTATTCTTTAGCTCCGTCTCGATGGCTGAGCAATCGTCGCAGAGCGCCGAGTCCGCGGTGGTGGTAGGAACGAAATTGGTCTCGAAGCATATGTCTGTGTGACTGTATTCCGTATCGTTGTGGAAGGTCTTCCAGAAGCGCTTCTTGTTGGTGTGTCTGAATGAGTCTCGAAGATATACGTCGACTGTGCTGCCGTTTGGATGCTGGACTTGGCGCTTCGTAAAAGCTCCATCGAGATTAGGGAGCTGGATCGCTGTTACAAGACCTGAGACACCGAGAGCCGTCGCAATAAAGGTAGTTAGATACATCTCGGGCCTGCTATGGAAAGAGAGTGGTATATCAAGACTATAGGTTTAAGGTATGTTGGTGTTGGTGTTTCCCGGTGAAATCGATGTTCGTAAATTCTGCAAGAGTTAGGTAGTTATTTTCTACATTGCTCGTAGGAATGCGTTCGTCCTCGTAGACGTTATTTATATGTAAAACCCAAGCAAACATATATCAGGCGTAGCGATATGCTAGAAGCCGTCACAGTGAATGGTGTCTCCCATGGAAATCGTTTGCCTGAATAGGATGCGATAATGCCATTTTCCACATTGAAATTGTGTACCTACCTCTAAGCTACCTAGGTGACTGTCACATGTGTCTTGAACCTGCCAGAATAATCACCATTCAATAAGGTCACATTGTCATACTGGTCATCTTAACTCATCTTCTCACATGTCTTGTTTTAAGCTGATTATGCTGTTTCTCATAATAGCTCTGGTGAACTCTTGGACTATGCGCTGCACAGTACAACCCTAACTTAAATCGGCTACCCGATAGACGTTTGTCTATATTTCATACTATTAATCTGGACTAATAGAACGATAAGTATCTCAGCTTCGTGGATTTTATACGTGGCAAGTAATCAGCTTAAAAGCCTAATATCCATCAAACATCATTCACAGGTATTTAATAGCGCGTTACAATTACCGCGACGTCAACAAAATACTAAAGTCAGAAGGAGGGGTCAAAATATTAGTATAAGTGCCGGATCATCGTATTTTGCAGAGTTTCCCATCTCCCAAGGTGACCACGTCCAAGTCTCAATATCGTATGGCGCGACTCTGAATATAATCATTACGCCGACCTATCATATTGCAAGAAAGTTAGACCACATCGTACCTATATAGTCTGACTTCTTGATAAGGACTCAAACAGGCCATGCGCTCAGACAGTATAGTATTACGCAATAGTCCAACACTTGTAATCGGGACTAGCAGATCTTCTAGATCCTCAAGTTAGATTACTCCTATGAGAACGGCCCACGGCATATGGCTTATTCAGGCAGGACCGCGTCTTCCTCCGGCGATAGGAACCAGGGAATCTTACGTCGCAATATAAACGCCAAGAATGTTGATTGTCACCATGATAGTAATAGTGTTACGCGTTCGACTTTACCCGCAAGTACCCCGGGGGGGTTCGCGGGTCATGAATCGGAATCGTAGAACAAAAATTCGGGTCTCCTAAGTCTTTCGAGGAGGCTTGTGTATCTTGATGAAAACGTCATGAATTACATTCGATCCAAGGGTTAGCAACTCGAGGTTAAATGTCTTAATTACTTTTAAGAGACAATGTCACGTTAAGTAGGACTTGTATTGAATGTGCTCCGATGGGCTGCTTGACTTGCGAGCTACATTACAATTGATATAAAGCTCATTGAGAATTCAAGTTCTAGACAGGAAGGTTGCAGAGCCCCTTTACTATCATGCTCTAAACCTGCCCAGGCGCCCTCCGATGCAGCACTACCAATACCACTCATGAGACAGTTGATAGCTACCTTGGTATACAGTCGGCACCATGCATATTTAAGCTGCGGACCAATAATTTATTTTCAAGCCTAGACTTCCATGAACTGGCATACTGTACGGTCATATAACTAACTATCCAAGTTCAGACGCCAGGACACGGAGCTCTGCTTTTAGCCATGACAAGAGATCACCATACTATTGGCTAGCGGGACTCTTTATACCGCATAAATACCTTAGTTCCAACTATTTGGGCACGACATTGCGGAATCCCTCGGTATCAAACCCTGTTTGCGTCTTCAAGCGTTGCGTTTGGGTCTTTTTTTTATTTAGTTCAGGTCAAATAACACCGCCAAGGACGAAGCTGCCTCTACGGTAGTGATACTACTGTTTTTTTCGTTAATATCCATCGTTTCGATATGCGCTTCCTCAGGCTCGGGGCCGTGTTAGGCTTGGTCGTGTCGATTACAGCTGCCTCCCCAATATGCCCTATTGACGGGCCTGCTTTTCCTAAGCCTCTCCGACCGTCTCAGAACGAAGCGATTAAGGCTGCAGTAGCAACGCTGAAAGATGTGTTCGCTAATATCACAGAAAAAGCTCATGACTATTCTCTATCAGTACAGGTCTTCTCGTCAAATGAGCCGGAGCCTCTATTCTCGCTGTCACATACAGCACCAAAGCTCGCGAGTCAGAATAGTACAGGGGTAAAGACAGTCGACGAGAACACCGTATTCAGGCTTGGTAGCTTAACAAAGATTTATACAATATACTCATTCCTGATCAACGCTGGAGATAAGCTTTGGAACGAGCCAGTCACTAAATACGTACCTGAACTTCAAGCGTTGGCTAATCGGTCGGACCCAGTGAGCTACGTGGCGTGGGATGAGATCACACTTGGGGGGTTAGCAACACAGCTGACGGGAATTCCCCGTGAATGTTCGTATCAATCTTATGTTTGGAGATCTTGGACTGACATGTAGCAGATGCGTTACTTGGAGAGTTGACACAATCTAAGGAGACAAGGGACAAGGTGTTACAATATGGATTTCCACCGTTGACTCCGGACCAAAAGCCTCCTGTAGGTTCTCGAGAATATCAACCCTATTTTAACATAACATTTCTGAGTTTTACTATCATAGTGTGGAGCGTACCCGACGTGTAACCGAGCGCGTGAGTCTCGAATCACACACAAAGGTTACGCATAACACTAAGTTTCCTATTCAGAATTCTTCAATGGGATTGGTTCATTCTACCCATCTCTGGCTCCTTTCCAGACGCCAGCATACTCCAACGTTGCATTCCAACTTCTGTTAGTATATATAAAACCACAGCGTTGATAACTTATTAACCATAGTTGACATGTAGAGGATATGCCCTGGAAACAATTACGGGGAAGACCTTCCAGTCATTGATGCAAGAGACCGTGATCGAGCCGTTAGGGTTGAATAATACGTTTCTGAAGGCACCCGAAGATTCGCGTGGCATTATCCCCGGCGATCATTATGAGACGGGCTGGGCTTTTGATATTGGTGAATCAGTGGCGTAAGTCATCGATATCCTCCCCCCTCTCCCGATGTACTAACTAAAGGGTAAAGCACTGGGAACATGTACGCCTCAGCCAGGGACGTATCTACGCTGGGTCGGGCAATCCTTAGCCACAAGCTGCTCTCGCCAATTGCCACAAGGCGTTGGCTTAAGCCTTTCGCCTTTTCGTCCGACCCACTGGCCATGGTTGGAATGCCTTGGGGTGCCAGAAGGATTAAACTGGAAGACACATACAGATATACGACGGCTTTCAATAAAGCCGGGAATATTGGAGACTACAGTGCTCTCTTGGCTATTCTACCGGACTTCGACATAGGATTTACCGTCCTCCTAGCTGGCGAGTTACCAGGAAATGCCGGCTTTGGTCTTGCAGGTACGTATCTAATACTCATTAACAGGATTGGGATACGGAACGACTTACATCGAGACAGATACTCTCGGAGAATATATCCTCCCCGCGATAGAAGAAGCTGCTCGTACCGAAGCAGGAGCCAAGTACAGCGGACACTACGTCTACCCAAACCAAAAAATAAACTCGTCCATGACCATCACCACCGACGAGCTCCCCGGGCTGAGTATATCCCAATGGTTCAGCAACGGCACAGATTTCGCTTGGATATCAACAGTCTTACAAAATCAATACTACCCGGTGAAGCCTCGCATCAGGCTCTACCCGAGCGGGCTCGAGGGGCCGGCAGAAAACGGCGGAAAGCGTGTAGCGTTCAAAGCAATGTTTGAAGATGCAGACGCCCCGAGAAATAATAACAAGATGTTCTCGACAGAATGCGGGTCGTGGGTCTCTATTGAGTCGGTCATATATGGGTCGGCTGCTGTGGACGAGTTGATTTTCAACCTGGATTCAAGTGGTAAAGTTGTTAGCGTTATGTCGCCGTCGCTGAGAGTTACTTTGAACAAGGAATAGTTTATTCTTCTCTCTCGAATTCAACATTATAATATGAGAATATTATATGGCGTCTAGTTCTAATCCGTAGTTTGTAATAAGATTTAGGCAGGGCCATTGGCTTTTCTTGTATTGTACAATACGATTATACATACTTGCGGCATTTGACCGCCAGAAAGTTATGAATATCTTCTAAAGAGCCTCTAGCGTAAGAGCCATAGTCCTAGGAGGTAATAATGATGTCAATTTTGCGGATGCTAGTAACTGAGTGGTCCACCGTAAGCATCGCAGGCCGGGTTAGTCGTATGTTCTCGGAGATTTCGAGTTGTCCGGACCTTACAGTACAATAAAATGCATCTGTCGATACCTTGCCGGTTGCGTTCGAAAAATATCATTTTTCGTACATTGTTCATTAGGTACATACATACATTTTTCTTACAAAAATCCCATTCCAAATACGAGTCGTCAGCGAAGCTTAAACATCATATCTTATATATCTTGACCATCCTGAATTTCCATCCGACCTTGCGAAATTGGAATACTCTTTTCCCAAATGCCCTTTCTGTCAACCCCCTTAACACTCGCAGCCACAGGCGGCATCTTGGGATCCGCATGGGTATCAGGTAAGTCGGTGCGAGATATATAAGTACCTAAGGTAGAGTAATGAGCGATAAGATACTAATGCAGAGGCACTTCTGTAGGTAATATCACCGCATTATCCATCTGCGGAGTACCAGCAATCCTCGCAAGCGGGACCACAACAGAAGGTCTTCTAAGAGGGTGGTCTTTACAGTTCAAGAGGGGAGCATCCTACATGCCGACGACCGCAGTAGCAGTCGCCCTAAGCTATGTCTATTTAGCTTTCCGACATCGTGAACGTGGATTTGAATGGAGGGGGTATGCTGCCGGCGCGTTATCTAACGTCTTGCTTGTCCCCTTCACTTTGATCTTTATCGGTGGCATCAATAACAGGATGCTCGCGGCCGAATCGGGAACGGGCAAGCAGTTGAGTCAAGAGACTGTTCGGCATCTGATCGCGACATGGGGAAAGCTAAATGCTGTCCGGGTCTTTATGCCATTAGCTGGTGCTGCTTTGGGTCTATGGAATTTCCTTCAATGATTATGGAGGTCCTCAAATAGCTGAGAGATAAGACCAATATGGGAAACAGGTCATGATCCTGTTCGATACTCTACCGTGGTCCAGAATTTTACACGTCATAACAGTGCATAAATTTAATCGATGTCGTCTTATTCATAACCATCGGTCGTCCTTTCTATATAACTTAGCAATAGTATAGTTGTGTATCCTATTTGATTAGGAGCGTTACTATTTCAGTAGTAGTCAATTTCAGCACCGCTTTTAAAAAACTGGCAGAAAATCTAGAGACTCCCCTTATTTGTATTACCACTTCAATTAGGTCAATTACATAGTAAGCTTTACCTTGATTAGAGCTTTCTAATAATATAAATATCAATTAGATAAATGGTGTATTTTAAATGCTGTTCGAAGATATATTCAATAGGCGCCCAACCGCTAAAGCGCCTCCCGCAGAGCCTCATTCAATTACATACCACATCTCCCAACATATCAACCATTATATCTTCTTCAATCGAAAGATAAGTTATATATCCAGTTTTGCCTTAATTAGAGCTTTCTAATGATATAAATTTCAATTTAATGTATGCAGTATTTCAAAAGCTATTCAAGCACGAAAGTAGGTCTAGGTAGGTAGGTACCTATGTATAAGTGGTGGCGCCCCCTTTCCGCGAAACATCGATATTCAATTGACTATCTCTTACAATAGCTTTTAACATACTACATACATCGAATCGAGGCTTATATTATTAGAAAGCTCTAATTGAAGTAAACTTAACTATATATTTTTCGTATTTTGTATTATAAGATTTAATACAATATATTGGTTAATATGTTGTATGGTAATGCGGATAGGGAATCTCTAAGTAGTAACCCTTTTAGGCAGGCGGTGAGAGAAGCGGTACTGAAATTGACTACTACTGAAATAGTAATGCTCTTGATTAGTAGCACCCATAAACTAGGATGATTTATGTCAAGCCATCACAAATAGTAACTAGTATGCTGTATCGAGAAAAGGCCCATGGGTTACACCGAAACATCGAGTCTCAGAGCTCTAGGGACAGCCTCGACTGAGATAGCACTAGCAGCAACCGCTTCAGTTGCGTCAATGGGCTCCAACTCAGTCTCTTCGCCTGCTGTTGGTTCATGAGCAGTTTGATGGGTCCTACGCCTTGCACCAAAACCTAGCGGTTGCAGTAATTGCGTGAGACTGCTTACCGCGGAGGGTCGGTGGAACGCCTCCTGAATATTTTCAAGAGAACGGCCGCGAGTCTCAGGCATATACAAGGCGAGCACAGCCACGGTAGCCATCGCAAGGCCACCGAACAAGAAATAGGCACCGAACGCAGACGCTTCCAATAATATTGGAGTGCAGATAGCTACCAAAAAGTTTGTTCCGAAGCATAGGCCCATAGCAACGCAATTGGCTGCTGCTCGCGTGTGGCCTGGCTGGATCTCGCTGGCGTAAATCTTGCCTACGATTCCCCAGGTGGCGCAATACGTGAGACTGAAAACGAAGACGGCGATGATGACAAACCACCTGGCCACGCCGTAGGGATGAACAGCATCTGCTGCGTAAAGACTACCCATTAGGAACATACAGGCTGCCAATGCGATACCGCCGCTGATGGCGGAGGTTCGACGTCCCCATTTATCGGCAAGCAAGAAAGCTGGGATAGAGATAAGAAGCATGAGGATGGAAGAGAGACCAGAGGCGAGGAACGAGGCATTTTCTGACGATATGCCGGCTTGTTCGAAAAGAATAGGGGCGTACTAGAGATGTTAGCATACCTACTATATATAGGTAGGTAACTAGGGGAGGGGCGGGGACTATGGAAAAGGAGAAGATACTCACATAGAGCACACCATCTATACCGGACAGCTGAACCATCCCAAGGATAAACAGCGCCAAGATAGTGCGAGCACGATATCCCCTCTTGAACAAGAGCGCCATACCCTGCCACGGAGTGAGACTAGGCGACTGTTCTGTGGTCATGAGGAAGTCACGCTCGGCTTCTGCCATGTTGAAGTCAAGCCGCTCCAGAGCACGACGCGCATCTGCCTGTCGTCCCTGTAGCATGAGCCAGCGAGGGGAGTCTGGGAGCAGGAGGCAGCTCCATGCGAGGACAGCCGAGAAAGCACATTGTAAAATGTATGGCACGCGCCAAGCCAGATCAGATTGTAAATTAACAGTCCCGTAGCAGGTGAAGTATCCTGCGCAAACACCAGCGGTAGCCATGAATTGAGGTAATCCAGTAAGCGTACCACGCCATCTCATGGGCGCGATCTCGCAAATATAGACGTTGATATTGCTGAGGAACACGCCCTGACCAAACCCGGCAATCGCCCTGCCGACGGTGAACTGGGCCAAACCGTGAGCCAAGCCTTGAACTAGGGCCCCGACACCGAACAGGATCGCGCCGGGGATGATGATTGTGATTCGCCCGAACTTGTCGGCGAAGTGCCCGGCAAACAGGGATGGCAGAGTACCTGTCAGCATGATTATCGAGACCGTGATACCCAGCATGCTCGCCGAGAGCTGGCCTACGGACTCGGTGAACTTCTGCATGTGCGTGATGGCACCGATAGACCCGGTATCGTAGCCATTGAGCAGGCCACCGAGAGAAACAGCAACGGCGGCTATCACATATCGTGGTGCAAAATAGGGGTGAGTAGGGGGAGATGACGACGCCATGTACGTGAACGTAGCCTAGAGATCTTGTTAAACTACTTGAAAATACGATACCAAAGGGCATAGGGAAAAGAAGAGCAGAAGGCAATGAAGTCTGCGTCGAATTCTGCTTTTTTATACGATGACTTCATGCTCACCTTCCCAAGATCGAGATCATTCCAATCTAGGCTTGGCCTGTTAATTCTCCGCACATCACATGGGTCGTTCCCCTGTCCTTGCCATGCTATGGCAATGGTGGATTAATAATATCGTATGTATATCCCCCATCACTATCCCCGCGGTTTTGGTACCTACCCCTAGCTTGGATACCCCCCTTTCTCGGAGGACTGCCGGAGAGCCCTCTCCCCTCCCCTACATTTCCTGTACGTCGTTCACGCGCCGAATGAGGTCTAGATTATGCGTTTATCAGCTTGTATGACGCTGACGCACAGAAAAGATGTTTGCTGAGCTGCGGCCCACCGTATGATATATACCGGTAAGGACTTCCGGGCAGACTTCCACACTTTGATATGCATATCTATAATGCAGTTGGTGTTGTTCCCGTGGAGAGGAGTGGGTATTCTTGCAGACCGACCTTTCCTCCGGTAAATGGAGACCTTAAAAGTCACCAGTTAAACCGGTCCGTTAGAAGCCATCAATACGATATGTCACTCTTGACTCTCCCGTATGCTCGGCTAGAAGTTCGGGAATGCCGGCCGCAACGTGAAGTGGGTTGGCTCTCTTCACTCGTCTACCCGATATAGGACAGTATAATTCGCTCTATTAACACTAGTTCTATTGCCACTTATACACGCGGTTGGTATCAAGCTTACATCAGATTCACACTTAGCATGTTCTCACAGACGTGATCTACCTTCTAATCTCCTTCTCCTCCTTTCCGCTGTAATGGCCTTCTTAAACTTCGCTGCCTCTTCATTACTTAATTTTGCCTCGGCTTGGCTTTCTGGTTTGGTCACTTCTTCAAATAGCTTTGCGCCTAGCATATCTGCGAGCCGCAAAACTCGTGTGCTGACTGTAGCACCATCTCTTCGGTTCTTACCTTCGCGTCTGCTAGATGCGATTCGCTCAATGAAGTTCCATAGTCTACCAGACGGTTGCAGAGCGCCTGATTTGGCAGGCTCGCGGGACGGCATCCATTCGGAGGCGAGACGCAGACGAGGGGGAACCTTTGAGTCCTTTGATTTGACCACGTAGATAATACCCTCTTCTTCAAATCGCTGGTACGAATTTTTTAACGTTTCTTTATTCACCGCCTCAAAATAGCTGAGATCACCTTGGTGATAAAGCGTTTTACCGAGCTATTATTATCGTTGTTAGTCGAGACTTTTTTTCTTTTTTTTTTCTTTTTAGCTTTAATGTAACCATTAGATAAATCACTTACCAGCTGGGCCGTATTATGCGCTTTGGCAGCTTCAATCCAAATGCCATTATCCTGCTGCCCAAGGGGAGGAGTAAGTCCCATCAGCGACACCGCGGCAAGCCAACTAGACTCAATAAACGGCCAGATTAAGAAGCAGTAGAAATCGTAGTTCTCTCTACCAGCGGCTCTCTCTTCATCTGCAAGCCCGATGCTCAATATACTGCCATGCTCGTCTCTCTTGAGGTTGAGAACACGGTCGTCTTCTAATCCAACTAGAGTCTTTTCTAAGTTCGCCGCGAGTCCATCGCCTGGGAATATAAACTCTCCACGGAATAGTGATGATAGGAACAAAATTTGATCCCGCAAAGCATCATAAGATATTTCCTGATGAGCAGGACCTCCCCCTAATTTAACTCGCGTATACATGCTAGCGCTGATAAGCGCTTCTGAAATAAATAGGTGAATGGTCATGTTTCGGTCTATTGCATGTTAGTATTGCTTTTGTAGAGATAGCGGAAGAACTCGTGTGCATATTACGAGTAGTAATTTGAATAAGAATTTGCGTGGGGAGCCATAACTCCATAAATTGGCTAAAGGGGGGAGAGAGCAATGTCTGAGGTGCAACTCACAGAATGAAAGCTGGAATCTATCCACAGCGTAGTATGTCGGTTCTGCCAAATCCTGCACGACACCGACGAGATCTTTTCCCAGGACATCTAAACCACGTTCTATAACGTCGGATAAGGGGGCGTTCCCAAAATGTGCAACGCGTCCTCCCTTTGCTCTTACTCGTGCGATAAGCCATTCGATCCGCCTCATAAGTTCCGACTTGCCCACACCACGACCCCTAAGTGTTAGTAGTACTGTACCGATCAACGCGGTAGGCATCACTACAGATACATCGTTGATATCCGATAGGACCTTGTACCCCATGGTTCGTAGTAGTTTCTGCTTGATGGCGGCATTTTCTGGGGTTTTGACATCAAGCCGCAAGGTTTCGGGGGATTTGGTGATCTTGGTTAGTTGGTCGTCGATATAACTGCGTAAGCTCCATGGCTCGTGAAATCGAACATCCACTCTCCCCAATCGTAATGATAAAACGGACGAGCCACCGCTTAAGAAATCAGCTAGGTTCTCCTGTTTCTTCGGAACGCCGAGTAGTTCAGTTACGTAGCCTTCCGTCTCGATGACTTTGTCGTATTGTGTACTAACCGGGCAAATAATGGCATCTTGGACTCGACCTGACAGTAAACTATCAAGAATAAAGCTTAGGATGCCAAACTTAGGAGAGAGAAGCTTCCCTGTCCTAGACCGCCCGCCTTCAATGAAACACTCGAAATTATATCCCCCTTGAAGTAAAGTATCTATATAGGCTTGCACAAGGGTGGTGTATAAAGTGTCGTTGCCAAATGATCGCCTAATCCACATCGCACCTTGGACCATAAGTATTTAGATATTCAACACCAAGTGAGATTGCATATGCACTTACCCGCATGTTGTAAGAAGCTTCCAACGACTGGCATATTCAAGTTTTCGCCTGCAACAACAACTGGAAGCCCCAAACCCAACCGATAACATATTAGTTGCATCGAAACATAATCTACGTGGGACCGATGAGAGGGTAGAAAGATGATGCTCTGCTTCTTCTTCTCCGCTATCTCTGCTACTTTTCTCAACCGCAAAACTTCCTCGCTGGAAACATGTATTCCTATTCATCTGGTTAACATAACATATTCATACTTTTCCAAACGCTCGGAATCTCCCAAAATTACAGACCCTGATGGTACGCCCGTGTGAGCAATTGCGTAACCAAATAATATGCGCCTCTTATGAATGTCTTACTCTCAAACTTGCAAATCATGTCGTTGGTCATCTTCTCCGCGACTTCTCGAATGCTCGACTCTATAACGGCCCGCCTTTGAGCCTTTTTACTAGCGAAATCTTGGTCGTCTTTCTTGAGCCAGCCTTCCTTCTCCTCGACCTCCAGTCTCCTGTCGGCAAGCTGGGATATACGGTCCTGTAATAGTGGTGCAGATACAACCGCGTTCTTCATTTTCTCGGAAAAGCCAGGGTAGAATATGGGTTGTCCGATGAAATTGTCGTAAGCTCGCCACCCAGTACCAGAGATGTATAGAGACACTTCGCGTAAGAACCTAGACAAGTCAAGGGCGGCCACGGATTAACATTTCCACAATGGATAATAACACAAGATACGGGATTAGATAGCATACTGTAATGGCTCGGATCGAAAACGAGCCATGTTGTGCATTAAAGGCTCGTGGTCGTCATGACGGCGAGCTTCCACATAGCTTCTCGGCTGCAGGGTGATCTGGTCACCGAGAATCTGGAGATCGGGCGCCGAGTCGCGCGTAGGGTCGTCGTCATGCGCCATGGTGCTGGTGCTATTATTTGGGCGATGCGACTACGGGATTTAGGAGAATAGGTGATGCTCGCATTCGCTGCAGCTGAGGGTATCTCAGCAATCTGAAGTTATAGAGCATTCCATGCTACGAGTAAACGGTTGGCCGGACACGTATCTAGCTGCCATAGACGAGAAACATAGGCGAGTTCCGAGTCTCTAGATTCATAGGTTTTGGTTTTAGCCAGCGATTATTCCAAACGAATTTCTCAGCCATGAAAAGTAAAAATGGTGAAAGGTTCAGTATAGAAAACGTAGGTAGCTTATAAATAGGTACGCAACTTCCTTTTTAAAAGTTCGACTTGCCACGAGGAACACATGTAACACAGCATGTAACGCGCTGCAGCTAAAGGAACCGGTTAATACCTAGACCTAGGTACCAAATACCGAGGCTTTAAGACATGTAAATCGCCTGCAGCCCTGGAGCCACTAGAAGGCAATTCCGTATGGGCGATATTCTCCACTATCATGTACCTAAATTAGCTAGTACATTAGGTCCCTAAATGCTAGAAGTACCTAAGCGTCTACCGGTAGAACTCTATCGATAGAGAACGATCATCTTTCAATCCAATCCAATTAACATTTCAACTTTTTGTCATACCTACTTTCATCCATAAACTACTGGTATATGACATGACGAGAACAGCAACAGCATGGCGTCAAACAATACCAATAACCAGTCCTTGACCCATGAGCTCCTCTCGCGCGCCCATAGCCCCGATAGCACAAACCGTATCTACTCCGAAAAGATCCAACACCGTCCTCTCTTCCTTAAGCCCACCTCTCCACCTCCGTCCAACGCCCGCGACGCTCGACGTAGAGCCCGAGTCGAGAAGCAGAAGCGCCTAAAAGCGCTGAAGCCGAAACCCCTCTCGGCGCGGCAGCGCCGGAAGCTTGGTCTCTACGATGTCCCAAAAGAAGGTCGAAAGTATACCATCTTTGAACCGCTCAACCAACTATGGTTGGGCTACATTCGTGAAATACTCGGCAGTGAGCTATACACCGGGGGACAGGGTGCCGCCGCTAAACTGAGTGCTGCCGACCTTCACGGTGCTAAAGTTGAGGTGTCGCGCAGTAGCTGTCCTAGTCGTGTCGGCCTACAAGGAATCGTGATCAAAGATGCGCGCTTCGTCTTTGAAATTATTACCCCGAAGAACCAGATAAAGACTGTGCCCAAGGAAGGGACCGTGTTCCGTATCAGCGTCCCACCAGTTCAGCAAGGAAACACTGTAGACTCGGCCCAGGATCAAAAGGCATTCATTTTCGAGGTTCATGGCGACCAGTTTCAGTATAGGTCAGCTGATCGTGCGAATAAAAAATTCAAGCCTCATTTCCTAGAGAATCTTTGAGCGGCTTCACTTTCAGTAGTAACTAGTTACGTACTTAATATTTGCTACGTATCCAAATGAGATACTCGCGCTCATGTTGGCGTCATATCCAATATCATATTCGGCAGACTCCCAGAATTATTCTAGTCTAAGAGTGCCAATACTAGATGGATTCAGAAGAGGCGCATATCACCAAAGTATCCCTCGCGGGCCTATGGAGACTTGCCTAGTATATGTCCAGCTCAAAGGATCTTTGAAGAAGGCATAAGGTGTATCTAGATGGAAGGCTCATTGAAAAATCGGTTATGAGGAATATAGCCCGACGTCTTGCAACCACTCCGGGCTAAAGCTTCCTTCGGTTAGTCACTCTCAGACATCCTTGGATAAAAAAAGACCATTCGTCTCTCGCGACGAGCGAGAAGTCATCAAATCAAAAGGATTTAGACGAGCTCGGATTATAAGGGGGAAAGCACCCATAAACCTACTTGCCAAGAATAAAGTGGCAGCTAGACGGACTTGGATTGTCGTCTCATGCCCTGCTTTTACAACTTCCAGGGTGAGAAGATTTCACTTTACCAAACGAAAAACTTGTACAAGGTCTTTCTATCACAAGGTGTGTGTGACTGCAGTCCTCATGTGCCGATTCAAAATTATATGCTAAGTCGGAGGTAAATAAACCATTCTCGTCAGGGCCAAAAAAGCATCAGCATCCCTAGGCTACCTAGACGTACCATGTAGTTAAGATAGTTACGCGTTGCTTATATCTACTACAACGTCAAGCTCTCAATGACCTAGCCTCCAAACGAAAAGGGGGAAACGGAAACCCTAGGATAGTTCAAACCAGAAAACAATCGGCCGAACCCCACCTCTACGCGGGAACAGCAGCCGGCAAGCCCGCCTCCTCAAGTAAGATCTGCGCAGCCCTGAATAGCTTCTCATCGTCAAACCTAGACGCACACATTAGCCGCCCATCACCCCCTTATACTATGTAAGCAATCAGTAAATAAGAACACTTACCTCCGTGCAATAAGCTGCAACGAAATCGGCGCATCCTTATACCCCTCCGCGCCGTGCTCCTTCCACAAATCATAGATATACTTATCCTTTTCGCTCAGGGGCTGGTACCCCTCAGGGTACTCATACGGCTTCTCGCGTGCGGCGTCCCCAACTGCGTCCGCGGCAGGGAATATGATGGCTGGGTAGTCGAGCAGATTCCACTGCGAAGTATAGCCCCAGTAACGGCTGGTGCCGTGCTTGGAAGCGACGCTGGGACCCGCAGGCGACAGAATGACGTCGACGGGGTTTTCGTTCAAGAGCTTCGCGTAGGCAGTACGATAGTTGTCGCGCTCGCAAATGGCTTTCCAAAGAGTTGCGATGGTGTGCTGCGTTACGTCCGGGTTCTCGTGTAATATGAATTTAGATAGAGGTCGCCAGGGCTCGCCGGACGAGTCCACGGCGGCTTTAACGTCGGCGCCGCCGTCGGCAAAGTACAATTTTGCCTATTCACGCGTCAGTAATGCTTCTGGGAGATACCCCATACGAGCAAGCTAGCCCCGTATATGGAAGAAGATTAGGCGTACGATAATAGACCACGCCAAGTCGTGTTTCCACGGCTTCCATTCCACAATTTCGATATTCGGGCTCTTCTGTAGCTTTCCCACCAACTCATTAACGGCCCTTAGAATAGGCGGGTGTGGTCTCACAATGCCATCGTTGTAAATAATACCGACTCTGATTTTCCTATCCGGGTAATACTGCTCCGAGTCTCTCCAGTCCAAGCCGACTAGGCCTGGCTGCCTGAGCCAGGGCTTCTGGTCGATAATGGACTTGGTGAAGACCCGGAGACCCTCGAGGCTGGTGGATATGGGACCAGTGGTCGAAAGGATGGATTCGGCACCAGCCATGGCGGCGACCCATCCGGCTGACGGAAGCCGCTGGCTGGTGGGCTTGAAACCGAAGAGCCCGTTGTTCGCTGCGGGGACACGGATGGACCCGCCAATATCCGTTCCGATTCCGAGAATCGAACCCCGGATCCCAATCAGCGCGCCTTCTCCGCCTGATGAGCCGCCAGCACTCAGGGTAGTGTTGTAAGGATTCGCAGTGATGCTAAGGTAATCATCAGCACAGTAGGTCTTAACCCTTTAAGATCGGATTAACTGATTGCTACTCGGCCATGCATTACTCACCCGTATAGGTTAGAGTCCGTCTCAATCTGCATCAACGTCTGCGGTTGAGTAGTTCTCGCGAAGATTACCGCCCCAGCACTTTCCAGATACTGGACGATTAAGGCGTCCTCCTCGGCAACTTGACCGACCCAACCTACGAATCCTGCATTTATATCTTCACCTTTAATGCTGATGTGCTCCTTAACACTAATTGGGATGCCATGAAGTGGACCAATAGGCTTCTTGTTAACGGCGAGATACTCGTCCAGCTTAGCTGCCTTTCCCAAGGCTCGTTTCGGTAATAATTCAGTGATGCTGTTCGTAAGTTTTTGTGCCAGGCCGGCACGTCGCAGAAATGCATTAGTAACTGTGGTCGAACTCCATTCCCCCGAGGTTATTTTCTTGACGAGGTCCTCAACATCTGCGTTAGTGATTTGGATTTCCTGTTCTGTCAGAAGTTTCTTCGGGATTCCGGTAGTATTGAGAGGTATATCTTCCTTGCGTAGTTCCGGCACCGGCGGGCGGATCTCTGCGATAGTCGCATCCCTGTGTCGCTGGCGATCGGCTGCTACATCCTGCCATGTTGCTCCGTTGGCGATTGTGATCGTAGCGGGTGCCATATTAGCGAGTTTTTTTGTAGCAGATTATGCCACTCGTGTTTAAATGTAGAATGGACTTAGTTTGCGGGTGCTTGCGAATATGAACTTCTACATTCTAAGACTCCAACTCCAAGTTCCATCTCGAGATACCAAGCTATATATACCTGTAAGTAGTCCCTCACAGTACGATAATCCGTACGGGCTATAGATGATCCAACAGGTTTATCAGCATATCGGTGAACTCCAAATCCAGTTATGGTTGCAGAAAGCTTCACGTTAGATAGCGATATGACAAAGGTTAGTGTATGATAAGTCAAGCCCATGCAAGATATCGTAAGTAGCTATAAGCCGAACCGCGCAAACCTTGATCACTGACATACATCCTGGTCGAGATAAACACGTCCCACACACCATCTCTCATGTAACCAAATGTAACACGAGTGCTTTCTATATGGTATTGGTATGGTTAGGTTAGGCAGGTAGGTACCTATCTATAGCGGGGTCAGATTCGGTGTATCAATTGACGTCGATCTAACCTAAGACTTCCTATTGGTCTTTTATACTATTTATGTATATGACCGGGCTCCAAACTCCTTGCAGGTAGTTTGTGAGTGAAGAACACTACGCCGCAAACGAGATAGGATGGGGTCCAAAGGGCGAAATAAAACCCAGCTTATTAATAACACTGAACGTGCGCATTGTTGGTCACAGATTCATCGTGACATATATTACCCTCTTCAATCTATGTCTCAATAGACAAGTAGTATGTAATCTGGCGATGATCGTGTTGGTTTCGTAAGAGAAAATGGAAACCGATTAGCGTAATGGAGACGAAGCCGCCAAAGGATGAAAAGAAATGGAGATATAGCTTAACACGATATGCAGGGGATACTTTCGCGCTTTAACGCCGTTGCTGACAGCTTTCGAATATAAAATCGGTTTCCTACGCTTAGTTTAATAGCATTAGTATTACGGCAATTAATGACACCGGACTACTCCATACTCTCTCTCTCTCTCTCTCTCTCTCTTAGTTTGCGCCATTCTGGGAGAAGTTCATGCTGTAACCACCGGTCTTCTCATCTTTTACCATTTTGAAATTTTCCGTGCTGAGACCAAATGGCTTCAATATTCCGTTCCCAAGCTGCACGCATTCATTTCGTCAGTGGTCAAGTCCAAGATAAGAGGCACCTTCATTCTGTAGTTGCAACTTACATCTTTCAATTTTCCCCACATCTCTGCCATCTCCTTTTCTTGTGCCGCCTTTGTTCTTGAGGGGAGAATTAGTAATTGCGTCTGAACAATCTTCCTGTCTGCGGCGCTGAGGTTTGTCATAGCCGATAATAGCTTGTAGTCCTCTTCGGCACCAGCTAGATTTGACCAACCGCCAAGCTCACTCCTCGCCCTAGCTCGCCTCATCAAGGCTTTTGCTCTTATCCTAAGGATATCATTGTGCCGCTTCTGTCTTGCAGCTTCGGCAGAGTCCTCCTCTTTTGCGGCCGGGGCACTTTTTTGGGCGCCGGAGCTGACGATCTCCTCTTCAACTTCGTCGTCTTCGGCGCTTGCATTTTTTTGCTTTTCTTCGCTCTCTTTCTGCTTAGCTTCTGCTTTTTCTAGACGATCCAGGCCATCAATGGACTCGGTGGCGGGTTTGATAGCTTCCTTCCATTGCTCTAGTTTCAGATAACACGCAGCGAGATTAGACTTTATGACGGCAAGCTCGTAGTCGAAGTAGTGTGGACAGACAGACGCTGCCTCTTCATATTTCGTAATTGCACTTTCGTATCTGCCTGAAGCGAATAATGCGTTTGCTTCGGATTTTTTTTCGTTGGATTCCCCTAAAAGATTCTAAATGATAGGATCGACATCACATAATTAGAGAAATGAGCTAGACGATTACATGTTTCCCACGCATAGATGAAAGATGAAAGATGAAAGATGTATACGTACGGCTTCTTCTTCCGGCGAAAACCTTTCGGGAACTATCAACTCATCTTCCGCATTTTCTTCCGCATTTTCGTCCGCCGTATTTCCTACTTTTGTTTTATCGGGTTGCTTTCCCACCGCCTCTGACGGGCCTGTCATCGCTTCGTGATAAAAGATTCTCAGAGTTGAAGATTACCCTAGAAGGTCGATGCCCGATAGGCACATTAAATGGAAGGATTACGGAAGAATCTGGCTTTTATTCAAGGTTACGTAACTTGCCTGAACGTATCTATGAGGTAAGTTTATAGCTACCTCTAACCTAGCATGTACATAATCATGCAACTCATTCAATCTTTTAGGTTCTTAGGTACCTACTGTAGGTACCCATTTAATTATGCAGATACACGTATGAGGACCTTAGATCCAACCTTGAAGAGGCCTAAGGTTTGGTGCCTGTCAGCCCCGCCTTAACGCAGGCGAAGAGTTTACCCCGCCATAAACTCAGCTTGAATGCATTTTTAGGCGGGGTAATCTGCCTTATATTACTAATATTACCTACCTTGGGTTAGGTACGTACATGAGGTCGACTACCTTATATATTACCTAGAGGTATTCTCACTGCTTCGTACATACGCATTAGACCAGCCACTTCTCCAATAGCTCCTCAATATCATAACCAAATGCGATGGCGCCGCGTACAGAGTAAGTCAACACGGTCTCGCCAATATCCACGGCCGTATATACTAACGACTACCCTCTCAAGTTTCCCTCCTATAAGAGCCTGTCTCTTCGACATGGACGGTCTCCTTCTCGACACCGAAGATATCTATACTCTCTGTATAAATCTTATCCTCGAAAAGTACGGCAAAAGTACTCTTCCCTGGTCCATCAAGGCCAAGTTACAAGGCCGACCGGGTCCCGAAGCAAACGCGCTCTTCCATGCATGGGCTCAGCTGCCCGTTAAGGAATCCGAATACCTCGGCCAGCTTACTGCTTTACAACAGGAACACTTTCAAAACGCGAAGCCTTTACCAGGTGTAGAAAAGTTGCTTGGTAACTTAGGGAGGACGCGATGGTGGGACATTAAGGATGAACAAGGAGTAAAGAACGGGGATAAGGGAGAGAGCGGCGGAAAGACGCAGCAAAGAGTTCATATCGCGCTGGCGACTAGCAGCACGACATCCAACTTCACCGTCAAAACTGCCAAATGGACCGAATTATTTGCAGTGTTTGAGTCGCACCGGAGGGTACTAGGCGACGATAAGCGTATCCAGCCCGGTCGTGGAAAGCCCATGCCGGATATTTACCTACTCGCACTGAAGAGTATCAACGACAGCCTCGATCCAAGTGAAAACCCAATCACGCCGGAAGAATGCCTCGTCTTTGAAGACAGTGTCCCAGGAGTCGAAGCCGGACGACGAGCGGGCATGCGAGTAGTATGGTGCCCTCACCCTATGCTAAAGAAGGAATACGAGGGTCGGGAAAAAGAGATCCTGGCTGGTCGTATGGGAGAGGCAGGCGACGTTGACCAACATCAGTTGGGAGAAATCGACGACGGATGGGCCGATTACTATCCTGATCTAATCAACTTCCCATACGAAAAATATGGAATAGCTGTGCCGCCAGCTGAGGTGGAATTAGATGCTGCTATGAAGGTGAATACCAAGGACGAGCTCATCGCCCAAGACACGAAAACTGCGACAGCGTAGCGATTAGAATATGACAACGACATAGACAGTATGTTAAGTGCTTATATATTACCATTAACACTCTGACCAACTGCGCAACGATAGAAACAGGAGTGTCATGATGACTGAACCTAGGTCACTACTACTACCTAGGTAGCTTACCTAGGTAGTTATTATATTAATAATACAATAATAATGGAATTGATCACTCACGTAGCAAGTTATACAAGGGACACAGAATCATAGATTGTTTGTGACGCGGTAAAGTTCGGTTGGAAGAAGAATGTTAGCTGTCAGTAAATATCCCATAAACTAATTTTTCCATCTTTGCTACCAGCTGCTAGCCAGTGAGCCTCTTTCGCCATCTTAATCCGTCGATCCTTAACTGTAAGCTGGGTCAACTTAGAGGCAGCTACATTAGTAGACTTTTGATTATCAGAAGAGATATTGGTAGTAACCGCCTCGTTTTGGGATCTCTCGTTAGCCTCTACATTGGCAGTGCCTCGCTTAGGGAAACCTAATTTCTGGCCGTCATCCAACGTTGCAAAAGCAACTGCGTAACAGCCAACGTCGTGCCACTTCAACACTGCCAATTCGGACATAGTCTTGGCTGAATAGACACGCACTTTCGAGTCCCATCCTGCAGTTGCAAAAATCTTGCCATCAGATCGAATACGCAAGCTTTGTTGCCCTGAATGTTTAGTATTGATAGTTTTCAGGGGTTTCGTTTCAATGACCGGCTTCTCCTGTCTCGGAGGTATCTCGGGCCTCAGCTCTGATGAAAGTGCAGCTGATAGTAGCGACGCGCTCGAGGCCTCGGCACTCTTACTGTTCATCTGCTTCGGATGTTGTGATTCCCGGATAGGGAAAGTCGCGGTAGGAACCGGGTGCTTCGCGATAATAGCATCAGCACCAGAAGTCAAGAAATAGTCCTTGAGGGGATCTAAATCGAGGGAAAGCACCGGTTGACTATGCACTTGTGCTCTGTATAGTATGTCCCACGTTTCACTTCCAAGTTGCGCCACTACTGCAAGGCCGGATTCGTAGGCAACAGCAAGAGTTAGATGGCCTAAACGCCAAAACAGACAGAGAGACATAACCATGCCTTTATTCTCCGTCTTTTCCCCTAGATTAACCGTGTGTAGCCGATTCTGGCTTGGAAGTTGGAAAATATCAACCTACATAAACGGGTGAGCGGGAAAGTCAATGGAAGATGTTTCCAAGTAGGGAGAAGGAAAGCTAGCAGACTTACAGCCTCTGTCTCTAGCGTATTGGGTACGGCAATAAGGAGCTCGCCCTGAGTAGGATCTTCTGACGTAGGGCAGGACGCAAAAGAGCAAAAATTCATAGTATTCACATGAAGTACATGCAGAAGCCACGGTTGCGGTCGTTCAGGCGCGGATTCGTCGAGCGGCAGAGCGGTGCTCATGGTAATCTCATCTTGAAATCCAAGTTTCCATACCGCCAAGCGGTTGTCTCTGCCGTGTCTGAGATATACATCTTAGTCACGTGGCAGCCCATTGCGAAATCAAGTTTAAATAAAAGGGGGTGGGATAGATATAGGGGTAAATGCTGTGACATGAGACTAGACATACGTGATTATCTTGTCGTCTCCCCAGTCGGATATGCCGAGGATAGCGTTTGTGTGAGCGCGCCAGACAGCCCGGGGACGCATGATAGTAAGATCCCATAGTACCACGAATCCATCTGCATCTCCAGATGCTAGTCTCTGGGTTTTCCTGACGAAAGTAGTGACATGCACCTGGGTGCGATGTCCTCGAAGGACTGACTTAGGCTGTGCAGGCTGATGTTGAGACATGGCTTCAATAGCTGCTGGCCTTTGATAAGCCGTGAATAGGAGGTCTAATCCCCTTTACCCACCATCGCCGAATAAGGTGAGTGAATAGGGGTCTGTCTTAAGAGCTAAAATATGCTGGGTAAGGTATTAATATTTGAGCAGACGTGTATTTACATTAGGTACCTTTGGAGAATGTAAATATACCGTAGGTATGAAGTAACTTCTTGAAAGTTGAGGCTATTATTAAGTACCTAACCTAGGTAGGTATCGACGAAAAAGAAGTCGTTAAAAGTTGTCATGCCTTAGTAGGTAGTAATGAGCTCTGTAATGCATACCAGGTACCAGGTAGGTAACCTTAGCTAAGGTAAACGTAGGATCGGTCGCATTGTGGGGTACATTTCGGTATAGTTCAATATATACTTTTCGCATAAATGCTTATAGTATTGTATACCCGATATTAGGCACTAAAAGCGTGTGTACACTTGAGGGCACCTAGGTAAACTCCGAAAGGGAAACCCATTATTACTATTATTTTACCTAACCAACTCACAATATCTAATGCTTCAATCCCGCCTCTATTCCCGCTTCCCTCTGGTAGAACTATGCCGTCCTGGGTTGAAGGAGACCTTACCGTTTCCAGACTGTCGAGCCCGAGACGCAGGTCGAATGTCTCTCCTAACAATAATAAATACTAGGTACCTCTCAGCTTCTTATCACTTATACATCCTTAATATATGTAGGCTGGCCGGTCCAGGAAACAGTAAAATACGCGTTACAATTAGTCCGACCAAGCCGTTTTCCCGCCCAATGGACTACATATTTCTCCGATAGATTTGCACGTTATTACCATCGGTCCTAAAAGAATATTAGAAATGTGGCTCGTGATACAGACATGCCCAATGACAGCATGCTAGACAGCATGCTGGACGCAAGCAACTACCCGCAGTTGAGCACATGGAAGGGCTCTTGTTTAAGGCAACCATTTTACCTCTTTGCCTGCATACTGGAATGACGCCCTACACCTATCTTCACCTTCGAAAGGAGTCATATGATATCGCCTGCGCTGTCTATGTTGCATTACGCCCTGCGAGCTGGCCGCTGGAAGTCCCCGTCGGCTCTTCTCTCGGGTTTGCTTGGATGAAAAAGTTTGGTGGCTTGCAGTTAGCAAATCAGCTAACCTAACAATTCATAGCCATACCCGTCTCGGCGTCGCGGACATGAACAACTGAATGAATATAAGGCTCATGACGCTCATCACATAGCTTCAGGTTGCCGTTCACGCCGCAGGGCCGGTGAAGACGTACCTGGTCAAGTCTTACCTTATTACGGCATCGCTTGCACAGACCGAATAACAGGGGTTGTGTTTCGACGTTGAGACTGGCCCAGATTCCGATCACGCTGTTAGTTGAAACGGAAAATCATCCCAATCAAACATCAGCGAAACCACTGTGGATACGAACGATCAGTGCTTCTATATCTCTCACAACCACCTTTAGAATTTTTATCTTCTACTTCTGTGCAGTACACACCGACGTATTTATCCAAATGAAGCATAATCCTCACTGGTCGCACCACTTTGAACGGGGCTATGGAAATAAATCAATAATCTTCTAACCGTGAGGGTTATATCATTACTTAAAGACTTCTTGGTAACATATATATCAATATCCACCTACCCTGCTTTGAAAAGCTTGGCAGGGTCCGGTGCATTGGTACCTACCTAGGTAGTCATCCCACATAGGTATAATAAACCGTACTCTTCGCAACTTTTGCCTATGCTTGCTATCCAAAGGGTATCCGCTAGAGCTCCCCGGAATTTCGGTACGTTCCAGTTCCCTCCTGGAAGCAACTTAAGCCGAAGCACTTCTCTAACAAGTACCTCTTGTCACGGAGTGCGGGATGCTACCATATCTGGGGCGGTGGGGTCCTGCTCGGCACCCAAAGGGGATATGAGTCGTGGGAGGCCAGCCTTGAATGATATGGTTGGTTAACTAAACCCCTAGGCCGATCTACGTCTTAGCTATAGCTGCCACTAATAATGTGAAAGGTAAGAATTTACGACCAGGGGTTGTTTGGCAATAGAGTCTCACACCCAGAGCTACCCCTGTGATATGTTGAATTAGTGGTTAACCACCGATCCGTCCCGAAGCCTTTTTTGCACGGGACCGGATTCCAAGTCCATGTTGATTTCCAGAAAATATAGCAGAGATCTCAGCGACGCTTATTAACAGGCGATGAATTGTAGACCGGCTCGGAATTTGAATACAGGTATGTAGATGACCACGCTCTTAGATGAAGCCATTGTCAAAATTGGGTTGACTCTTCTTTCATCCTGTGGCACGCTAAGAATATCTCATGGAGAGCTAGGCTCTAAATTTTTATTTCAAAACTGAAGTACTTATCTACCTCCTAGGTTATACAACACTCGAGCCATCTTCAACAGAGAGGCTGTGTTCCTGTTCTTCTCTGTCATTGCATCTTTCCCCCTCCTAGATCTGTCACATTGTTACGTGCAAGTACCTAGAGAAGAAGCAGCAGCATATTCGTATTAGTTTACCTAGGTCTCTTACCTTAAGTACCTAACCTATTTGTTTCAAGTGACAGTCCATCGTCCTGCAATCGATTTTTTTTTTTTTTTCACTCCATCTATATAGGATGGTTTCTATCCTAGCCTTCTCTAACTTTGCCTTACCTTACTTTGAATAGTGATTCAACCTAACTCTTGACCTTTCGGTAGAAAAGAAGAATAGATAACAACAGTAAGGGCAAAGATCCGAGATCCTGGCCCCAATCATAAATCGGCACCACGCACCATTCTGTAACGGTACACAGATTTCGCCTGGCCGGAAGCTTCCAATCAGCTGGTGTTGTCTCGATCAGAATCCGAGACACCTGGCGCATCTCTTAAGATCCTGTACCTGAGCTCGTTCATGAGATAGACGGCTACTTGCATGCAGCGCGCCATACCGAGCCCTCTTACCTGGTCCAGGCGAACATCTCTACTTCCCCCACCATTGACTCCAGGCTTCAGAGGTATTTGCACAGCAGCATTCCAAGTAGATAGCCTTTCACCAACGGCATAACCGGAAATAGCAGAGTAAAAACCAACTTGGTAGCCGCGAAAATAGTACCCGACTACTTGCTTTGCCGGCGTTCACTTTTCTAAAGGCCGGAAAACCCCGTTTCGATCTTATTCTCTTTGCTCGTTCTGATTCCCGCTCAAAAGTCTTGGTGCAATCAAGGGCTTCGTCTACCGTAGTCCTGGCAGCATACGACGTCGCTTCGTTGAATGCCCTCGCAGTGGGCTACCCAACCGGCGCTCCTGCGCCATTCATGCATCACTATGCCGAGCAGTTCTCGCCGCCGTGTACCGTTAGTGGCGGTTTCTCGAACGAACAATTCTATCTCCCTCCTTCGAAACGCCGAAGGCTCTCCATACTTGATCCGCCCTCGAAAAATATGCCAGAAAAATCAGGCAGGGTCTCCAATATGACATCCTCGGATGTAATCCCCGTTAAGAGCAGGAGAGTCAGAACGGGTTGTTTAACATGTAGAGAAAGGCATCTTAAATGCGACGAAGGTACGCCAGACTGCCTAAATTGCCGGAAAAGCAATAGAGAGTGTAAACGAGGTGTGCGGCTCAACTTCATCGACATGACTTGCAAAGAACCACCGTGTATCCCTGCAACAGAAGAATGGGCAGGTATGTACAATTTTATTATGCAAGTGTTGAAGATCCTGTAGAAGGCTGATTCCAGGCGTAGTTCACTTCCAAGACGAATCCCGCCTGATCGCATCGGAATACAAAGGAGGGCTAGGAAGATACGCAAGCCTTGATAGCCGCCCTCCCTCCCTGCCGCGAGAATCCAACTTTAGTACCAGATCTCAGATTCAGTCGGGAGCTGTTGAAAGCCTAGAAACTCAAGTTAAATTAGAGAGCAGATCCACGACTGTAGCATCCCCACCACATAATTATTATAGTGACCGCAGTCAGACAAATATGGATCTTGTCGCTGGGAATCATCCACATTCGCGGAATAGTAGCGAAACTTCTTTTATGGGACCTCCGGGACTCGGGCGCTCAACCGGGTATAACAACACGACATCAGATCCTTTTGGCTCTGCCAAAATCGAAAACAACCGGGCTGTGTCACATAACGGATATCGAAGCGATGATGTGTCAACAGCGGCCTCCGTGGCAGGATACACTGGCGTTGGGCCACCATCGACTTTTAGGGGAGGCTCGGGGGATAGCAACGTGGAACCGGATGCTGATGTGGGCGTTTTGACACCTTCAAGCGAAAAGTCGGGGGAACGGGAATATCTCAATTCGCCAGAAGAGTTAAGGTTTATGCAGGTATTCGTCTCGGAAGTAGGCATCTGGATGGACAGCCTCGACAAGGAAAAGCATTTCTCGCGCCAAATCCCCTATCATGCGCTCAAGTGCCCGATGCTCCTAAACGCGCTTCTCGCATGCGGGGTGAAGCATCTAACGCTCACGCAGCAATATAGCGACGACAAGGCGCTCTTCTATTACGACACAGCGACGACCCAGCTCCTGCGCAGTTTACAGAATCCCGAGCGTGACACTGCCGAATGCGCAACCACCGCTGTAGTGCTCAACGTATACGAAATCATGAGTGATAAGCCGACCAAGAGGATGAGCCACATAGCAGGTGCGCGAGCTCTTATTCGAGAGTGCGGATGGAATGCCAAGAGTAAGGGCCTAGGCGCAGCGTGTTTCTGGTTGAATGTGGGCATGGAGCTTCTCTCGTGCTTGGCCTTTAACTGGCAGACGGCATGGGAACCAGAGAAATGGGGACTCGATATGGATTTCAACACGGAGAAGGATACTGGGAACGAAGAGGTTTGGGTACATCGAATCTTCTATATCGTAGCGAAGATCGCCAATTTTCGTGCCAGCATTCCCAAATTCCAAGAGCCGAGCCCTCACGACGAACAGGTCCGGCTTCAAACTAGGTACGCTGAGTGGCAGCGCCTTAAGAATATGTGCGACGATTGGAACAACTCGTGTCCTCGTCCTATGCACCCATTCGGTTACCTATATCCTTCTCAGCAAACGGGGACAGATAATTCGCTATTCCCAAATGTCTGGTATGTTGTCCCTGCTTTTAAACTACAGGCCGCGCTCTTTTACGATCAGTGCAAACTTGCAATCAGACGGTTAACAAATTCCCAGGCTCATCAAACGTGCCGCCATCGTTGGTAGGCTTTATTATCATACGGCGCAATGTTTGCTTGCGCAGATAAATCCCATCCTTCCCAAAAACTCCGAGGAAGCGCGCGGGGTTCAGCAACACCATGCTCATCAAGTCTGTGGTATTGTAGCGCACACCAAGGACCGCGGCGTTGCCAGTGTCTCGATTCGGTCCCTAGCCATCGTCGCAGAAATCCTGACCGACCTTGCTGAGCAGCAGGAAGTGGTATCAATCTTGGAGAAAATCGACCACGAGACCGGTTGGAAGCTTGCGGGTGTCATTCAGGGCCTTAAAAAGTCTTGGGGCTGGGAAAAGATGGGGCAGAACGGACTCGCAGCGCAATTCTTGCCTCGAGCTGGCGGTGGTAGTAAGATGACAATGGGCCTGGAAGGGCACTATCGGCGGATGGAGTCCATTCATGCCAACCTAGCCACAAATACTACACCGTCACAGCATCAAATGATGCCTACCGTTGCGCAATCTGGATCTCAGCAGCTGGCGGCGCCGCGGCCGATGCATGTCAACCCATTGAGCTTTGCCGACTTCAGTCTCCCAAACCATCCTTACCAGAATTGGTACGAACCACCCAGTCGGTCTAATGCTTACAGTTGACAGGGTCTCCTGTGATACTTACGCAAACTATTTGAGAAGAGTATATTTTGATATAATTGTATATATATAATGGAAGGTTATAAAAAAAAGGCTAGCCTAGGAATTTGCTATTGGACTCGCATATTGGGAAATTTATTAATACCTTCAAAGTCCGGTTTTCTTTTGGTCCTCATCGCTTGCCCCTCTCTGCTATACCAACTTCTTCACCGGTGGAGTACGAACCTTACAGCGAGCAATGGTATGTATGCAGAAACCGTGTGAGCAAATCGGGTCAGGTCGGGAGCTTGGTATCAGCAACAGTTACTTTGGGAGCACTTGGTGCGTTGACAGGTCCAGGGCATGGGAAAAAAAAGTTTGGGTGAAATGCATTCTCCAATGATACTCTCGCTGCTGTGGAAGCACAGAGAAATATTCAAGACTGTCGGAATGGGGACAGTCCATACAATAGTTAAGAAGCTATCTATACTAGGTGACGATCTCGATAATATGCTCAACCGTAATCCATTGGCCGGGCCTACATACTGGATAACTAGGAAGTAGTTCAGTAGAGCGCGATGTTACGGAGGACAGGGGGGGCGATATCCTTGAATAGGCACTGCTGTCAGGAGGGTTATTCTTCCTGGGAAGAATCTAGCTTGCTTAATAGTAGACACGGGCACTCCAGTAGCAAGGGACGTGTGATCTGGACAATCTTGGCACCAACCACTACTACCTCTACTCCAGCATATGCATGTCAACTGGCCGAACGAAGGTCCGCAAGCCAGCGCTCGAAAGCGCGAAGATTAACTTTGTTACCTCGTTCCTCTACACTAAGTAAAGGCCTCAACAGCAGGCGTAGAACCTTATAGTTATAAAGGCGACAAGAACTAATTTTCTGAGAAAGCTGGAAGTTAAATTAGCCGCTTTGCATATGCACGAATATGTTCCATGAATGAGTTGGGGTCATATACTAGGAGATCTTAAGCATTAAGACGAGAGCCCAAAAGGTCACCTTGTTAACGGCCATATATAGACCTCCTTACCCTAAGGCAATTGTTAAACTGGAGATAGTTGTTATTACGAAACGGTTGTCGGATAAACCAAATGTTAACATATGCAAGTATGGAGAGAGGTGATTAGGCATAAGAAGTAAGGAATGCACGATATTACATGTCGACTTCGTAATGCCGGCACTTAGAGAGTTCACGATGAATCTTCGGGTTTTGTATCTGTTTATGTCAGAAGGTGAACACGATTATGATTGAATAACTAAGGGCACATGTAGAAGGCTATACAAATAATAATTATAAGCGTTTCCCCAATATCTCCCCTGAAATTCATCGTATCTTACAAACTTAACCAGGCAACGGAATTCCTCACAATCTACTACGGGACCTCTAATAGGGCGGTTAGCTACCTAAGGTACCTAGTATTATGAGGCATACCTTCACAATAAGAGTGTATGAACGCGTACCAAGTTGAAGAGACGAAGGAAGAAAAAAAATAGCCCGGGTGGGATTTGAACCCACGCCATTTCCAACCTCGACATCTCATCCAAGTTCGTTGCTCGGAAGCGCGTTATGATGGAGAATGTGCTACCACTACACCACCAGGCCTTCAATTTTATTGTTCGATGTTAGACGTATAGTTTCTTGATATCATATGCTGCCTTAGGTACGCAGGCATCCACCAACAGCAGTGAAGTGACTTATGTGTAAATAGTAGCCTACCTACCTGGTACACACTCACAAAGTGTAAATTAAAAATAGGTTCCAGTTTACGTATTTCAAAATATGCTGTACCTAATGTATTTTGACCGGCTATGTAATGCCTAATTACTACCCCTTATCACGGGCGGAATCTTTTGCGCTTGGAGGACTTTTCGTAGGCAATACCGAATCCATGAGAGAATAACACCGGTCATATATGATAGGATCTAGTATGGCGTAGTATTGATATATTTAACTAAACTTGTATAGGTATCTAAGTAGGTGGCTTACTGTGATATGTATTTAACTAAGATACCTTTTGGTAACAGACCAATATCAAGCAATATCCACGTAGTTCGTAACGTCTTTGAACGTTTCCAAAGCATGTCCCAAGTATTTTTGTACAGACTTGGCCCGGGCTGTCATATCAGAGCCCAGAAGGAGTAAAGGTTCGGATTCTCGTCCAGCACCAATGCCTTCTCCAACAACTACCTCGTATACTGCTTTCATTCCCTTGTCCTTATCGCCCAAGGCGAACTGTATACCGGGTATGTCCGCACCAGCGAGAACTTGTAATATCATGTCGGAAACAGAGCCCTTGTAGTCATCCGGCATCGGCTTCTTGCCTGGCATGGTAGCATTGGCTATGTTGGTGTTGAATGCTCCAGGGACAACTGTTAATGTTCGAATGTTATACGGAGCGACCTCCTGCGCCAGGACTTTAGTTATACCTATCGCCAATTTAGTACCTATTCACAAGGCTAAGAAAAGTTAGTAATTAGTAGACGGCATACCATCGAGACCAGCTTTAGCTCCAGCATAGGGGCCCATCGTTTCTCTGCCCTCTAGTGAAGCGCCACTGCTAATGTTCACAATGGCGCCAAACCGCCTCTTGCGCATATGCGGGACTACGGCTCTGATCAGACGTAGAGGACCGAAGTACATGGTCTCCATCTGGCCACGAATCTCATCTTCAGTTGCGAGTTCGACAGGAACCAGTATCGAATAGCCAGCGTTATTCACCAGAACATCAACCTCTAGACCTGATCGCTCAAGCTCTTCTATGACTTCCGGGCTGTTGTGATCGTTAACGTCCAACTTCAACCATCTTCCTCCTTTACTCTCGACTTCAGCCACGAGCTCAGGCGTGCGTGAGGGGTTCCTCGAAGTAGCAATAACAGTATGGCCGTTGTCTAAGGCTATACGTGTGAGCGATAGCCCGAACCCGGAGGAACATCCGGTGATGAGCCAGGTCAGCTTCTCCTTAGGCTTGATGAACTTGAAGGCCATGTTTGTTTACCTGCCGATATTAATAAACGAGGTAAAACTTAATAGTTTATATGTAGAGCGGGTGTTCGTGTATCCAGAGATGGTGTTACATGTGTGAACTGGAAAGGGAGGATTTATGGTTACTTTATAGATCTGAAGTAACAGCCAAGCTTTCTTAACCCGTGCTATAGCAATATGTAAACCTGGTGATGACAGAGATTCTCTATTATCACGGGGAATAATTTAAGTGGCCGGTACACCGGCACACCTCCCGGGTTACAACATACTGGTTTCTAACATATTCTCCATACCTGTCGCCAAAGGTACCTAACTTATTTTCGTTTCTTAGTATAACAATGCCTAATTGGTTAGAAAAGCTACCAGATGATTCTAGGCGAGATAGCTTAGCTAGATACTAATCTACCCTGACCCCCAACAGTATCCGTACAGCTAGCTACCTACCTCGGTAGGTACCTACAATATACCAAAGCGATACCAATCACCCCAAATTCCGCGTTGGGGCCTTGGTGTGGGAATATACGTAAGTGGTCATGTAAGCTTATGCATACCTAAAATAAACCCCAGAAGGAACCGCATTTTCGTTAAAGAAGAATCTGAAACTTGGAGGCTATTCTAATACACAATTTGATAGGATATATTAAACGGTCATGACCTTCATACCAAGCATTTACATAAGTCCAGCTTACTACTGCAACCAGTGAGAATATTCAAAGGAGTCCAACCCAGAATCCAGATAGGTATAATATCCCACCCCTGATGTAAGAATACCTACACCGAGACGTGCAAGTGCTGGTGTCAGCTTGGCCTATTGGTACTGAATCTAGCATGGACTCGCGTGATACGCAGTGATACGCAGTTATATGCAGTGATATCTAATAGGCCCGGCAGCAAGCCGGAACGGGAAGGATGGATTTAACGGGATAGGCGGGATAGGAACTATATACGGTGTTAGCAGTTAAAACTTTAAATCAACGGTAATTCGAGCAGGAATCTGGGTCAGATCAACGGATTCAAGACTGGGGTCTAGCTTACCTGCGTCGCGGGTCTACTACCTAGTGAGGGTAGGCCTTGACTCGATTCGTCTCGAACTTTGAACCGCAACTAGTAACTAGTATAGATTCTTTGGGCGTAGCAGTATATGCGGCTTTATGTTTGTGATACGTGCCGGCATGAATCCTACTCGTCGTGCTTAGAAAGCCGAGATTTTTAGAAGGGGATCGACCGGCATATCTCATCCCCGTCACAAAAACAAGGAAGTAAGCCCTTATAGGTAATCGGTCCAAAACCCTTGTTATGGAGGAATATGCAACTGCTCGGGCATAAAGGGTACCTAGGTACCTAAGGTAGTCATTACAGGGCACATCACGATATCTTCAAGAATTACAAATCCCTCAAATCTGTCCGTCTCGTAAAGATCTGGGTATGGTATGATTTTCACGGAGATCTGCTGCTTAATTCGAGTAAGGCGTAAACGAAGAAGAATACCTAACCGGCCAAGGACCTAGGTTAGGTTAGGTTAGGTAGTTGGTACCTACCTGTTATAAATAACGAAAATATATCTTCCTTCTGGTTTTATATGCGAATATTGATATGTCAACGCTTTTGTTACGGAGAGGAGGATCAGAACTACTTAATTGGCTTTAAGATGTATTGTATAATACGATTGATGTACCTAGGTTATAGACGGCTTAGCGGCTTTAAAGGAGTACCCACAAGGCTTATCAGCTTAGCGCTAGAGTAATACTGTGTAGTGACGTCGCGCTGATAAGGTTTTAGCTACCTACCTCCTAAGATACGATAAACACGGTGCGCCTCAGCTCTTCAATTCATCCATTATCCATTCAAATCCCATAATCCAGAGACAAAGCTCCTCGTCGTTGACCGTCAGAACCCCCTGCAGGGCCGTAGGCTTCTGCATGTACAATACACATTCACCGACATTTTTTTCATCCAAGGTGCATCTATACGCAAGATCTCGTTTGCCTGTCCCGGCGCTTTTTTATCTTTTATTTCTTCCTTTTTTAATGTTTAACTAATGAATCTATCCTCGTTATCATCATCATGAGCGAAGTTCTAAATTATCTTGTGCAGAACGACGAGAATTTCCGGAGGTAAATCCATATCTTATTCATATCTACCCTAATACGGAAGATGCTTCGAGTAAATTATCCTAACTTCAGATTCTAGAGCCCGTCTTCCTGCACTCTACTCCGACTTCCGCTCTCAACGAACGCTCAACCCGGACGGCTTCGCTGCTAACGTCTCAGCATGGAAGCGCGGGCTCTCCTCCGCCGTTCTAGCTGGCTACGTACCCTCCAAATCCGGGACGAATAACCACTTAACCCTCGACCTCGAAGGCGATTCTCTCCTGCGCTCTCTCGAAACCAAGCAATTCGGACGACCGCTCGCTCTGGGTACCGTGCTGCAGGAGGCCTTGGACAATGGGGAGATGATGCCGCTGCAGCAGTTCCTCAAGGCGAAGGAGAGCATATATTACCGATCGTGGAGTAGTATTCCATGGTCCGTCGTGTCATGGGGACTCCGCCAGGTCGGTATAGGCGGGCCAGGCGATAATTTACCCAAGGGCCAATTCGTGATACTACACAACCTAGAAGTCGTATCCAAAGCCTTCGGCGAAGCGACCGAGGACCGCACGTCACCTTTCGAGCGGACCTTTTCAAAAACACATTTCCAGAGAACGTTTGCCGAGGGCTTGCTCGAGGACAAACAGCGATTGTCGGACATAGATATGGAAGTGCTCGTGAAGTTCCTCTCGAGAGATAAGCACGTGCTAGCTACGGATGGGAACACGGTTAAGATCCGGAGCAGTGGTGAAGGTGTAGAAATCACCCACGAGGACTCGGCGATCGCATCTCTCAAAGAGCTTATGGAGGACTTGACGCGGCAGACCGAAGTGCTAAGCAAGCGTATCGACGACTTAAATCTCGCCGCCCAGGATGCTGTGAGGAGGAAAAATAAGATCGCCGCGCTTGCGGCTCTTAAGTCAAAGAAATTGGCCGAGATGAATCTATCACGACGGCACAACACACTCAGCCAACTGGAAGATGTGGCGGCTAAGATCGAGCAAGCAGCTGACAATGTGCAGCTGGTAAAGGTTATGCAGTCAAGCACGGTAGCTCTACGCAACCTGAACGCGCAAGTCGGTGGTGCCGACAAGGTCGACGAGGTGCTCGAGAATTTACGAGAGCAGATGGGTGAGGTGGACGAGATAGGAAACATTATTTCCGAAGCAGGACCCGCAGCCACCGTCGACGAAGCAGAAGTTGACGACGAACTCGAAGCTATGCTAGCGGAAGAGCGGAAGAAGGACGAGGAAGCCGAGAGAATCAAGCGCGAGGCACAGGAAGAGAAAGAGGCCGAGGAGACGAGACGCAAACTTGCGGAGCTGGAGAAGCTGGGCCCGTTACCTGTACCGGGGCAAGAAGGAGAGAAGGCTTCGAGGCCCCTTACGCCTATGACAGCTACGGCTAACGAGCTGGGAGATATGAAGATATAAACCAATAATAACAAGGCTGGTGAAGCAGCCGTGTAATACATATTTACTTGCTAAGCAACCATTCGATAGATCCTCCCTTGGACAAACAAGGTAATAATATATTAGCAATTATATCATCGTCGTTCTGGATGACGCATCAAGATCTACTCCTCCATCCTCCCTGTCTGAAAGCTCTGCAACAGAGGCGTTTGACGAGGCAATTTCGCCCGTTAAATCAATTATTCCCGTCGCTTGTGTGACAGAGTCGACTTGCTCTTGTGGTTTTTCCGAATGATTCAACGATGCTATCATCTCCGAATCAGGCTGCGGAGTTGGTTCATACCCCTTATCGTTGCTGGTGTTAGATGTCCCGTCCACCCTCTTTTCATCTTGGCTGCTCTTGCGCCCCATCAATACTTTGTTACGCCGCGCATTAGCTATCAGGTCCTTAAACGAGCTGTCGTGCTTAGCGGCCCAGGCCGCGCCGTCAAAATCCTTGTCCCTGATTTGCGCTCCTAAACTAATTGTTCGTGAATTCGTTGGTGCTCGACTACCCACCGTGCGCTCCCATACGTCGAGATCGTGTAGCAATTCCCCTTTGCGCCGCGGGTATTGCGAGTCGCAGTTTGCGTTCCATATCGTCGTCCACTCCTTGTGTCTCTTCTCTAGCATTTGTCGACTTCCTGCTGCTGATATACCTTGCTCTTGCAGTTTCTTCCGTAGTTGCGGCTCTTTAAGCATTGAATAGTTTATTGCTGGTAAACGCTCGAATGTTCTTGCTGGTGCCTTTTTAGGCGAAGATGAGGAGGAGAAGGCATTTGGTATACTTGTAGATCGCGAGCTCGGCTTCGAAGGTGTTCTTTCTGGTTGTGGTTCTCCTGGACATGAAGTATCGAGATGCCTGTCTACCTGGAGCGGTTTCATGCGCTGCAAGCATATGGGACATGCTACTAGGCCGTCATCTGGTTCGAAATCTGTCGGTTCTTGGTATGGTACATCGGCCTCTAGACGTGCCATCTCGGATGTCATCTCCATACTCCTCGATTTACTTAGCCTCGTAGAAGACCGTAATCTCTTTCCCATTCGCTGACTTGATGAATCTTCATCCTCTGTATCTCCCAATTTCCTCTTCCCTGGCTCGGCTATAGTATCCTGCGATGTCTTCGCGAAGCGTAGGACGTCCGATCGAGTTTTCGTAAATGCGACGACGACTTCCTCCATAGACCAATTGCTTCGTAGTTTCATCTCTTGCTCGGAAACACGACACAGGGGACATTTCCCGTCGTTAGAGAGTGCCCGGCGAATGCATATGGAGCAGAAAGTGTGGTTGCAAGATGTCAACATCGGTGTCTTGTAGAAATCTTTGCAGACTTGACAACGAAGCGTGGCTTCGACCGCGGCAAGTCCAGAAAGAGGAGTCGATAGCCAATCTGTTGAGTCGGCAACATCTTCGAAGGAATCGAGACTGGCGCTGTTATTCATCGCCAGTGGTTGATATAAATTGTGAGGTGATGTGTATTTATTATTTATCGTAGGTTTGATATAGTTGCCGGTCGGCAATCCCAATTCTCTATAGTGCCCAAGTACCTAGGGATTCATAAGCGAAGAGTCCTATATTTGGGTTGTTCTTTGTATATTTGAGCGGGAAATGAGGAATTGAGACAAGGAAAGTGTACATGGAAAGTCGAGGATGGCATATGCGATGAGATCATTGGCAAAACTACATGTACCCATAGTCGCGACGTCCGTTGCGACGCGCTGCTTACTACCTCTATGTACCTGAAAATTACAAAATTACATAAGGTAAAACCCCTGTTACTGGTTACTACTTACTAGTGCCCCACTACCACTTAACGCGTCTTTCTTTTTCAGACGCGACTGCCAGCTAAAGTTTAAAGTGGCATGCTACCTTTCTCACCTCAAGAATTACATCAAACTACATCAATTATCTCACTATCGACGTATAACAAAATATACTACATTTTGACCAGTTATGATTCAAGCTATCTTGTCTACTGAGATTATTATTGTTTCGAATTTCCGATAAAGATGGAAGACTATATGCAATATCTAGCCCAGAAGCTCCTCACGGAGGATCAGCTTGTGAGTCGTGAAGTACCTAAAGGTATAGAATCCACGACAACTTATTAATGCGTGTTTTATTTTAAAGGTTACCTATCGGCTCTTGAGCCGAACTTTAAACGTCCATGTCAATACTGCTAAAGAGTACGTTCAATATCTTTTTGTCAAGTTGGACGAATTAAAGAACACTAACGGGTTTTTAGGATGCTTTATGAGTTTCACAAGTCGCAGAATGACAAACGCCCGGGATCTCTTCATGCCACATATCTCGTATATGGCACTAAGAAGGCGACAGTGAAAGTAGAAGAATCAGGTGGCGATGTAAAGATGACCGATTCGCAAACTTCGGAAGAGATGCATGAACCCTTCTCGGATGAAGTCCCTACTTATACCCTCTCTATAGTCAAGGAGGAGCAACTACAAGGTTAGCAGCTATAGCTTCGGCTTCATTGTTATTTCTAGCTAACTAGATGCAGATCTACTAGCAGAGTATGATGAAGTGACATCGATACATATCTACAGCTTGGCACCTCACCCCCTTAAAGATCTTCAGCTCTTAGCCGACACGGCTCGTCAGGTGTTAGAGTTGTCTACAAAAGGCGATGTTCCAGCTTCGAGCAAAGCTTTTGGTTCCATTACCAATCCCAATGTGCGTAAGAGGGAACGCCGCGGGCCGGCACTGAAGCCTGTTACCAGCGCATCCACCCCTAGAGCTTCACTAAAAGCCGAAAGCAAGGAGGAGGCAAAATCTGCTGAAGTTAAGGAGGAATCCAAGATAGCACCTCAAGCCAACGTTAAGGGTTCAACATCAGCTACTCCTACTGCTACTACTACTACTAAAAAGCCCAATTCCGCTGCTTCAATGAAGCGACAGGGCTCGTCTGGTATTGGGCAGATGTTTGCTAAGGCTGCTGCTAAGCCTAAAAAACCCGCCGCCAAGGCTGCTGCCGGTGCCGCTGAGGAGGATCAAAAGATGGCCTTATCTGATGATGGAGAGGACGACGTCGTGCCAATGCCTGAAGTCAAGCAAGAGTCAGAAAGTGCCAGGCAATCAAGGAAGAACCGTCAAGCCGAACTCCGTCGCATGATGGAAGAGAGTGAGGAGGAGGAAGAGGAGAAAGCGGAGAGTCCTGTTGAGGAGCCCATGGAGGAAGAAGAGGAGGCGCCCCCACCTGAACTGGAACCCAAGGCAGAAGAGCCCGCGGAGGTAGTATCGAGCACAGGTAATGGCCGAAGGAGGGGCAGACGACGGGTTACACGCAAGAAGCAGGTCATGGATGACAAGGGATACTTGGTGACGATACAGGAGCAGGGCTGGGAGTCGTTCTCCGAGGACGAGGCTCCGCCGCCACCTAAACAGAAGCCTCAGCCGGTCAAATCGGAACCTGCTGCGAAGCCCAAGAAGGCGGCTGGTAAGGGCCAAGGCAACATCATGTCCTTCTTCTCGAAGAAATAAGGGTAACACTGCGTATTTAGAGGCTTGTGTGCGAGAGCTGGTCATCGGAAATATTAAGAAAAAATACATATACAAAGCCCTCCTATCACTAGGACGGTCTAATTGTCCTAAAATACCTATCCGTAATAAAGCAATAATTCTATCATCATATTTTATTGGCATATCACTATATTATGAGATGCGATTCCTCTTAAGTTCTCAAGGTACTCAAGGCCGCTATTCACCTTACGGTACATTATAGTGACTCAATGCGTAGCCTCGATGCATATACTCCGACTAGAAAATGATACCGAACATAAGTAGGAGGTACTTTATTAGGTGCTATGGTTACACTTAAGAGATCCACAGCGTGGTAACCCTTTTCTTTCTGCTAATACCTACTTTTCTATTCAACTACATGTATCTTTCTGTCGCCAGCTAGATTAGTATAACTCAGGGCAAGTGTTGGTCTTTTCTTGCCTCTTATAGAACTCAATTGATATTTGGATTGATGACAACAGCAAAGCATACCTGAACAAAGCTACGGACTGAAGCATAAATCTAACTGACATATTGAAAGATATGAAGACCCTTAAATTTTTGGCATCTGGCGGCGTCCACCGCGATTGCTCATGCTTAATTAATGTATATGTTGAGTTAGGTACGTACGATCGACGATTTGAGACAGATGAGTTGGTCTACATGAGCGATCGAACGGGAACATTACCGAGAGTTAAGCAATCACGTCTCAGTTGCAATGCAGCAGAGTCCTGCATGTGAGTCATGCAAATTGCTTACGCATAGGCGTGGATGATGGTTAGTAGTGAACGAGCTAATAGGTACCTTTTTTCTTTCATATTTTGGTTGTTTTTCGAGACTAGACAATGATCGTCGTAGCTATTTGTGTATTATGTATGTATTGTGTATAGTACACTAAGACGAGGCTAAGGAGAAGGACGATTTGCAAATGGCTCATTTAGTTTCAGGCGTTTCATATGTAAGAGATACCATGGTAATGAATACGAGCCGGGTTGATTGTTAGAACCGAAAAATATGAAAATAACTCGGCAATTTACTCAAGCGGAAAGAAAAGATGGATAGCGGGAAAACTGTGGAGGCCGACGGCGGTACGGCGATAGGGTTCGGAACTCGGACGAGGAATAACGGGTTGCAAGGATTTGCATTTTTAGGGCCAAGCGAGAAAGAGGCGTTCGCGGAGCATTTTCGTAGCAGGGGGAAATGTTTTTTTAACCTAGGAAGATTGGAGTTGATCCCGTGAGCCGTTTCTGCAACTTAGCACATGGCAATCCTTCTTAAGAGTCCCCCACTTATATAGGTTAGTACCTAAGGTACTTACCTATGTAAGATCTCGACGCGGCTATGTATTATGGACGGATGGAATAGTTTCAGTAATCGTGGATGCATATCGGTTGTCACAATTACGATTATTAACCTGAGTAACTTTGAGATGTAAACTAATTTTAGTTGGTAACAAGTCGGGCATCGCGTCGCATGCGCCCTTGAATTTCGGTGAGTGACGTTGACCACAGAGTCCGAGTGTGTAGTATTCCTTTAATTTTCTTGTTTCTTTCCAATCCTCCTCTTAAATCCGCAGCCTACTTGCTTAACTCGTAGGAATAGAGAAAAGGGCAACTTCTGGAATTTGAAATCGAAGAGAGAATGATATATTTCTTGCCACCGCCAAGTTTTCATTGCCGGTCCCTTGAAGAATAAATCCGGGGAATCGAGCTCGATATCATGAGATGAGATGAGATACCCCTCCGCAATAGCTTCACGCCGTTGGAAGTTGCGCAGTGAGTGCGGCAGCTGTCGTAAAGCTGTAATGATGATGCATCTGAGGGCACGGGGCCACACGCTTTCCTCGCATCCCGACAGACTGGGATCGAGATTCCGGCTTTACCCACCCCCAAGGATGGTGACGTTTCCTCATTGGGCAATGCCGGCAAGGTCTGGACAAATCACAGCTCTGATATCCGGGACCGGGGTCTTATACGCGTCCTAATCTTCCCGGTCTCTACTCTTTAACTTGATCAAAAGAAAAAATTGCTCCCGAACGTGCCGTACGCTAATCTGCGCACAATACCTACCTAAGTTATTCTCAGCCGTCCTCGATTTCCAGGCAATAACATAGCTTCGTCATTTCATCAGATACGGTACCTAGCTAACACATAGCAGGTAGAGACAATCTGGCCTTAAAGCTGATCTGCCGCAGGGCAATACGCAATCTTCCAGGATCGCCTTAAAAAATGGATAACGAATCCGACATCTGATTAGTCTGTTTACTGTTTGTTCAAGGGTTATTATTTGGCTGCCTGGAAGCTTAGGCGGGAGGTTACCTCCCTGCCTCCGTCGCAGGGCGGCGTTTACTAGGTACCTGTAAATTCAACTGTGGCTATCCACATCTTGTTGTATTTGGAGTTGAGCCTTTTAAGTAGGTACCTAGGTAGAATGAATACAGTAGTAGCCTTGTTTCTTTCTTTCCTTGTTCTTGTAATGATACGGTAATACCATTAATAACTGTACTGAATGGGTGAGTCACTAAACATATAGAATCCATATAAAAATTCTAGAGGGGCAGAAGGGGTGAGGAGACTGTTGTATTGTACCTACAAGCTCATGGCCAAGGCTGCATTAGAGCAACTTTTAGGTACCTTTTTGCATACTGTACCATTCTACCATCTAAGGTAAAGGAAAAAAAAAACACAGTAAACACAGGTAGGTAACTGGTTTCCCGGATCCATCCTTCTTAGTCCCGGGATCCACTGCGTTGATTAGAAGTCTATGGAAATGTAACCCCCCAAAAGGCCGACATGAAGCTGTCAGCAGCAAAAAGAGCCGGAGAGAAGTTAGCATAGGGCTAATGCGCGCAGCACACTTTAGCATCCCCAGCATACCCTTGTCTTTTCCTTCTAGGTCCCTACACTCCTACCCTAGTCCCCTACGCCCATGTGAAGTTTGCAGTCCCAGTTGAAAAAAAATTAAAAAAATTTACCATTGCTCAAATTTTATTATAACCCCGAATTCCAATATCATCCACCAAATCCCATCCACACCAAACCATTCATTTTTGATGAGAATCTTTTTTCTTCTTTTCTCTATTCACTTCTTTTTTTTCTTCAACCAATTCAACCCCATTTTATAAAATTGGCGCGTTTATTTGACGGCTGCGGTGCTGTCAAATGAACCTGCAACTCCCGATTTTATCCTTTCTCTATGTAAGTCGTCATCGATTTTCGGTTATACGCTTTACTAGGTCCTTCGCGATGGCGAAGAGGAAAAAAAAAAGGAATTATATTCAAGATAACCGACCAAGATTGTGCCACCCGCGTACAAGACACGCTCTTCTTAGATCGTCTTTTCCTATTCCTTTTTCCAACTAGGTATCAGACGGTTGTTTGCTGGAATTATGCTAACTGGATCGTCTTCTATCTTCTTTTAGTCCCCTTCCCCTCCTGGTGTCATCTAAATGCCCACCATCTATTCGTCCTTGTACCAGAATTTCATCCGTCAAGGATTTGCGAAATCTTTCACCCATGGCTACGCGCAATCTGTCGTAGCTGCTACACATCCCCATGTTCTAAATTCACAGAACCGTCCGTCGTTCGCTCGACGTAACAGTCAGCGCGTCGGACGTCTTACCAGTCTCCAGCTCCAAAATGCCTTCCATAGCTCCAATTCGAATGCTCGACATGATCTTCGCCACGAGAAAGAAGGAAGTCATGGAAATCTGGATGCCTACTTTGAGGCCCTGAGGAAACAGCAGGATAGTGGCGACCTGGAAAAAGAATGGACTCAATTTCAGTTTCCCAAACCCATCGAGTGGAAGCCGAATGCTTCGTCCGTTCTAGAGGACACCGAGGCCAATGCTCAGGATGTCGATGCTGCCGAGGCCGCTGAAGCGAATCATAATGCCGGCGAGGATCTACCGGTTCCCGTTGACATAGATGTCGCGTTGGCGCATATCGATGCTGCTATAGAGAAGGAGATCGAAGTTCGCGAGTTACGAGAAGCTTTGGAGAGCCCCGCACGTTCTCTACGAGCATCGGCCCCTTCTATCACGAGTGGCATCCAGTCCCGAGCCAGGTCCCCGGTCCTTGAACGACCAGCAACTTCTCATAGCATTGCCCGCACAGCAACCCCGCCGGTTAATCCCCAGTCTAAGAGCTACGCAGACCACCTAACGAAGCTTTCCGAAGATGGTCGATATGCGGAGATTCCTGCTGTCTTCGAGGCTATGCTTGTTGCCGATATCAAGCCAACTGCTGCATCCTACAATGCCTTATTGGTCGCCGCTATCCACATTCCTACCGAGAAGATCGAGGTGGTTTCCAAGGCTTTGGATGTCTATGCTGATATGATGAGGCGGAAGATCACACCGGATAGCGACACGTACAACATTCTAGTTGGCCTATTAGCTGCTCGATGTCTAGAGGTATCCACTCTCAAGAAGGGCCTGGAGGAGAAGCGTCTTCGTTTCGGTGGTATGGATGAGCCTGGGAAGTTCATGTTCGCCTCGAATGAGCTGGAACACGCCATTCTCTCGGAGGACGACAGGCTCGACCTTGCCATCAAGCTGTTTGAGACTTCTGTCTTAACCCAGAGGGCTAATTACTCATCGGAAACCTACCATCAACTAATCTCAGCATGTGCCCAAGCTGGCCGAGTCTCCGATATGCTACACTTATTTGAGCATATGGAGCTGAGCGGTTCTGTCCCCTTCGCAGCTACCTTCCCCTCGATGATCACTGCATTCGCCAACACAGGTGACTTGGCCAGTGCTGTCGAGTGCTATAATGAGTACAAGGATCTTGCCGTCGCTCACGACAACGGTAACTACACGCTCAATGATCGACTGGATTCCCAGGTTTACGCTTCTGTCATCAATGCTTATGTTATCAACGACAAGCTCGATGGTGCCATGAAGTTCTACGAGAAGATCGTGAAATCGTACGGAGTGGGTGCCGCTGAAATTCAGGACGCTATTATTAGCGGTGGATTCGTAAAAGGTTTCACTGCGAGGGGTATTTACCACGAGGCACTTCAATGGGCGCAGGCTATTGAGAAAGAGGCCCGCTTGGGTGCTTTGGCCGATATTGCTACTGCTGCTGCCGACTCTGGTGACCATCATACAGCAGCTACTGCGTTTGCCCATATTCCTACAGTGTTCCAGGGTATTGCTACTCCAGCGATGGCTTTACTAGCCCTTAGCGTTCGTCACGGCGATGTCTCGGCTGCAACTCGATATTGGCATATACTCAATAGCCCTGAGATCAAGGTTGACTCATCTTTCATTGAGCCGGCAGCCATGTATGCGGTTGCGATGATTGGTTCCGGTCAGGTGGCTGAAGGGTTAACTCAGTCCGAGATGATGTTCCAGCGGATTCGGGCTTCCGAAAGCGAGGGGAAACGAAATCTTACGGATGAACTGGAAGAAGCCGCCGAATTTATCACTCGATTCATGACTACTCGTGGTATTGTAGACCCCCGCGAAATTGCTACGCCGGTTAGTTTCGAGCAGCAGGTCTTCACTGCGTCGCCTTACCCTTCAACGCCTACCGTCTCAAGCTACGAGGAAAACTTTGACCCTTATGCCCACAACACTGATTTCAAGGGCTCATCCATCATCTCGGATGAACTTGAAGGTGCTCACGGACGCAAGGGACCGCGACTCCACGAGGCTCTAACTCGTTTCCGCAACATGCGACGTGCAGGACGTCATCCAAGGTACATCACTTACGCCAAGATGATATCTGCTGCCGCGCGAGAAAGCAAGATGGACCTGTGCCATGAGATTTTAGCTACAGCACGCAGTGACGTCCCTTTCCTCCCACAGTACTCCGTCGTCCGTTATGGTTGGTCCTCTATTCTTGATGCTATGGTTGGTGCTTGCTTGACCCTCGGTGACCGTGTCCTGGCAGAGCAATACCATCTTGAACTTCTCGAGATGGGAGCTGCTCCCTCGGCCAACACCTTCGGTCTCTACATTACCACCCTCAAGGAATCCACCAAAACCTTTGACGAGGCCTCCGAAGCTGTCAAGATTTTCCACCGAGCTAAGGCTGAAGGTGTTGAGCCTTCGTCCTTCTTGTATAACGCCCTGATTGGTAAACTTGGCAAGGCTCGACGTATTGATGACTGTCTGTTCTACTTCGCCGAAATGCGCGCCCTTGGTATTAAGCCAACCAGCGTCACCTATGGAACGATTGTCAATGCCCTTTGCCGTGTTAGCGACGAGAAATTTGCCGAAGAGCTCTTCGACGAAATGGAGTCCATGCCCAACTACAAGGCCCGTCCAGCTCCGTACAACAGTATGATGCAATTCTTCCTCACTACCAAGCGTGACAAGACCAAGGTCCTCGCATACTACGATCGAATGCAGGCTAAGGGAATTGCACCAACTGCTCATACGTATAAGCTTCTTGTCGACACTCACGCCACTCTCGAACCCGTGAACATGACCGCCGCTGAAGTTGTCTTGGACATGATTCGTGCTTCTGGCCAGAAGCCCGAGCCGGTACACTACGCCTCTCTCATCCACGCTCGTGGATGTGTCCTTCACGACATGCAGGGAGCCAGGAAGATCTTCGATTCGGTTATGAGCGACCCCAGCATTCATCCCAACGCCTGCCTTTTCCAGGCGTTCTTTGAAGCCATGGTCGCTAACCACCAAGTCGCGGATACTGAGGAGCTTTTGTCTGTAATGAGGCAGAAGCGTGTCGAGCTTACACCTTACATAGCGAACACCCTCATCCACGGTTGGGCCGGTGAGAAGAATATCGACAAGGCTTTTTCTATCTACAACAGTGTTGGCCGCGAGAAGCGCGAACCTAGCACATACGAGGCAATGACTCGTGCCTTTCTTGCCGTAGAAGACCGCGAACGTGCCAAGTCAGTTGTGGGCGAGATGCTCTCCCGAGGCTATCCCAGCGCTGTGGTTAACAAGGTCCTCGAACTCCTCGGTGGTGGCAACAGCGAAGAAGCGGTTGCCATTTGAGGACTATTCATGATATTAGCGATACCAAGAAATTTTCTCTTTTTTTTTTTGTCATTTCCTTTGTTCTTTGCTTTTAACGCGATACCCCCGTGTTGTGCAGCAAGAGGTTGACGTGATTTTTCTTCCGGGGGTGGTCGGTTGAAGCGAAGGGCACGGTCGTCACAAGCGGGCCTGGCGTTTTACGGAACTTGCATATAAAACGGTTATTACGGACACTAGGTACTACTACACCTTTTACCGGGAAAAGGGAGAGGGGTCAGGCACCGGCTGGCATGTCGGATTTTACTATAGACAAATCTCCACTCTGCATATACCAGTGAAAGAACTTCCATACAAAGGTCGAGTCAAGGGATCTAGAAGAGAAGGAGAGGGAAGAGGGATCCTTGGGGTTCTGGTTTGGGCAGGTTTTTAGCCCTTCGAGATACATACACTTATAGGGTTGGGATCTCGGTCGGTCAATGGCATATGGACTAACAGGCTTGTGTTACTAGTATTACTGCATACATACATCGGTATGGTGGTATATGATTCACAATGAGTTGACTCATGGGGAAGTAGCACGGCGTGGTTATGGTATGATATGGCATGGTAATCCTGCCCTGGATGATAGAACTAATATCATGGAAGTTCGTTCTAATTATTTCGTCTTTTAATTGTGATTTAATGTGTGTAGTACACCTGGTGTTGTATTGGCGAGTGCTGCGTTGACTTAATTGTCTCTTATACGCCCGGCTTTATCTATATTACTTGGTAGGATAGGGGTTGTCACAAGTAACACTTGTATGAAATTCAAAACAATCGTAGTAAGAAAAGGAGTCGCCTGCATACCGGTCATCCAACCCCATTCCACGCCGTTCATGTCCAGTCGTTCGTTGTCTTTAAAATCCAGTAGTCAGGTCAGGCGAAGTTTATCTTTATATAGGCTGTTAAAATACTCGAATATCAAGCATTATTGTATGCGAGATTTGACAATAACGTTCATACGAAACCAATTCGTATACAGTAGGTTAGGTTAGGCTAGGTTAGGTAGATACTTGAGGTATGTACCTGTTATGTCAAACCATGACATGCCCCCAAACAGAGAGAACCCCTAAAATAAATATAGCCACTGCCTATAATCGTGCGCTCGTAACTGTTTTATCTATACCTTCGCGACCAACTTTACTTTTACTCATGCACTAAACCTCCTGTACTTTTCCAAAAAGCCACCACTACCTCACCCAATATTAAACTCCCCGGCCGCACTCATAACCTGCTTCATCTTCATCCTCATCCTCCTCGCCGCATCCTCATCCGCCGCACCAGCGCCGTCTTCCCTATCGCCACCATCGTCCTTCTTGCCCCCGCTACTACCACCCGTCTTCTTCTGCTGCTGTCCCGGCTTAATCGTGCGCCTCGACGGCCCGCCTCCGATCCCGCCCGGCGCCTCGCGTAGGCCGAAGCTCTTGGCCGTGTGCCCGAGGTGCAACTGCGTGATATCGAAGTACACGCGCTCGTCGCGCACGTGCGTCGCGTACGCGCGGATGTGCGAGCGGAAGGCCTGGCGCGCCGCGTCCAGGAGCTTCGAGTTGCCGCCGTCCTTCGCGGACGCCAAGAGCCGCTGTTCGAGGTGTAACTGTAGGGCTTCCGCGCGGGAGTTGGGAGTCTGGCGATCTGAGACAAGAGTCTGGGGCTCGGAGGCCTGGTCTGATTTGGGTAGGGATATGGGTGTTACGAAGCCCTTCTGGAGTGTTGATTCGTAAGATTGGGGGATGAGCGCCGAGGAGGATTTGAGAAGTTCGACGTAGCCTTCCTCGCAGCCCGGTTGCAAGAAGAGAGTCGCTTTTCCGGGACGGCCTGCTCGCGCGGTTCGACCAATGCGATGGACGTGGTCTTCGACGCTGAAGGCTGGATCGTACTCAATGACGAGATCAACGGCGGGCACGTCGAGACCACGCGATGCGATATCGGTAGTAATGAGGACACAAGGATTCTTTGAGGTGCGGAATGAGGTAAGTGTGGCTGTACGAACGGGTTGCTGGAGGGAGCCGTGAAGCTTTAAAAGGGTTATGTCAGGGTTTGCTGGCGATGTTATATACGCAGCGTCGGCAACGGTATCTTTTGTTAGAGATGATTCTTCGGATGGAGGATGGGATGACGAAGAGCGGAGTAAATCGAAATGGAAGTCGACCGAGTCAGCGCAGGATATGAAAATAATAGCTTTCATAACGGACCCTTTGCGGGCGAATGATGACTTGAGCAATGCTATCAACGTAACCAATCGCAGTTTAGATGGAACGACGGCATAAGACTGTTTGAGTTGAGACGGCGCGCTAAAAGCAGTATCATTGGCATCGACCGCTGTATCACCCTCACCCTCGGATCTAGAAGCCGTAACATGGATGGCGTCTTGTAAACTGATCTCTCCCAGCCGTTGCACATTCATCTTCATCGTTGCCGAACAGAGAACGGTGACGCGACGTTGCGGTAGGGCGGCGAGAGTTACACCCTCTTTGTTAGACTTTTTTAACTCTTCCTTTCGAATCTTCCCCACGATACTCTTTAGCTCCTCTTCGAACCCCATCTCCATCAGCCTGTCGCCTTCATCGAGGATAAGCCACCTTACAGTACCAACGTCAAGAACCTTGGTATTGTCCAGATGATCAGCGAGACGACCAGGAGTAGCAATCAATATGTTGACGCCCTTCCTCAAGCGGGCCTTTTCGGATTTCTTGCTCTCTCCTCCTATCACGGTCGTGCTGACTATCCAGGGAGCGCAACGTAGAACTTTCTCTAAAACGGTCGCAATTTGCTTGCAAAGCTCTCTTGTCGGCGCTAATACAATGGCAAATAAGCCCGAATCGCGATGTATGCGGGTTCCTGTGGCAGAGCCGTCCTCATGGTGGCTCAGGTTCATAATCCGCTGTACAATAGGCAGCAGATAAGCTAAGGTCTTTCCGGAACCGGTTTCTGCCTGTAAGAAAGCATCGTTATCATCCTTTACCAGCGGCGGGATACTATTCTTCTGTATAGAAGTCGGAGCCTTCATCTCTAACTTGGACGATAGGTGTTGGGCAATGCGCGGTGACAACCCAAGAGCGTGGAAGTTTTCGGCTTCTTCAGATAACGGAGCATTGGATGGCTTTGCAGGCTCAACATCTTCGACAGGTTCCTCAAATACGGTTCTCGGTGTAGGGTTAGATGTAAATAATCTGGATGTGATGCCGCCGGGTCTAGTAGATGCGCCGCCAGTCCTAGGGCCCGGACTGGAAATATTATCTAATGAACCGTTTGCGTGGTCGAATATCTTCTGACGCTTCGCTGGTCTTTCGTTCTGGTCGTTCTGGTCGTGGGCATGACGAAAATCTCGTCGGTGGTTGGACAGCGGGGTGGAATTGGCTGAGCTTGTTGGCCCATTTTGAGATCCGTCTTGATTCTTCCTGGCACTGCGCTGGGCGTGAACACGGTCCCTCCATCTACCACCTGTAAACTTGACTTGTCTCTTGACCGGCGCATCGCCGAGATCGAAATTTAAGAGCAAGCCGCCGTCAGCCATGATAACTTGCCAATGTAGTTGAGAAGTACTGCAAAAGTGAGAAGATGGCAGAATCGATCGAGACTTTTTAGTGGAGTACTTGATGCTGTATGTATCGTTTAGTGCATACTCACCTAGGTACCTGTAGGACGTAAGCCTGTAAGGACGTGAGTAAATATGTTTAATCGCATAAGCGTATAATAGAAGTTTACCTGGTATTATCGATAAGCCGTACTTCGTATAATGTATTTTTACCTACTCATCCTGGTCATCCCGATTCCCAGCCTTGCTGTAAGTTCAGATGAAGGTAACCGTAGAAGTCTGAAGAGCGTATTTTGGTGTATTAAAACAGCAATCTAAGCAAAGCCTTGCAATCTCTTGACTGCGCACAGTATTTCTTCCTCTTACTGCAACTTGCCACTTTTTCTGTCATTTATCATGAAGCCCGAGCTCGGAATTCAGGTCGCAGTCAAATAAGCCACCTTGACAGCCTACATGCGATGCTGCGATGCTGCGATGCTGCGATACCAGCAGCCAGCCAGTCAACCAAGCAGACCTTATCGGTGACCTCGACAGGAAACCTGGCAAACTTGCTATTCAGCTTGGGCAGCATGGCAGGGTTGGTCTTTCAGTCATTAGCCTATGGGAGCATTAATAGTATTACATACCAGTAAACCGCATTACCTATTCGGATCTTGCGCATCGGTAGCTACCCCAGCCGTAGAATTTGGCCTTTTTATTGCTGGTCGCGAGAATACCTTGGGATGATACGAGGTCTTTTCAGCCATGGCGGACCCCTGTTTTTATTGGATTTACCAGTGTTTTCTAGGTAACTGATATTCTTGTTGCATCTCAGCTCCTGCATTGTACTGATCAACCTGATGCATTACCTCTTTTTAAGAGAACTGCGAGTAGGATAAGCATTGCCTGACATGGTGCGAGCTTTATTATTCGGCGCTTCTTGTCGCTTTTATAACAGGTCGCCGCTGCGTTGACATAGAGACCTAGACCTGATCCTTTCCATACCGCCCTTCTTCTCTTCATCATCCAACCACTCCTTGGCTGGGGCTATAACCGAAATTTTAGAAGCTTGTTTCAAAAGTGTCCACGATTCATAACACTATTAATCCCAGATCTAACCATGGTCACCGATAGTCAGGAAGCTAGCGATGCAACGATAAGGTGTATCCAGAAGTTGGTGTCTTTTCTTGAAACTCTAGACGACTCCTCTGAAAAGCATGATGAAAACGTAGTGAAGTTCAAGAGCCTACTGGGCTCGTTGCCACCAGACCAGATCAATGCCCACGAAAACAACTGGCTGGAAGAAACCATCTTGCATGTTGCAGCTAGGCAAGGCCTTGTATGGGCCGCTGAGATTCTCCTTGAAGCGAACGCGTCTGTCTCTGAGCAGGATTGTGTCGGACGTCAACCCTTGCACGCAGGGTGCCTGGGGGGTAATCCATCACTTGTTAGGTTGCTTCTAAAATCAGGGGCCAGCATTCTAGCAACCGATCGTGGTAGAAATTTACCCTTCCACGTGGCTGCCTCTGCTGGCCACACCGATATATTGAAAATATTCCTCGAAACAGACCGGAAACCGGCCATTGACGTTAATACACCTGGGAAGTGGAAGATGACAGCACTGCACTGTGCAGCCTGGAATGGACATGAAAAGTCTATCGAGGTTCTACTCGATGCAGGCGCGGAGGTTGATCTACAAGATACGGATGGATGGACTCCATTGATGGCAGCAAAGCAAAGGAACTACATACCTAGTATGTGTATACTGTTGGATAAGAAAGGATACGATCAAGCGAATATCCGGGACAAGGAAGGAAAAACACCGCTTTTAGCGGCGATCGAAGAAAATAATTCGAAAGTGGTGGATATGCTATTAGAACGCTGGCCCAATGAGAATAAGAGGGATCCCAACGTATACCAGAGGTTGCTTTTGTACGAAGCACCTACTCACGAAGAGGGGGTATTGAAAATGCAAAATACCATATTGGAAGCCCTGAGGCAGGATACGGACTCATATGATGGCGCTCTTTCCTGGGCGGCAACAAAATTTGAGAGGCATAGGATTGCAGAGAAGCTTCTCATCCAAAGTCCGTACCCGGAGGTTAGCAAGGCCAGCGCTATTGAGTTGGCTACACAACAAAAGAAACCGGATATACTCTGGTGGCTCGTTGCCACATCCCCACGCAACCCTGAAATTATGAGCAATATCAAGGAAGCCAGAGACATAGCAGAAGCATCAAAAAACGCCCCGCAAGGAATGGGGAAAGATGAAAACAAGAAACTGGAAGACAAGAAGAGAAATCAGAGTAAGTCTGGTGAAGATACTGACGCTACCGCAGCTCATGCAAGTGGAAACGGGTCGAGCGATTGGGTTTACATCATAGACATCCTGCAGTATCCCCCAATAGCCCAGAAATATGACGATATCACTGTTTTGAACCCCCCGGAATTGGAACCAAAGCATGGCAATGTTGTGAACGAACAAGAAGCAACTATCACCCGGTTCTACAAAGCCGAAAAGGTTTCCAGTATAATTCAAAGAACACGCTACCTGAAGGATGTTATATACGAAGAGGGACCCATGAGCATAATGGCGGGTGCAATCTCGGATTTGGAGGAGATTATGAATAAGAGGTCCGAAAATATGGAGGAACGCTCTAGTTCGAGAAGACTTCGAGCCATATATGAGGAAAGTAATATAGCGTTTACTTATATTCATTTGCCGGCTACCAACGTATGTATTCCTAAGCATCTCAGCGGATTATTAGGCACTAACTAACGATAGATCGACTGGATGAAGGTAACAGAAAAACTCTATCGACCTAATATTTTTAGGCTTTTTGATCCATCAGAGGATTTTCTAATCTCTTTCTTAGGACTTATTATTGAAAATCATGGCCGATGAAAACCTCAAGAACGGCGGTGCTAGACACCGTGAGATCAGCTCATTTTTGCAAAGCACCTGGTTTGAAATCCCGGACCAGACTTCTGAGTCACGGTTCATGAGGCCACAGTTTGTGGAGAGGAGACGAATTGCATCCACCAACAAGAAACAAAGTGAGGAACAGAGAGGATCAGACACCAACAATGCGCAGCACAGCGAAGCTCAGGACATCGCTAATCAGAAAACGAACGACCACACAGCCAACAGCCAAGCAGCTAGCGAGCAAGAGATACCGAAGAAGGAAGACGGAAAGGAAGAAGGACAGGAAGGAGAAGAGGAGGAAGAGGAAGGACTATTCATTTCTAGTTCAGCACTTTATGTGAGATTTTTTTTTCTTTTTCGTTTTTATTACTCTTTTATTCATGTTCATATTCAACTTTGTAACATGTTGGATTGTAGATGCCATTCCTATCATTCGCAACACAAAGAGAAATGAACGAATGTAACGACAATGCAAGAATGACAGAAAGCAAAAATCAAACAATTCTCCAAAAAAGTTCCAATAAGAACCCAGAGATCCGAATGAGCATGGAGCAAAAGCTAAGCGAACTAAACAAAAGTTATAAAGACTCAGTCCTCCATAACTCTGCGACTCTTGACGAGGCGTATTATCACTTCGATTTAAAAGACGAGGAAACGTTATCAGAAAGAAATCGCCGTAACCGCAATCAAGTCGTCACTAAGCAGTTACATCCGGGACTCAAAGGTTCTCAAAAGGAGACCTGGTCTTTGCTCCGTGTCAATCAGATTTGGATTTGGACACTAGACGAGAGTAAGTATAGCTACGTGTCATCTTAGAAATGGCTCCTTGCTAAACCTATTTGTTCAGAATGGGTGATTAGCGCCACTTCGCATCCGGTCAACGATATTGAACAATCATGGCTTGATGGGTTTACTGAACATCTCAACAAACGAATAGAGGCAGGAGGAGCCCAGTCCCAACCAGGGTCTGTTGAAGAAATAGTAAAAGCGATGGTCAATTATTGCATTGGATTCTATGAGAGGAGGCGAACTTTCCGAGATTCTGAAAATGGTTGGAAAACCGAACTATCCATTCGCCAACTCTTTTCAAACTATATCAATAAAATAGTCCGTTGTGATCCTTCCGTTTTTGTATGTCTACGTTAACCATGTGATAGGGACGAGAAGAGACCAACCTCTTTACCAAGTTTCAAGATCTCCGAAATGTTTCAGACACTCCCGGGCATGAGAGTGAACCACAGAAACCCCCCCCTGAAGCTCAAAGGCTAGCTAAGTTCAAAGAGGCTACCTCTAAAGCCCACCTGCTCTTCGGTGAGATCAAAGACATCCTTGACGAACTGGGAGTCATCAAGTCGATTATCAACTATCAAATTAATGTTCAAGAAAAACTATTCAAGAATGAACCAAATCATTTTGGACTTACTTCAAGCCATTTTCTCGACGACATCACCGAAATGGAGAGCCGAGCAAATAAGATTCAATCTGCTGTAAGCTTCTCTATGAAATTTCATTCTGGCAGTTACTTACACGTAACCAATCCAGGTCAATTCGACCCTCACCTTGCTGCACAGTGAGATAGCAAACTTTCAAGCCGAAGAATCTGTAAGACAAGGAAAGGAGGCTGTAAAACAGACGGTAGAGTCCGTGAACCAGGGAAAGTTCATGGTGGTATTCACAATAACCACTGCTGTGTTTGTACGTCCCAATATCCCACATTCAAAAAATCTACCTAAGGTATTCGATATTCTAACCCTCAATAGTTACCGCTATCATTCCTCACTTCTCTGTTTGCGGTCGATTCTGACAAGCTCAATGGTACTCCTGCCTGGGTTTTTGGTGTTATCTGTAAGTACTTTCAAGCGAACATAATACGGGTGGGCTCCTTGTATAGGTATCTATTAACATCGGTCCAGTTGGTGTTTCTTTTGCTTTCACCGCTCTTGCATTATGTATACCCTTCTTAATTTCTCTCATATCGCCAGTTACCAAGCCCGCTTGGGGGCATATCAAGAAGCGATACGGCAGGCCAATTAAGGAGCGATATAACAAGTGCATCAGTATGTACTCTAAGTACATGGATGAGCACTTTGGTAAGTTTCACGGTTGTCTTTTTCTTCTCTTTTTCCTATTGTCTATATCCAGACATCGAGAAAGAGTGTGGCTTCGGATGTAGTTTGTGTGCTAACGTGCCTAAAGGTCCTCTCAAGGACGAAGAAAGAAATGGCGGGCGAATCGCCCCGAATGGCCCAGATGAATCCGTGCCCTGCCGTACTGAGTCTTGCAACGTGGGTTGTCAACACCCAACTAGGTAACTACCTAACCTAGGTAGGTATCTAGGTAATCTCGGCATCTGGACACACTAACAAGGGATATTGATAGCCTATGGTCTCCCCTTCGCCATGGGCGGTATTATGGTGCCTGTAGCTGGTTGCATTTTTTTATTCGATATTGCAGCAGAAGTTATCATGTAATGAATAATGAAGTTGAAATTAAACTTAAAGATGGTCACGGCGTTACTAGATTCTGTAGGCGGTGAAGGGAAGATCAGCACAGATCCATGTATTTATTGGTGCCATTCGCCCACTAAGTCTCTCCATTTATATAAGGGGATATCCAGTTTGCGCTTAAGGAAACAAGCGATATCCCCCTATCCCCTTAGCTGCGCATCTCGATACGTACCTCCTACATATCTAGTTGCGGGACAGAAGCTTGACTGCTCATTTTGGGAAGCACCCCAGGCTAAGAGGTCTTGAATACGGGTATAAACGTTAGTTCACAGGTAATATTCACGCAATTCTAAAATTAAAATTCCCCATGCAATATTATGGAAAGATGTTACATAGGTACTGCGGCCCCTATTCAACTGCCTGCTTTACGGCCTAAACTATTGTCATTATTTCACTTTTGACTCGTGCTAATGCATTGTTAAGTAGGGAATAGCTAAGTCTACAATCTACTTGTTGCTTAACAAAGGATTACCTTAATATGTAACTTTTTGGTATCGTGGGAGGGCTGGTAGTGGAGATCAGCTACCTTGGGAATAGCACAACCCACTTACATAGACTTAGTTGGCGGCGATTGGCTCAGAGTTGAGGCTTAATCTTGTAACAGCTCATATTGAGCTGCTATGAAGTAGATTGCCTTGGTCGCCAAAGAAAACAAAGCCAGGGTACAGCAAAGGAATAGATATGATATTCTGTGTTATATTATATGCAATACCTACCTAGATTATGTAGTCAAAATGGTGCATGGTAATGATGCATTGCCCTTACTCAGCCTTGTTCTATATCATAAGAAGGAGTAGATACCTAGTTTTAGAACCAATACGTTGATGACAAGTTGTCGTGGTGGTGATGGTAGAGGCTGCGTTGGAAGGATCTGGGTCAAAGATACGACTAGCAAATCTCGTCACAGCCTTGCCAAACAAAACTCTTGGTATTCTAACCTTTGTGCATATACATAACGTTGTACGGGTGTAATATGGTGCCCGAAATTAAGAAAACCAAGATGTACCATATCCATATCACCAGAATAGAATAGTAAGGACTTCTTGGGACGACGGAAAGGGGTCAACTTCGTCGTGAACACCGCTTAATACCAACCCGACTTATGCTTATCCTCTCTGGGACTGTCGATCAATGTAGCATTCTCTCCACTTGAGATGGGAACCACTTTAGGAGAGATTCAATATAAAAGATCTTCGCGCAGTTCGAGAGAATCTTCATTTTGTTTTTTCAGCCTCGTTATCACCCAATCGCAGTCAATCCTCGGTAGCCCACATCTAGGTCAACTTCACTTTGAACTCTCCTTTCATTAGAAAAGAAAATATCAAACTCAATCATTCAAAATGAAGTTCTCCGCTGCTGTTCTCTTCGCCGCCACCGCTACTGCTGCTGCCGCCGCCGTCGGCAAGCGTGACGTCGCCTTCTCCGTCAGTGGCTTCTCCGCCGGTTGCGCGCGCCATAGTAGCATATGCGTGTAAGTAACGACTCACCGACTCCGATATTTATTACCGATGCAGAGTATACTAAATATGGTTCCAGGTACCACTTCGAGCTCAACTCCCCTGGCGTCGAGACTATTGAATGCTCTGCTCCCGGCCCCGCCAGTCCCAACGGCGAGCTGCCCGAGATCAAGAGGGGGAAGTGCACCGATGCCTCCACGTCCTTCGCTGTAGCCAAGGTTCCCGAGGGCCTGAACTTCAGCGTCCTCTCTGGCGAGCGGACGGCCTCCCACCTCATCCCCAATTCCGAGCTCGTCACCACCAACGAGCCCGACGACATCAGGCAGAACTACAACGGTCCCAAAAACTTCGATCTCACTATATAGATACTTAACCTCGACACTCTTAGACATATCCGCATCTTATTAGAAAGCTTGGGGAGTTCAGCGTATAGACGGATATATGGTAGCCATACCATAGCTTAGGATCTTAGATACCTAATTTAATAGACTCGCGATATCTAATATACTAATTATCGCATCCTTTTAAAGATTATATCTTGTCAACCGTAGATCTCAATGGTTGAATGAACTAGGGAGATATAGGTACCTTATAATAATCATGAAACCTACCTAAGGTAGATATCTAATTCATATCAACCTGTTTACCTCTCAAATTTGCTATAAATTTAATTGTTATATGTCCATATATGACTTCATGCATATCTTAGGTAGTCTGCGAACTGAATGGATAGTCCAGGCGGATACTTAATACCCACAACTTGATCTAGGTATTTATTCCAAGACATCATAAATAATTAGGTACATACCTTGATCATATTTCATACTTACCTGGCAGATATTCCATGTCGTTAGAATATCTTAGGTAGGTGTCTAAGATAAGTATTCACTAACCTGGCTTGATACTTAATAGTACTCGGCGTAGACATGGAAGCGAGGCTCAGAGAATGGTATGGGCATCCCAGAGACGTACTACTCGAGCAGAAGATCTGTCGTATTGTTTACTCGGGATCTTTGGGGTTAATATGACCCTCATATACGGGGATGTCCAGAAAAAAGCGGTTTGTCGACTACAAGAGACGGTCCTCAAGGAGAAAGATGACCAATCCGTATTAACTTGGTGCACCTCCAGCCTTCATCCGCTAACCAACCAAATCGGCCATGTGTTTGCAACTTCCTATTGCAGTTCTAACTAATACCTATTATGACTATAAAGGTGGTACCCAAGAGTATCACATCTACATACCGAATATCTCCAGCCCTCTAACTATACACTCAAGGCACTATTAACCTCTCGGTGGCTTCGACAGAGAGGATTTATATTGCCAATAACACCCATTCTAGTATTCTGGATCGACAGTCGACACCGGACCTTGCTAGTAGAGTAGACGCGAATTATACCTTTTGAAAATAAGTGTTCTGCCTTCTTTCTGATCTGGAGCGGTCATCAGGAACCTAAATGCACAGCTGTGGGCATCATGGTGGCCCTAAAGCACCAGTGTATAAGCCGACCCAACCTGAACGATGATCTACTAGAAAGTACTAGGGGCTATTCGTTGATAATAGATGGACCTGACTCGTGTCGCTCCCAAATCTCAGTCAAATCTGTACTTGTTGGTTTCCTGGATGTCGAGGTTCTTGATGTTAAAGTAGACATAAGGGCTCTCGAAGAGGACAAGACGATATAGAACATCTCCTAATTAAATAGGAGATGAAAGACGGATACACCGGGGAGTTCAGTCACTTGTTCGTGTTAGAAGAGTCCGGTTTCACTTAATCACTACCTACCTCAAAGAAGTAAATCAAAGGTACCTTACGTTGTATGAATTATCAACCTCATTCATGGATCTATAAATCTACATCCTATTCTCCTTCATTCGTCAAAGAACCCACACCTTTACTGAGCAATCCATACGAATACGAATACCTATTTGTTCGTAAAACTCAAAAGGGCTCTCCAGCGAGAACCTACATTTCATTACAACAGAAGTAGGTAATCATTCCCCTAATTACCCTCATACAAATAGGTAGACACCCGACAGTTACAGGTGCCTAACCTTCAGGAGTTTTACTTCTTTCTCTAGCATGAGCCACGCCGCCTGTCCATCCGTCTAAACTGCCTACCTAACTCAACCTAGCCCTAACCAAAATCATCCTTAGCCTCGCCTGTATCCTGTTCTTCCGACGCGTCGAGCTGTGCTTTCAGCGGCGCCGTCTCCAAGCCCGCTCCTGTTGCGCCCCCAGGGACCCCCAACGTGCTAATGCGCCTTCCCCTCATATCCAGAGCCTCGCTCTCTTCGTCCACTGCGTCACTCTTGTCATTACTATCTGCGTCGTCATCTTGGTCACCTGATTCGAGATTTTCGTTAAGCTGTTTTCCGATACCGAGCAGGAACGCGCCGGCATAGTTGAACTTGTCAATGCCGTTCCCACTTGGAAGGTCCGAGTACGTCTTGCGCGCCTCATTTAGACATCGCTGCGCCTGAATGTATTTCGACTGCATTACCCAAGCCTCGGCACCGAGCGCGCTCCACAGCGCTGACTTCCTCCGCCTGCCACCCCAGAGGTGCGTCCCCATACCCTGCTTAGACGCATAACAGACCGCCAGGCGCTCTTTGATCAAAGCATCCCCTATGGGGCCTAATATCCTGCTCTCCAGGAGTCGGATTCCCCACTTTGCAGCGCTATCGATGTTCGAGCCACCGCGCAGCCGTAAGAGTTCCATTCCAAGAGCAAGACATCGAAGGGCGCCGTATGGCGCGCCGCAACGTGTGATATATGAATAAAGAGCGGCTTCGAATGCGGTATCTATAGTTTCGGCTCTGGATCTAGCTGATAGATTTTGGGGCATGATGAGGAGACTGATGGCAGACATCTCGCTCGCCGCGGCGTGGTATCTCCACGCTTTGTCATTATTGAAATCGGTACGTAGAAGTTCGTATGTGGAATGGGCCAACTTCCAGTCTCGTAGCATGAAAGCGTAATCGGCCAACTTCCGCATTATGGCTTCGGCAGCGTCTTGGCGATAAAACCCGAGTGAATCATAATTGCTCCCCGAGCTCTGTCCCAGAACTGATGATCTAGGGTTGCTTCCAAAACCCCATCGCTTCGTCAAGCCAACAAACCGACCAGCAAGACCTCTTCGGCGCGAGGCCACTTGGTCATTCCATACCGACACATGGCGTTCCATCGTGGGTATTATGGATTGCGTAACCATTTCGCGGATGAATGTGCGAATGGCAGTGGCGTCAGATTCAAATATATACCTAGTTGGATCTTCGAAATCCTCTTGATCTTCACTTCTTCGAAGATCAGCTAATTCCTCCGCAGCCGACATCCACTCGCTCCGAGGGAGGGGTATGCTGTCGTCGTCGGTAGCCACACTTTGGGTCCCCCTTATTCGGAGCAAGTGACAATGGAGGCCCAGGCTCCGCTTCATCTGGTCAAAAAGTGACATAGATCTCGTAATATCATCTCTCTCTTCCTCGTGAACGAGAACGTAATAACGTAAGAATTCGGCATCGACCCAGTTGGGTAAACGCCTATCACCCGTGCTTGATTCGATGTATAATCTCCGGAGGGTCTCTATTGGCGTTGGGTTCCGCGAGCTTATTGCTATTACGCAAGCAACCGGATGTGCAAACGTCTCGTGCGGTACCATAGGTAGGCCCGAGAGCAACCGACGTAAATATAAGCCATAATACGGCGAGGGTATGTCGATATCTAGACCGTTATTTGTAGGACTCTGAGGTAAGCTAAAGAATGATCCTTCAGCATAGTTCAAGTGGCGATCCACGACGGCCTCAACATCTGAGATGGAGATTCCTTGTCCCCTCCTAGGATCGCTGGACTTCTCCGAGGCTCCATTTGTCCTCGGGGCAGATGCAGGTCTTAAGCCGGCTGTTACGGGTTCCGGGTGTACAATACCCTCTCCAAAGCGGACAAAGTGTACCGAGTAGTCCTCGTATGTCCTACTCGAGCCGTTGCTGTCCCGTATTATAACCTTTCCTTGGACGCGCTCTCCAAAGGGTCTGAGGAGCTCCCACAAACCACGGTTAAACCCCTTCTCTTTTAGTAAGATATCGGTATCTTCGGATGTGTATACCGCAACATGGGGTACAAATGCCCTCAGAATGAGGTTGAGCGGATCACCCGGAGTGTCCCCTGCGCCAGAAGCGAGTGCAAGGCCGTTGTTCGGGGCTGCACCGAATATAGAACCGGCGGCTATTCGGGAGGGTGGGCGACCAACAGGTGACTGGGAACGAGAAGTGGGAGGCGACAGAGTAGATGCGTAGAGAGAAGCGGCGGAGGGATGGGAGCGGCGGTAAGGGAGGCTGAATTCGGAGCGGAAGAGCGACGGCGAGACATCGTTAAGAGTATGTCGGGCTTTCTGGACTCTTGAGATAGAGGCGGCTACGGGGGAAGCAGGGAGTGATCCGCTCCCATCTTGCGAATCATAATCGGAAGGCGGCATCAAGTCGGACAGGTATGCCTACGGTACTCTGGCCCTCGAAACGACTCGACTGCCGGTTGTCGCATCTGTAGATGACGATTTAAAGGCGGGTGGGTGACAGTTGAGTTGAAAGGCGACAGGTGTAATAGGAACGGCGATGGCGGGATGTCTGTTGAGCAGTGGAGCGGTTGAGAGGTTTCCGGCGTCGCGATGTAGTATATGCGGTTATAAGCCGTTATGATTTCAAGGGATTGTTAAGACAGACAAACAATGAATGTGAATGTTGTGTTGTATTCAGTTCGACATTTGACGATGTCTTGGGAGTTTTCCATTTCCATTGACCATTCAATTAAACAAAATTGGGTACAACTGTATTGTACGAAGTAGCGAAGTAGCGAAGTAGCGAAGTAGTCAGCCAAATTTAGGTCCCGTCAAGCCCCATAATGAGTAGCCGACATCCGGTATCTGGTACCTCTTCATATTGTACATATTGTACGTACTTTAGGTAATCATATCGATAGCAGAGCCACAATGTAAAGCCCTGGTACGTTAGGTAATTTTGAGGCTGATGCAAACTTGGATTACAGCTATGTACATCCTATGAGTTCCCCTCCCCCTTTTAAAGTTTACTTTAAACTCAGGTACCTACCTAGACCTTTTGAAAAATAGATTTAAAGATCCCTTTTCGATTGAAGGCTGAAGCGTTGTCTCAAATCAGAGAACACCTCATAGGTTTTTTTATGTTTACGTGCGATGCCGTCCTCCTAACGAATGTCGACTTAGACGTAAGGACATCAGTCATCAAACAACCGTTACCGCTAACATGTATAACTTATACTGCCTAACTACATGTAGGTACTTTAAGACAGGTATACTGTTTCGTTATAAGATAGGTCGACGTTATTAATGTATCCAACTAATAAATGTGCTTTTAGTACGTAAAGCCCAAGGTAAAAAGGTAAGGCACATGGCATAAAACATCAGAATTGTTATTAGAATAGTTAATTAACAACACGATGCTACTTTCAATTAAAAAAAAACACCACAGCTATACTTGTATAGACTCTTGATCTTTCATATTGCCATACCGTCTTCAACATCGAGGATGCTCAGGAGCTCATTGGTACTATATTCTTACAAGGCTTCTTTACTTATGCCGAGAACATACCTTCCTATGTAATCTCTTTCAATTCAGAGTGGTAAAGTCGAGACCATTCTTTACAAATATTGGAAGAACCAATCTATCCTCTAGGACGACGTCAATATGCAAAGTAGAACAGGAGACCGGAGTTAATTCCAACCGGTGTTACGTGAGATGAGACGTTGCATCTGCCCAGCAGAAAGCACCTCAACCGATGCCAGATTCCACTGGCTTTTGACAATGGCACCTTTGCCTGCTACCGGATTGAGGTTCATTCACCCGTAATCTGCCGATGGCTTGCTTAGTCCTTCTATCCCTAACCTTACTACTTGGGTAGTTGCAGTAGATCCGGCAGTTGGGACTTGGATATATTGAACTATTCCTAAGTACCTCTAGATACGTAGCTAATAAAGAAAGATTGTATACCTAGTCTATACATCCCGTCAACTTGTTATAGATTTAAAAGTTAGATTAAACTTTGGGATTGTTGAAGAAAGGCAGATTCGTGAGAGGTTCGATTGGGGAATCGATTTCAACTGCCTACACCTATATAAATAAGTCAAGAGGGATCTAGACCTCGAAGCCTGTCGGTTTGATAATGGTTACCTAAGACATAAAGTGTAGAATTAATGTAGGGGCCAAACCTAACCTGAAAAAGATGACCATTCCCTCGTCGAATTCCTAGAGGTACTCATATAGGAGGTATGGACCTAATGTATAAGAAACCCTGATTGGCTCGTGCCGTTCTAGTTGGCTTAAAAGGGCAATAATCAATTAGATATTAGTAGCGTGATAACTACCTAAGGTAGGTACCTAGGTACTTACATCATATCTAGAGGTCTTATTAAGAGTAAAAGAAGCTTATTAAAAAGGGGGTTTATTGAAAGTGGGAAAGTCATGACTCAGATCATAATCGAGATCTGAGCTCGGACGAGATCGTAAGAGATCTAGACCCAATCTCATGCTCATGCTGTAAACTGCCAGCTCATGGATTTTGATCCCACATATCGGACCCGAAATCAACAGCAAAGGAAAAGGGGAGAGGAAGAAAAAAGGCATTTCCATCGAGACGCAATTAGGTCAGGAATGACCCGATCAAAAAGGAATTCCAATGTGTAATATAAACCTCAAACAGCGTGTTCGCAAAATTTGCCAAGGTGGCTGAACATGCAATGGGATAAATTGGCAATATTGGCTGCAGCAAGGCTCGCGTTTACTGTCTGCACTGCGACCCTACCTTTTTCTGCCCGTCCTAGATTTTTAATACCCTTAACACCTTTAACATGAAGCTGTGTTCGTACTAAGCGAACCGACCCGCTCAGGCACCACACACACACACACGCAGAGATATGCCGTATTATTCTTGTAGCCCACCCCCTGCTGCATAGGTAATATGCCGGTACGATTCGCGATAATCGAGCCATCTTTCCTCATACGTGTATATTGAGCTGACGAGGCCTCGTCCGCTTGGGAATATCTACCTAGTGAGACTCGAATGCTGACTGGCGGCAGCGCAGCGCAACGTGTTAGCTAGTTCTAGCGGTTGACTGGTTGGCTAGCTGTAAGAGGCTTTCCTAAATGTCCTATGCCGGTGCTATGGATGCCATTCTAATTACCGGTATTCTCCTCTTGGCATTTTGCCGACCGCTTATATGCATCCGTGGTCGGCCAGGCTCATTATTTCATGCAAGCCACCTCGTATATCTCGCAGGAGCGCAGCTGGTATCATAACAGGTCGAACGACTTTATAAGCGTCGGAGTCGAGGTCTGATGTTAGGCGTAACTTTACCTAGGCGAAGAAAGCTGGCCAAGTTACAACATGAACGTGCGGCTGTACTGCAGCAGGAATGACGGATGAATTGTAACCCCCTTAAGGCCAAAGTAGTGAGTCTCGATCTCGCATATTGACAGAAAAGATTGAAAGGAAGAGGGAGGAAATTTCTTCAAAGCCCCCTAAAATGTCCGGTCCGGGTATTCCGCCAGTCATAGCCTTTCGCTATCATATTAATTTGCTCGTGTTCCTGGCTGCTGTATAACCCATCAGATCGAGAGTGTGGAGAACCCTGTCTTGAACCTGCAGATTCGCAATCTTGGGTTCAGCCAATATTGCCCAAGAACGAAGTTCATTTAGCCATTCCAATGACCTTAACGACCACATCCACATGTAACCTTGGATCTCGTCTACTGGAATGAAAGAAGAAGAAAAATTCTCCTGTCAAGCGAGCATGACCCCTGATCAGACCTGTCAATATAAGTCTATATCATGCTGCCAGACGACTTGAACCTTGGATGATCGTCCAGCGTTGAGCCATCCTGGGACTCAACATGAGGTTAACTAAGGTTATTGGCGGTATCACCGCCGCCTTGCTCGTGAGCGGTGTAGCAGGTGCCAGGCTGCCCGAGAGACAGGATGTTTCCCTTGCTCCTCCTCCGCCCAGCTCACCCCCGGCACCCCCGGCATCACCAAGCTCTTCAAAGTCCTCGAGCGTTCCCAATACTTCAAAGACTACCAAGCTGTCAATCACGGCTTCTGCCACCACTAAGCCCGCAGCTCCGGCTCCAGTTGCGACATGCACGGCGCATTTGCTAGTAGACGATTTCTCTCAGTGGGAGAACGGCGAGAACTCTCTGAAGGGAGCTACAAGCGGTAAGAATATTTTCCCAGCAGGCTCTACAAAGCCGGATACTAAACCCTTGAACAGATGACCAGACTATGAATGCTACTAGTACCGATGGAGGCATTTTAACGTTTACGCCCAATAACATCGATGTATCTTACATCTACGAGCAGTTCGACTGTCTAGACACGGTAGCACGCAAGTACGACTCCGTATCGTTCAACATCAAGGGCCCCGAAGCGGCCTCGGTCTCCATTGAGCTGCAAACCGTCACCGAATGCTCAGAGACCGAGTACCAAAGCCACTACTACACACTAAACGGTTTAAGCGGTTCCCTACAGACGATCAACATTCCATTGAATAATTGGGAGGGAGCTGGCTTAGAAGGAGTTGTCGGTATCCTTTGGTACGGCTTCTCCGCTGGGTTGACCGGTACCGATAACGAATGGCAACTGGATAACCTACAATTCTTGTGCTCTGGTGTTGCGCCGCCCAAGGACCCCGAACCTCCGGCAACTACTACCAAGCCTACTGAGCCCGATCCACCAGTGGTAACCGTTACAACTACCATCTATACAACTCTGCCTGGCGGTGACGTTACGACTACGACGGAGACCACTACAGGAAGCTGGAGCACTCCTGGCAAGCCAACGACCACGAAGCAAACTACTACCACAAAGCGTCCCGGATGGCCTACTACTACTTCCCGTCCCATCTGGCCGACCGAGCCTCCATGGTGGGATGATGACCCATGGGACGACGACCCAGGCTGGGGAGGCTGGCCTGATGACGGTATCGTGCCGCAGCAAGTCAGAGCAACCGCCACCGTCGACCCTACACCGGTACCTTCGATAGTCACAAACGTCCAGCAGATTGTAGCCCGCGACGAAGGTGCAAAGTGCGACCACCTTCTCGTCGACGACTTCATCTCCCAATCTCGACTGACTTTTCTCTTCTACAACGCCTTGCTGAAGTCGAGCAGTGATGATGGAACGATGAAATCCGTCGCGGTTAAGAACAACAGAGTCACTTTCACCCCTCAAGATACCGACTCGTACTGGTACACCCAGCTCGGCTGCATTGATGCGAGACAATACGGAGGAATCTCGCTTCGCATCTCGGCCGCTTCTGGTACGTCTTTCGACGTTCAGCTTTCTTCGACCAAGGGAGCATGCGGCAGCGAGGATACAAATGATGTTGTTTTGACGTCAAAAGAGCTCGGCTGGACGTTTAACGGGAAGGAGCAGCTTTACTCGATCCCCTTCTCTAAGTTCAAGGGGCTTGACCTGACCAAGTTCGAAACGATCTTCATCTCCAATTTGAAGAAGCCTGTTACCTTTGGGCCCATAGCCTTGTACTGTGGAAACGAGGTCGTCGAATACATCCCCCCCGCGGTTATCGAGCCGTCTGGTCCGACCGAGACGGTACCAGCGCCCCCGAGCAAGGCTACGAACCTCGTGATCGACAAGTTTGCTAACTCGGAGACCAACGCCTTGGGGCAATGGCACGGAGCAGACGAGGGGATTACATTGACCTTCAAGAAGAACACAATGACGCTGAAGACTAACGACTCGGACCTGATGTGGGTTACCCAAGTCTCCGATACCTGCAGGGACCTCACCGAGTTCGACGGGTCTTACCTCCACGTCGCTTACACCGGAAGCAACCTGTTCACCGTCGCCCTGCAGCAGCACAACGAGAAGTGCAACAACGACATCTACCCCTACCCCGAGACCTGGGACTCCCTCGAGGCCTCGCGGTACAGCACCGAGACGGACATCTGGATCCCGCTGAACCACTTCAACGTGGAGCGCAAGCGGGCCATCGGGTTCGCGTTCAAGGGGTTCTACAGCGCCACGCCCACCGTCTTCTCCAAGATCGAGATCGTCAGCGAGATCCCCAAGTCGTTCCAGGTCCCGGAGAAGCTGCCGTCGGGCCAGTTCATCTTCGCCTGCAAGCGGCCCAACTCCTTCGCCTTCGCCATCGACGACGGGGACCCCGTCTTCGCCCAGCAGGTCATGAAGACGATCGACGACGCCGGCATCACCGTCACCTTCTTCACGGTCGGCGCGCCGCTGCGGGACCCCACCACGAACCTCAGCGCCATCTACAACGAGATGGCGGCCAAGGGCCACCAGATCGCGCTGCACAGCTACACGCACCCGCCCCTGGAGGGCCTGCCGGACGACGCCTCCATCGACTGGGAGTACTCGAACGACATCGAGGCGGTCAAGGAGACCTTCGACGGGCTGACGCCGCGGTACTTCCGGCCGCCGTTCGGGACGGAAGGCGCGCGGATGCGGCAGCGGCTCGCGGCGCTGATCGAGGACCCGTACATCGTGCAGTGGAGCGTGGACGTGGAGGACTGGCTGTGGGCGGAGTCGGACACGCCGGAGAAGCAGCTGGAGGCGTTCAAGCGGGACGTCGCGGCCGGCGGCAACATCGTCGTCATGCACTACCTATATAACAGCACCGTCAGCTACCTCAAGGAGTTCATCGACATCGCCAAGGCCACCGGGAAGCAGCTCATGCGCGTCGACCAGTGCATGATGGACCCGAACGCGCCGCCGCTGCCGGGTGAGAAGAAATAATAAAAGCCAGGGAGGGGCTAGGTTGGGGTTGGAATAGGGGTTCAGGGGTATTGTATGTACCTACCTACCTGAGGTTAGGTACCTATGTATGATGTATATAAAAATTGACTTGGCTTGATTAATTGTACATTCCCTTGCTAGTGCTTAATTTAAAAAACAAAACGCCATTGGTTTTGATTGATATATTCTATCGTATAAGAGCTGAGCTGTGAATGTTGTGATTCGACGTGTATGTACGGCCCTTAGTAATCGCCCTGGTATATCACGATCCCATGGTGGAGGCCATCACCAACTAATCCGCCTTCGGGAATATGTTCATATGGTGAAATATTATTTACATGATGGGCTTATATGTAGTAATTATATAGAAGGTACCTATCTTAGGTAGACATATACCTTGGTATCTTTGCAAGCATTTAGACTCCTTTCGACTTTGTACGTATCTCCCATTAAACAGCATCGCGTGAAGTAATCAACAAGTTGCGTGCTTACATCTTGTACTTGAACCTGGGCAGATCTACACGCAACCATTAGCATGCATGTACTATAATCCTTGAGGAGGGTATGTCGCCATCGCACTCTACATCCAATAGCAAGCTGTTGATTAATCAGTCCTATTTCATCGTAGCGGTATATATGAGCATTGTCACAAGATAGAATTAGCTTCGTTGTTCCTGAAGGAGCTATCCCCCGAGGATCCAAACAGGGGTCAGTAAACTGAACCATGGAAGCGAAATCTCGCTACCAGCCGTTCTTGCTCAGATCTGTTCAGGAAGCGGCTTAAATGGCTAGTTTTTGTCATTGCTATTCAACACTGCCTTTTGATACGTCGGATTATTACCCTAGGGCTACAGCTATTCAGGGTAGCTTAAGTAAATATAAAGATACATATTCTTTACTGCAGATGCCACAGCGCTCGCCAACCTTTTCTCGTTAAACTTCGAACGTAGAATACCATTTCAGTAAACCCAAGACATTTTCTTTTTTAATATAATTATCTATAACCATGCCTCTCCCTTCCGACGAAAAGGTCGTTCAGACCAGTAATGCCATAGTTAGCACACTCCATGATATCTTCGGGCCACACCCTGGATTCCGACCTGGCATGTTGCCATCGCATATTCCTCGCACGGTAATATAAGACTTACTAACGTTGTTCCTAGCACACGCAAAAGGAGTCTTACTAAACGGCACCTTCACCCCCACCGAGGAAGCCAAAGCTCTCTCGAAAGCACCTCACTTCAACAACCCCTCGACCCCCATCATAGCACGCTTCTCCAGCTCCACCGGGATCCCAGAACTGCCGGACACGGATCCCAACGGCAACCCTCGCGGCTTCGCCATCCGCTTCCTGCTAGCCGAGACCCCCCGCCGCGTGCACACGGACATCATCACGCACTCGGTCGACGGCTTCCCCGGCTCCAACGGGCAGGACGCGCTGGACTTCTTCACCGCGGTGAGGGACGGTTCCCTCGAGACCTACCTAGCCTCGCACCCCCAAGCCCGGGCCTTCGTCGACCTCCCGAAGCCCACGCCCGTAAGCTTCGGCAGGGAGAAGTACTTCGGCGTGAACGCGTTCAAGTTCGTCTCCGCCGGCGGGAAGGAGACGTATATCCGGTACCGCGTTGTCCCGGCCTCCTCTGCCGGCGGGGAAGCATACCTCGACGAAGCCGCGCTCAAGGACAAAAGCCCGACGTTCCTATACGACGACGTCCCGGAGCTGCTCGAGTCCGGACCCATCATGTTCAAGCTGAATGCGCAGATCGCGGAGGACGGGGACGTGACTGATGATAACACCGCCAAGTGGCCGGAAGACCGACGGGTCGTCGAGCTCGGCACGATCAAGTTGGAGTCCGTCGCAGATGACCAGGCCGCGCAGCAGAAGCAGATCATCTTCGACCCTATCCCGAGGGTCGACGGGGTCGAAGCATCGGCAGATCCGTTGTTGGAGGTTCGCGCTGGGATTTATCTGATAAGTGGTCGTGAGAGGCGTGCTGCGTGAAGATCCAAATAACCTGCCTGTGTCTTTATAGCTAACCTGTGTTACCCGTAACCTCAGACAGTAAGCTTACATTTCTTCGCGGAAAGACAAAACTTGTTCCCTTACCTTTTCATTTTGATCCGTGACAATGTTAATTGCCGAACAGGAATAGCCACCCCAGGTACCTGGATATGTAGTCCGAGAGAATCATCATATTACATCTATGCTCCGTCTATGATAGCACTATTCCATACTACCATGTGAATATGATAATCCTGCCTGAATGCGGCGTACACTCTCGTATCCTTTCGCTAATAAGCCTAGGCGATGAAAGATTCCATACATGCATTAGGTACATACTCGAGCCCGTTCCAGGTAAATCAACTCAATGGTATTGCGCCTTTCCAGTATAATCATGCGTCTAGAAAAAATACGCTCCAATGTGGCATGTCTCATATATACCTACAAATCCGTTATAAACAGTCGACGAGCATAATTATCGCCTGGCTACGATATGGCAGCATTACGGCTCTGCCCTAGCTCTCCCCGCCAGTAAGATCATATTTCGTAAGGTAAAGCTGGCGCCTTAAAAATCAAGTGCGGTTTCCGCTTGGCTAGATCGAGAATCGTTTCAGCGAATACGCCATTTGCCCCTATAGTTATGTTAGCAGACCTTACGACAACATAGTCTTCGGTATACGAGGGGTATTTTTGAAAAGCTTACAAGCAAACCAGCTTCCTAATAATTTTAGTTAGTAATGTATTCCAAAAGAATGGTACGCAGGAACTCACTTGTATAAGACGAGATAAAATTGACATCGACACTTTCATGGATTAGACCAAGTTTTCCCGATTTGAGAACCAAATCCAAGCATTCCGATATTTCTTCGTCGTCGTCAGACGTTTGGGCCTGGATGAGAAGACTCATTGGCCAAGCATTTGACAAGCCAATATGAGGACCTGCTGGATGTCAGTATGATGCTGAATATGGTTGGTTAGAAAAACTACTAGCCTCCAATGCCTTTGAACTCTCTTCCAGCGAGATAATAAGGGTTCGATCCTTTAGCAAGTAGCATACGTCGCGTATTTTGGTAAGTTTCGTCGCTTGCCTTCACAAAACCCATCAGAGGCAAAGCTAAGAGAGACGGGTAATTCGCGTCGTCCATTAGGATAGATGAGCCGTATCCGTCCACCTCGTATGCAAAGACCTCACCAAAATCCTTATGTTGCACGGTTCCGTGATCCCAGACTCCATCGTTGATAGTTTGACTCCACGTTTCAACAGTCTGCGCCAGAACGTTCTTGCCCACACTCTTAAGGACATTGGCAGTCCGTTTCAGTTCGACAGCTATCATTGCATTTGCGGGAATAAAAAAGCCCAATATGGTAGCATCGTCGCTTGGTCGAAACGCAGATCGTATAAGTCCGGTTCCATTGTTTAGAGGGTTTCCCACACCCTTGAGGCTCAGTGTCTCGGTCCCCGTGTTGGTATTACGGTTGAAGGTGTACTCATTACGGCGATATTGGCCTGTCTCGGAATCAAACGTCGGCTTTGATTGCTGCTCAAGGACGTTTAATAAAGTTTCCAACGCCAAGTACCAACGCGCCGTCAGATATTCGGTAGATCCCGTATGGTCATTGAAATCGTTGGAGAGGGCGAGAAAATGCGCGAGCGAGTCTAGTTCGTACTTGCACTCAAAGACAAACGAAGGTTCATACGCAGGATGTACAATGTCGTCTTGGCCATTATGCGACACGGGCAACCCGCTGATAGGCGGTGGCTGAAAGGCATTACAATATGGCGATTCTATGACATACTCGGATTGTGTATTGATTGCGCCTAAGATCAAGTCGTATATAGCCGGGTCCTTCTTCGCCAAGGGTTGATACGGGGAGAGTTGGTTGGTCGAATCTCTGAGCCATTCGGCAATGATATCTCCCGTGATGACGAAAGAATGCGGCCCTTCCCACTTTCCTTCATCATAGGAACCTCTCCAAGATTTCTTCTTGTTATCGTTACCTTTTGTGTGGAACTTGACGGTGGTATCTGTCGTGGACTGCGATAATTGTCTCTCGGTCAGTTGTATCAGTTCATCGGTTGCAGAGTCGTACAGGTACGACAATAGGATGATTATAAGTCAGACTAACAGGAAAGGCATTCTCGAATAGACGTGCTAGATCGGGATCTTTCATACGAGAAGTTACATCTTTTATGACTTGCTCAATAGCATCCGACTGAAAGGTGCGACATCGAGGGTCAGGTCTTTGGAAAGGTAGCTGGAGGGGACCATCGCTTAGAGGACGATGCGGATATGCCGAGTACTGTGTGTAATCGGGACAAGCTTCTTCATAATCGAATGTGTCTAAAGGGAGCTGTTCTTGACCGTAGGGTTGGCCATGGCTCGAAGCCAACGCAAAGGTCGAATATAAGGTCGCCAGCAACAAGCTTGCGCCTATTGAACCTATTGATCCCATTAAACCCATAGAACCAGTCATTAGTGTGGTGCGAGCTGCAACAGCTCTATACAAGTCATGAGGCGTTCATACGTTCATATGTTCATATGGAAAAAGGGAAGATGTAGGAGGTAGTTAGGTTGAACTAAGAAATTTATACGGAATGGGCGACTTTTTGAAATACCTAACGACGGGGACTTTAGAAGTCGGGTCGGAAACAAGTGCCGCTTTCTGCAGGGTCCTGCGGCGTTCCCTTACTAGGTACCTACCTTGGGTACCTAAGGTATTGTATTGTACCTAACAAAAAGAGACGTGCTGTCACTGATAGTTGTCCCATTGACTAAAACTTTAGTGGATAAAAGACCCCCGCAGGACCGCCAAGGTATTGTACGGAACTGGAAGCTCCCGTCGACCTTTCCACCTTCTGAACCTTCACCTTCCGACCCCGCTAACGTCATATTAAGCTCAATTAAAATAATTAGTAGTGTCTTATCAATTATCTTATCATCCTATCGCATCTCTTCTATACCTATTCTATACCTAGACCAGGTAATCAATTTTCTCAAGAGCTTTCTCAACTAATCGCGGCCTCAGATGTCCGCAGCAGAAACCATCACGTTTTTCCCCCCAACCTTGGTTCCTTAACTTTTTTCCCATTGAGTCACTGCGATGGCTCACGATGTTTCAATAATTACCTCATCGCGTCCTCCTTAACCGTCGCTACCCATATCTTCAACTAAAAATATCTTATTCGCTATGTTGGCTCTCCCGGTACGCGGCCTTATGGGCTCGCGTGTGTTCAACCGATCCGCCATCCGAACCATGGCCACGGCGCGGCGTCAAGCTTTCGAGACTATCCCATCTTCTCCAATTCGAGTTATGCGTACAGTTGACGCGGTCAGGAGATGGAGGAAACCCCAGTACCTCGACCACAGAATTGTTTCACTAGTACCTACAATGGGAGCTCTACACGAAGGTCATCTTGCTCTTATACGTAGCGCAGCCCGCGAAAGTCACCACGTCGTCGTCAGTATATACGTAAACCCGGCCCAGTTCGGTATCAAGGAGGACCTAGCTTCTTACCCCGTGACCTGGGAGTCGGATTGTAAAATCCTCGCCGAATTGGACCGTGAATTGGCCGACGACGGTGGGAATCTAGGTCGCATCAGCGCTGTTTTTGCACCAACTACTCCTGAGATGTATCCCTCGGGCTTTCCAGGCCAAGAAGTGAACTCGAAAGGGAGTTTTGTCGTCATAACGCCAGTAAGCGAGATTCTCGAGGGCCGCACACGACCAACTTTCTTCAGGGGTGTCGCCACCGTCTGCATGAAACTCTTTAACATCGTACAGCCCGAAAAGGTGTACTTTGGCCAAAAGGATGTCCAGCAGACCGCAGTGATCAAAAAAATGGTGAAAGATTTTATGGTGCCAACAGAAGTTGTTATTGGTCCTACTGTCCGGGAGTCCGACGGGCTTGCCCTAAGCTCTAGAAACGTTTACCTAGGCGAGAGACGACGTAAAATCGCCCCCGTGCTGTACCGTGCTTTGAAGGCTGCTGAGCAGCAGTACTTGAATGGAGCTCTGGATCGAAAGCAGCTCATGGACGCTGCTGATCATGTCATTACAACCGTTTTAAACGAGCAATTGGCGTTGCCACCCGAGAAGAGGGCGATGTTCGAGGTGGACTATCTCTCATTAGCAGATCCCGAATCCATGGAAGAATTGACTAAAATCGACCCAAAGAAGGGTGGTATACTGAGCGGTGCAATAAAGATGCTGCCGGTCGAATCACCACAACCAGGCGAAGATCTAGGGCATAGTGGAGGACCGGCAGTTCGTCTCATAGACAACATCATTTTGAAACCATCGACGGAAATCTAGAGTACTTCTTTTTTTTAATATACCCAGGCAGTCCAGGTCCATTAATGAACAAACAGCCCGCGTTAGAAAGTCCGAACCTCGATCGTTTGTCCCGTTCTCAAATAGCTGCAGCTATTTCTTAAGAGACTAGTTCCATTCAACTCTGCTATTACTGTTACTTTTTTTTCGTATTTTCTTCTTACTAACCTTTAATACTATTCGCCTATCCTGGCGCATTCATTAGAGGCAGGCAATTTGAATTTCCAAGGTTCAAGCGTGTCAAACTAAATAATGGGCAATTATTAACTTCAATACTTTTATAGCCTTCCAAGCTCTTGAATACCTACCTGTAACTATACTTTCTACTAAAAATCATTGCAGCAGAACACAAGTTGAAAGTTAAACATACCTGGCTGGGATTCCGTTGTAACCAGCGCATAGCTTCTCCACGTAAAGAGTTAAGTACTATAATACCACAGTAAGGGGAAGAGTTAGGTTAAAAAAAAGTTACCAATTTCCCGTCCCCCGTCCCCTGTCCCCGCAGAAAGAAGAAAAAAAAGGTTAGGCGATTCCCGTCCGGTCTTTTTAAATGGTTCGGACTTTCATAACTTGTTTCTCCCCCCTCCCCCCTATTATAACGTTGGAGATCTCCTAACTTGACCTCCAACTTATAACCGTAACTTCGTTCCAAATAACACACGAACAGACCTTTTTTTCAACTTATTAATAAAAAAGCGGGTTCAATTCATCGGTTCTCCCCCTGTCGATCGTTTTATTTTCATCTCACAGATAAACTAAACTTATATACTACGAGAAAAAAAGAACACGCGAGCGTAAACTTTCCAGATGCCGAACACGACGGCTATCTCCGCTCCGGGCAAGGTCCTCCTGGCCGGAGGCTTCTTAGTCCTAGACCGCCAGCACACAGGACTCGTATTTGGCTTGAGCGCCCGTATCAATGTCATTGCTCGGGAGATTGAGACCAGCAAAGGTGTTCAGCTCAGCGAGATCATTGTCGAGAGTCCTCAGTTCCTCGAGGCGCAATGGCGCTACGGGTACCATTTGGCCCCTGAGGATGGCGGTATCAAGCTAACTCAGCTGCAAGTGTAAGTCCTATCTCTTTCCCCAACCGCCTCTTTTTCCTCGACACTTCTATTCTATATATAACAATGCTGCGTTCGTGTTGGAATTATCCACTTTCATGTTTATATCACCATCCTAGTCTTATATTTACCTCATCATACAATAACCGTATACTAAGTACAAGTTAATCGAGCAGCGGGTCGGATATAATCCCCAATCACTTTGTCGAGGTTACGCTAGCCTATGCTCTCACTTATATTATCACGACTGGTCATGCCGGGTCCTTTAACCCTGTACAATTAACAATTCTCGCTGATAACGACTACTACTCACAATCTCATTCGCACTATCAGCACCTCCACTCGGGCCCGGCAGGCCGATTCGCCAAGTTTCCTACTAAGCTTAAGGATGCTCACAAGACCGGCCTCGGGTCATCCGCGGCCCTCGTCACTGCGCTCACGGCCGCCTTACTAACGCATTACCTTCCTCAATCCGTCTTCGACCTAAACTCGGCGGAAGGCAAGCGTACGCTGCACAACTTAGCCCAAGCCGCGCACTCCGCCGCCCAGGGAAAAATCGGCTCGGGCTTCGACGTCGCGGCCGCCGTCTACGGCAGCTGCGTATACCGTCGCTTCTCGCCCTCCCTCCTGCGCGACGTCCCCGACATCGGCGCGCCAGGCTTCGCCCCCGCACTCGCGGCGTGCGTGGCGCGCGAGTGGGACGCCGAGTTCCGCAAGGAAGACGCGCGCATGCCCCCGGGCGTCGCGCTGCGCATGTGCGACGTGGACTGCGGCAGCCAGACCGTCGGCCTGGTCAAGCAGGTCCTCAAGTGGCGCGAGCAGACGGACCCGTCCGGGGCCCAGGCGCTGTGGGCCAACCTGCAGGCGCGCAACGAGGCGCTCGGGGCGGCGCTCAGCAGCGACCGTAAGGACGCGATCCGGGGCGCGGTGGAGCAGGTCAGGGCGCTGGTGCGCGAGATGAGCGCGGCGAGCGGCGCGGCGATCGAGCCGCAGAGCCAGACGGCGCTGCTGGACGGGCTGGCGGGCGTCAAGGGCGTGTACGAGGGGGTGGCGCCGGGGGCGGGCGGGTACGACGCGCTGGCGCTGCTGGTCAGGGACGACGCGGAGACGGAGGGGAGGATCAAGGAGTTTTTGCAGAAGTGGAGCGAGGAGAAGGATGTCCAGGTGAGGCTGCTGGGGGTTAAGGGGGAGATGGAGGGCGTGAGGAGGGAGGGGTTGGAGCAGTATGGTGGGTGGTTGGGACTTGTTTGATGATTTGAAGATATGAGAGACAGAGAGACAGCGAGAGGGGGAGAGAGAGAGCAGGGAAAGAGGTTAATGGCGTATAGTGATTAGGAGAGGATAATAATAAGGAAGGAAAAAAAAAAGAGATAATGAGAGAGGTTTAGAGATGATATGATGGGATTTAGAAACGGTGGAAGGAAGCCTCGGAGATTGAAAGTAATAGATGCGTTGTCTCAGTTTAAAATCGTTAACTATAGAATAAAACAGGTACCTGTTATGCGAGTCCTAGGTGAGTTCTGATATCGTATTAGCTTACCTACCTACCTAAACACTAATATGTACATGTTGACGTATACATATTTCCGATCTGCTTCCGAGAAGTAATACTTATGTGATAAGTCTAGTTAGACCGCATGAAGTACGGTTTACTTGTAATACGACTACAAATGTTCCTCCCGTCGCGCCAAAGACTGCCGGTGTGGTGATGCGGGTGACATCTAGGATGTGTGTCTTCGGCGAGACGACGCGAGGCCGATTGTTCGAGTCCCACACGGGATTCACATAGGCCTCGAACCTTTTTTTTTCTCTCTTTTTCTTCTTCCCCCTTGCCTCTCCTCCACTTATAAGGAGGAATGGAAGGGGCTACGAAGACTCGTAGCTGATGCTTCTGATACAACTAGGTGAATGGACTGTTTAGGAGACGACGTTAAAACGATCTTAACCGCAAGAGCCTCTTTTATAATTCCTACCAGGCCCTTGTGTGTTTACAGTTAGATCCATTAACCTGATGCCCTGCGTATTTGTCCTCACATGAATCTAGCAGTACGAGTTGGCAATATATATCCGGTATCACAGCATCTCGAGTTCGGTAGACCTAACGGTAAGAAGCTGCTGTGCTTGAGTTACGAGGCGAGGCGAGCCAAGTCGAGTCACCCTCTGTGTGCCGTCCTACAGAACCTAGCGTCGAACAAATTTCCTGTCAAGGGTATGTAGCCCCTGGCACACGCTCTACGCTCTACGCTGCGTTGTTCATAGGTCGGTTCACCGAGGAAACCTCCTTCGGTCTCGCAGAATTTCATATATTCATGTTACGTATTGGGCATGCCAGTGCATCAACGAGAACAACGACAGTAGTAACATTTTCCTCTCCAACGCCACCTGCCGAAAGACCCGCCCCCTAAATTTAACCGCCGCCGATGATGATGATGATGATGCAGGGGAATCGATAAATCAGCCAGTGAATTAATATCCGTCTCCTTTCCCAGAAGCCTGACGCCTAGATCGATGATGACGAATGGAATTGCTTATGAGAAAAGAACAGGAACAAAAATAGGAAAAAAAAAAGAAGATAGAAGCAAAATAAATGGAAAAGGCAGAAAGTCTAATGCAGCACACTTGGTATCCTACACGCCCCAAGCCCCCTGTACCAGGTATGTTGCCGTGCTCCGTTGTTCGTGAAATTCGTTCGTCGGGTGAGTAACTCGCCTGTTGCTATCTGTGATATATGTCGAGAAAGCTAAGGAGTCCCGCGTGTGGGTGGTAGTATTGAAGAGCTCCGTTTGCTAAGGTGACCTTTATATAAGCCAACTTATATAAGCATTTGTGCTCTTCTTACTGCGGGGGGCGAATGGTAAACTCCATAGCGAAAACCTGATGATGACTGTTTCCTACATTTCCAAAAGGTGACTTTGTGGTGTGGGGAAGAGAAGAGATTCTTCTGCTTAGGGATCTCTAAATGAGGTTCTCAACAGGCGAGATAGGTGTACTTGGGGTAACCTAGAGAAATCATTAGTCACTACGCTCCGATACAAAAACCACATCGGGACCAAGTAGAGCTCTCCAACTCACCTTCAGCGTAGGCGGCACGGGATGCAGGGAGGATGGCGGAGCCGGAGCTTTGCGCGGAGTGCCGATGGAAGACGGATCGGCGGCTGGAAAGCGGGATGCGGCTGCTTGCTCCTTCAGAATAGCGATCCTACATGTTTCCAAAAATACATTAGCCAAGGCTTTTGGGCTTTTTCGTAGCTTACCCGGTAGGATTGTGCCGATGTAAGAAGAAAAAGGCCTCCCCTTCCCCATAGCTGATTGGGTATTATATTGACGGAACGGGGAAAAGAGAGGAAGGACAAAAAGAGAAAAAGAAGAGAAAGAGAAGGAAGAGCTTACTCATCTTCTGACACACCCGGTAATGAGAGCGTCTCGTGCTTGAAGTTGAAAGGCGCCGACTGTAAGAATGACCATGTTAGTAAATATTAATAACGATGATGATGAAAAGGTCAAAGTATTATTATTATTAGAATGGACCTAAATATGAGGCGTTTCGGATGCCCAGAATAGGAAAACCCACGGTATATGACAGGGTAGATCAGATGAGATCAGATCAGATGAGATAGACGAGATAGACAAGATAGACGAGAAAAGACAAAGAACCGAACTTACAATCTGGAGAGCCGGCTTTTCGGGAACCGACTTAGAAGATTTGCCGCCGATAAGCTTCTGCAGTCTTGCCATAAAGGCGTAAAAACCACCGATGCAGCTCGCCATTGTTTCAGTTTCTATTTTTTTTTCTTTACTTTGTTGGACGGTAGTATAGAGGTTGTTGGTATTTCCAAGGAATTCTTGTTTTATATATCCCGACAACGAAATAAACAAGATAAGACAAGACAAAATAAGACAGAGAGAGATAGAGAGAGAAATGTTGTGTATGTGTTGTTGCGTGTGCGACGGTAGAAGAAGTTGGCAGCTGGCCTTGCACAAAGGAGTCAGGATGTAAGAAATTGTTGGCAGTCCAGGCGGCAAAAGCTAAATTACCAAAATGGATGGATGCCCTGGCGACGCGACCCAAGGATACGAGATCTATGCCTAGCGACAAGACGTTAGGCTTCCAGGGTAATATAGTGACGGATCCGAGAATTTCGGTAGCGAGAACTCTTTTTTTCTCTTTTGATTTTTATATAGAGAAAAATAGGGTTAAAGCGTTGGGAAGCGATGCGATGCAATGTGATGCGGCAGCAGAGGTCGAGTTTATGTATTGGTTGATTGATTCAGCGATTCCCCCTCAATGCGTGCATACTAGAGATGCAGACACAGACGCAGATACGAAACAAGAACGTAGATGGGTTGTATGTACGTTCCAACGTAGAAGAGTCATGCAAAAGCAACTGGGCGTTGTAGGTGTAAGTGTAAAGTGGTAATTGCAAGTGTGTAAGTGTGTGTGTATAAGTATATGTGTATGTGGGTGTACCAGGTCAGGCACCCAACTCTATTAGAGTAGCCGATGATTGATCAACAATCATGCAAGCAAGCAAGGCAAGGGTGGAAGAGAGCAAGAGGACCAAATGGTAGTTGAATTTTCAAAGAACAAGGAACAGATTAGAGAAGAAAAAAAAAAAAAAAAAAGAGCGGATCCCCTTTGCTAAAAAGGATCAACAAGCGTTGATTCTTTAGGTAGTCGGCGTTATCTTTTTTTTTCTTGAATACCTGCCCTATACGTATGCGGTATGCGGTATGCAGTATATGGTACCTTATGGTATATGGCATATACCTGAGCAAGTATAGGTGTCAGGGTGTATAAATCTTATGCTAGGTACGTAAGGCAGGATGGGTGAATGAATGAATGGCGCGGCGAAGGATGATGACGATTACGAAGAACGATAACACAATCGCCTAGGTCCGAGCGACACAAGTCTTTTCTTCTCTTTTTATTTTCGTTCTTCTTACGAACAAAGCTGAATTTAAAACAAGTGAAAAAAGTTGGTGGTGAGATCGGTGGCTGTAAGTCAGACAAGAGAGCGGGGAGGGAAGCGAAAGCTGAACAGAGAAATGCTGCAAGTCAACCCCCGAATGGACGCAGGACTTTTTACAGGGGAAAAAAAAAAGAGTGTTATGCCAGCTACGGTTTAGCTGAACGAGCTGAGTAGTATACCTGTAATAGTGGTAAGAATTGGTTTGACAGGCGGGCAAGAAAGGAGCGGCGAAAATGCGAGTCTAGCTCTTTAGTCTGGAGAAGCCGAATCTGGTCTTATCAAGCAAGGCGCAATAGCAAGCAAAGTGGTAATAAGAGGTAAGCTTAATTCGAACTAAGGGGAAAGAAACGAATAATAACTGGATATCACAAAGGAACGAACGCTGTGCTGCGTATTGCAGGGGACTCGGGGTTTTTAAAAAAATAAAAATAAAAAAAGACAAGGAGGGACGAACGGCGATAAAAACGAAAGACAAAAAATAAAAAGTTACAAATTCAATAATACCTACATACAACACGAAAAAAAAAAAGCAGTCAGTTTAAAATGATGAATAACAACTAGTAATTATGCAAATAAGTTCGAATTGATAGATATGGAGAAAAATGATAATAGTTAATAGCATCGCATCGCATCGTCAGTCTGGTTCAGTGGTCAGTCAAATTAAAAGTTGGCACGCCCCGGAATGTGGCATTTCTCTAGTGACAAGGGTGTAGGTTGTTCTTTTCCAAAACAGGGGATAGTCCGCCAATGCCAAGCTAGGGGTCCCTCTCAAAGTTACTTTCAAAGTTAAGTGATAGGATTGGACCATGTTTACGATTCGTAGCAGCGATGGAATGGCTCCAGAATGTTTCGAAACACCGGGCTTTTTTTGAATTTTGATACACAGCCCATCAGCGTTCGCATACCTTGCATACCTTGCATAATAATCGACCCCGGTCCGAGGATACGTGAAACAGGGAACATCCAGATTTGCCAAAACGGAATAGCTTCACACTTTCAATTCCCCGTGTGTCCGTTGTGTCCGTTGTGTTGTACTTATGTATCATACAATACATTGTTACATACGTCTAAGCACCCCCAAGGAAAATAAATGGCGTATTCATTCCAGAACGATTCTCTAAACCCCGACTTTTACTACGTTAGGTACCTAGGTACGTAATAATATAACCAATGTATTGAATTGCATTTTCTATTCTATCTTTTTACTTTTATATTTACATTTATATTTAATTTTTTTTTTACTTTGGATAGTCCTTCAGATGGAAGCTCTTTAGCTTCACGAATTGGTCGAACCCGAATCTACTTAGAGTCACGCCCTTACCCGAGTTTTTCCATCCCGTCCACGCCAGATCCTACGGTTAATCATGTTAGTTAGCATGCCCACAGCTGATCAAATTCGCATAAAGAAACTTACAGGGCTGGGGTAGTCTGCACGGTTGACAAAGACGGTTCCCGCCTCAACTTGCTCCGCCAACTCATAGCCCCTGGTCGTATCCTTGGTCCATATACTGGCTGTAAGCCCAAATTGGCTGTCATTCATCAGCGCCACAGCCTCTTCATCCGACTTGACTCTCATGACGGAAATAACTGGTCCGAACGTCTCTTCCGTCATCACTGTCATGCTGTGGTTGACGTCAACGAGGAGAGTGGGCTTCACAAAGTTTCCTTTCTGTGGGAGACTAGAGAACGTGGGGTTCTCCGGTGTTGCATCTTTTGCGCCTTTGCTTAGAGCATCCTGGATATGAGACTCGATAGTCTCTTTAGATTTCTTCGAGATGACCGGTCCAATCTGGGTCTCTTTATCGAGAGGATCACCGACCTTGTAGTCCTTCAGAACCTTTTGCACAGACTCGATGAACGCATTGTAAATCTTCTCGTCGACGTAAACACGTTCGATAGCGCAGCAGCTCTGTCCAGAATTAAAAATCGAGCCATCGACGATCTCAGCAGCTGCCCAGTCTAGATCTACGTCCCCCCTCACGTATGCCGGGTCTTTGCCGCCGAGCTCTAGGCCAACGTTGACGATGCGATCGGCGGCAGCCTTTTGCACCGCCAAGCCTCCTGCAACCGAGCCGGTAAAGCAGATGAGAGGAATCTTGGGATCCCGTACCAAGGTCTCCATGATCATCGGCGACCCGCAGTGGAAATACTGCAAGACACCAGCAGGTAGACCCGCCTCGGCAAAGGCCTTGGCGACCTGCTCTACTATCGTGGGTGTTTGCGGGGAAGGCTTAAGAATGACAGTATTACCAGCAAGTAAAGCCGGGATGAGTGAGTTTACTAGGATCAGGTAAGGGTACTAAGAGAAAAGAAAAATATCAGCTGGATTCTGGATTATATATAGGGAAGTCTGTTCGGATTGTCTCACGTTCCAGGCGAAGATTATAAGGACAGGGCCGACAGGGACCTTCCGAATGAATCGTTTGAAGCCCTTCTCGGGTTCACCATCGGTGTCCTTCAGCGTATCTTCACTGATCTTGACGAGGTAATTTGCGCGTTTAACGGCCGTCGCGACTGATGTAGAGTTAGCCTACATGGCTCCTTAAGAACTACGAACTTTACGAAGGGGCAGGGGAGTAGAATAAGCTTTACTTTCAGCGCCTGTATAAGCGATCGGTCGTCCCATTTGGACAGTAAGTTCTTGGGCGAGGTCGTCCTTTTTCTTCTCCAGTAGCTGCAATGCTTTCTTAACTATGGCCTGGCGATCTTTCAAGGAGGTCTGTCGCCAGCTTTGGAACTTCTCTACAGCAATCTTTGGAATCTCTTCCAACTCAACTGGTGTGACGCCATTGCGAGTCAATATCGGCTCGTTTGTAGTGGGCGAGATGGTTGTAAGTACTTCGACAGACATTGCGCCGGTACGATACGTTATAACAAGAGATGGACTTGGTAGTATGTAATATTTATTAATAGGTAGGTAGGATTGATTATATTATTCTGAACCTAAAGATTGAACAATTACTTGGAGAACAAAACGTCACTGATGGAAAGATAATAGTGGGGGATCAGCAACCCCTCAAAATGCACCGATAACTGAATATAACTCCACTTATGCATTTACAATTCTTGAACTTCTACATAGTAAACTATCGATCTTATCAGGCGGTCTTATCGGGAACTCTCCATTTTATTTTTATTTTCTTTGGATCAACTCAACTCTTTGCTAGCAACCAAACATCAGCTAACAATAAGTCGACCTCCAATTGCCCTCCGAAAACTAGGCTATAGGACTGTACATACAACAGAAGATTAAAAAAATATTTTTCAACAAAACAAGATGCCCCCGGAGAAAAGGAATAAATTCTTGGACGTAGACGAGAGCGAAGACGACGAGAGCCAGGGCTATAATTCCGAGGCCGAAGAGCTTCAAAAAGGTGGTCGGACCGCAAAGCGTCGCAAAATAAATGACGACGACGACGCTTCCAGCGACGACGAAGACGACAATAACGACGACGTCAGTGTGGGAGAGGAGTCCGAACACGAAGATGCCAAAAAGCAAGAAACTTCGCGACGCGACGACATCTCGGATGCGAAAGCAAAAGCAAACGCAAACCGAGACAAGCCGTCCAAGTCCAAGATCGATGCGCTGCTGCCAGAACTACCAGACGTCTCGCGCCCCCTGACGAAGAAGAACCTGGTAGCCACCGACGCGGCGATCAAGCGGTCCGGGCTGGTGTACCTCTCGCGCGTGCCGCCGTTCATGAAGCCCGCGAAGCTGCGGTCGCTGCTGGAGCCGTACGGGAAGATCAACCGGATATTCCTGACGCCGGAGGACCCGCAGGAGCGGGCGCGGCGGGTGCGGCAGGGGGGCAACAAGAAGCACATGTACACGGACGGGTGGGTGGAGTTCGTGCGCAAGGAGGACGCGAAGAAGGCGGTGGACCTGCTGAACGCGCGCACCATCGGCGGCAAGAAGAACTCGTACTACCGCGACGACCTCTGGAGCCTGCTGTACCTCAAGGGCTTCAAGTGGCACAACCTCACCGAGCAGATCAACGCCGAGACCGCCGAGCGCACGAGCCGCATGCGCGCCGAGATCAGCAAGTCCACCAAGGAGAACAAGGAGTTCGTCCGGAACGTCGAGAGGGCCAAGATGCTGGACGGCATGCAGGCGAAGGCGGCGGCGAAGAAGAAGAGGAGTAAGGAAGTGGAAGCGGAAGCGGAAGAGGACGGGAAAGGGAAAGGAGGAGACGGTGCTGGATTTGCTGCGAAGGGTGGTTCGGAGGGTAAGAGCTTGCGGAAGTTCAAGCAAGCGTCCGTGGCTAAAAAAGGGGTGGTGGATAAAGCTCCTGAGGAGGCTAAACGTGTATTGAGCAAACTTTTTTAAATCTGTGAATAATGATACCCGATATTTTACATATTACTGGCATTGAAATGATACGATATGGTTATGGCTATTATGCTATTTGCTGGGATTGACACATGTAAAAAAAACACCACAAAGCTCAGAGCGTACTCACAAATTTGAATGCTAATGCTGGAACCGGATCCGTCTAATTTTAGGTAGGTAGCCGACTTTTAGTAATGAAGAGTAAATACGTCCACTTCTTAGACCAAACGATATATAGGTACTGATTCAACCTACGACTTTAAATAAATTTCGTGGCATCTATCGACCAATCGTACTTTGCAAAATTTTATATAAATCATTAGCCTACCTCATGTAGGTAGGTCTCTAACTACCTCCCACTAGATATAAAGGGGGTCCAACTTGCCCTTTACCTTGGGTTGTCTGCCCTTAGTAGGCTTACAATATGACCTCCATGGCCCGACTCCAGACGCCTACTGCTATTTCGTTTCGTCCGCCCTTTCTCAGGAATCCCCCTCGACATACATGACATGTTTACCTACATCCCGTCATACGACGCCAATAGGGTTTATTTCATTCAACATCAAGCTTCGTTGCATATGCGTGTGCGTACAAGTACCTAGTACACGTCTTTACCTCCTCCCTTCTGAACACTGGCGTGAGAAGGTGAGGACGAACACAAATTAAATCGCAGCTCACCCTAGTCCTTAGACCTCCTCTATAGCGCAGTTGGGATGTAACACATATACGACCTTCTGCGAGGGTGCGGGTGCGGATGCGCCATCTGCGGCAGCGGCCTGGTCGCCATCCTCGGCTAGGCCCTCACCGCGGACCGCCATCAGAATGTTGTCCTATTTTAATTTCGTTAGCATCGAGTCAACTAGCAAAACCATATCGAGAATAGATGTCGAACGTGGAAATGGTGAGGAATAAAAAGACTTACTTTGACCATCTTCTTCAGCACCATCTTCGCGACGCCCATTTCCCGGTGGTAATCCTCCTCACCCTCCAGCTCGCTTTCTTTCTGCTCGAGGTACCATTCTATAAGTGCATCGCCATCTACACCTTCGCCGGACCCGGACACTTCATCCTCGTTCACCCGCGATACGATCAGGTTCACCATGCTGATGTACTTCTCGTACGTGATCGCCGTCTTCTTCTTCGCCGGTGCCGCAGAGCTAGGTTCCCTACTACCTTGTGCATCTGCATTCTCGCCGTCGTTCATGGGCGAGTCACCCTCCTCATCCTGGTCCTGAGCGGCTGCTGAAGAAGCGCGCGTAGCTTGGTCCGCGGCAGCAACAAGCGTTGCCGAGTCCTCGGGTGTCTCGTTTTCGTCTTCATCCATCTCAACATCATCGTGTTCAACCGATATGATACTCTGTCGGAGGAGATTAAATGCCTCATCTACAAAATCGGGTGTAATTTCCTCGATACAGTTCGCTTTAGCGATGGCCTCAGACAACCGAATCAAGGACTCGAGCTGACGGACAGTAATACGGTAGCTGTTCTTGCCGATGCCACCTTGGGCATCATCCGCACGCAGCTCCTTATACTTTTCGACGAGGCGCTCCTTAGCCTCGGGCGTGAACTCGGGTCGGAATGTCCGCGCGAACCGGATATACCTCTGTAAGCATTCGGTGCTGAATTCTGGTTCGATAGCGTCATCACGTAGAGCGTGAATGCCCACAATATGTTCTGCCAAATGACGATCCACGGTCTCGTTGCACTCGTCAAGAATTACGAAGAAGAGATCGAAACGAGACATGATAGGAGCTGACATGTTGATGTTGGCTCGCAACGTAGTCTTGCGGTTATATCGTCCACCAACCGGATTAGCAGCAGCGAGAATAGACGTCCTTGCATTAAGGGTTGCTTGAATACCGGCTTTAGCAATAGAGATTGTTTGCTGTTCCATAGCTTCGTGGATAGCAACTTGATCGGCGATGTCCATCTTGTCGAACTCGTCGATGCAGCAAATACCGTTATCAGCCAGCATGAGAGCACCAGCCTCAATGGTGAATTCGCCCGTCTCTTCATCCTTAACCACTGCAGCTGTAAGACCAGCAGCTGAGGAAGCTTTGCCGGACGTGTAGACTGCACGTGGTGCGAAGGAACAGATATACTTCAAGAATTGAGATTTAGAAGTAGATGGGTCACCAACAATACAGATATTGATATCACCTCGAAGGGCCATTCCTTCAGCTGTTGTCTTGTGGACACCAGACATCAACTGTAGGAGAAGACCTTTCTTGACGATCTCGTGGCCATATACTGTAGGCGCGAGCGACTGGACAAGGCGGTGATAGATATGGTCACTATGGACCATCTCACGGAGCTCGTCGATCTCGCTAGGTGTCATAGAGTTCAACACGGCGGTCTGCGCTTCTTCGACTGTTTCAGCCGTGTCGGCAGATGTCTGGGTTAAAGAGTTAATGATATCGTGGACTTGGCGCGAGGCGGATTGGCCGGGCGTAGACGTATCAGGGGTAACCATATTGGCTAGGAAAGCCAGTCGGTAGGTCAGGTCGCGAACACCTAGGGATTTCAGACCTGAGACTCCACTACCACCGACGTCGTTGCCTCGAGGCGCATTCCGGTCATCTCGAATCGCCGTAGGCCGAACTCCCGGAAGACCTAACTGACTTATATCAGGTACCACGATCAAGGCACCAGTAAAAATACATTTCTCGCCTGCCTTAGCACGATCCACCATTTCGCCTCGTAGAATAACGTCCATCGTCCGCGGCATACTTCCCGTAGGAATTTCCGAACTGTTCTCCTGAATGCGGACCTTCTGCCAATCAACAAAAGTACTTTGTCGGATATCGAGTTGCCAAGCTAGACGGTTTCCGCACTGAATATTAGGACATTGTGTAGGCTCGGTATATCGGAACGTCTGCTCAACATTTGGAACCACTGAACGGCACGTCTCGCAATTGAAGGTTGCAAGGAACAGTTCTGGTCGGACCTCAGAGGTACGTGTGACAGTTCCAGATATAGAAAGGAGCTGGCCAATGTTCTTAGCACGTAAACTTCGGACACGAGAGACGAGAGGGAGATTATAGAATGCGATGGCGAACAGTTTATCGGTTTGTTGGTTCGCTGTCTTGTTGCCCTGCGCGTCGGATTGGCTTCCAGAGCCAATATTGCTTGCGCCCGACGTAGTCTGATTACTGGAAGTCGTAGCTTGTCGATGCTCACGGAAATACTGTGGTTCGTACTTGGCGATCATATTATGGAGGGCGTTGGTGAGGAAGGGGAGGAATCGGTAGTATTGAGTATTGATGGCATTAGCCAGACCGCCATTTTGATAGCTAGCGACGTGATTATAGTTGACGTAAAAAGTCGATAGTTGGTAAATTCTCATTCCGTGGATCTGGGCGACGTAGAATTTGTCTGTAGTAACGGCACTCGACGTCGGAGCACCTGATGATACAGGGTCGTCGACGAATCTAATCCTTCCGTTAACTATACGCGACCTAGTTATATAAACACTAACTATCGCAAAGATAAGACATACTCTTCTATGAAGTTTTCAAAGTGCTCTTGGACAGTAATACCGATCCTATCCTCTACTCGAGGGACAGTAGCAGGATCTCGTTGTCTTGACCGACCGGGAATCTGGTCATCGGCAAAGCCCTCAGCTTCATCGTCGCTAGGAGCGGCTAAGCTTTCGGAGGGAGGCCCTCGAGGTCGTGCCGAGGAGCCTCTGTTGAACTGTCTGGGTCTGGGAGTCGCAGCAGCTCTCGACGGAGCATCAGACATGAGCATTCCGGCGTCACTAGAGGCCGCCATTTTGAAGGTATATGATCCGCACTGAAACTAGGAAATTGTGTGGATTTCGGTGTTTTCGGTGTTGTCGGTGTTGGGGAGGGAGGGGGGATATCGGGATTGGTATTATCAAAATTAAGAGTTGTCCGCCTTGATAGAAAAATTAAAGGAGTAGAGGGGCAGAAAATGGGGACCAAGACGCGTCGCGAATTAGAATTTAGGAGACGCGACTTTGAGGATGAGCCAATTAAATCACGTAGCATTAAAGTGCTTGCAGATGCCAAGCCTTTTCATTATGGCAATAAATCATATGAATAATTTATGCATGTATCTAGTCTAAAACTAGTACAATTAGGTACCTAGTGGAATAACCAAAAAACAGGTAGCAAGAAACTTTTACTCTTATCAACAACCGCAACCTAAAAAAAAAAATACGAAGATGAAGTTCCAAGTTCACATTTAAACCACCTTCTTATTTACGTAACTGCATAATAAATTACAAGTGTACTTTTTCTTTATATAGTATTTGCTTCCAGTTCTTTCTCTAACAACTTCAGGGTGCCATAATCAAATACATTATATCCAAAACCTGGTACGATCTCTTTCAACCCAGCCCAGAACTCATCCCATATATACGCAGTATAATGAGCTCAACTCCGCGGTGACCTTGAAATCATGGCGCAAGAGTTGTCCTCCAATTGGAAGAAGTTACAGGAAAAGATCAAGGCAGAATCTACCACGGCTTCTTCATCCTCAGTGTCAAAAGCCGTAGCTAAAAGGAAAGCTGAGGACGTGCCACCGTCCAAATCTCAGCAAAAACGGCCGAGGTTACAGAAGCCTCCTCATAAGTCTTCTCGTAAGCCCACTCATACACCTCTGCAGAAGAAACCAATGGGCGTCGCCCAGTCTTCTACCATCGCCAAAGGCACACCAACAACTATTACCCCTTCACTCGCTCTCTGGGCCGAAGATAATGATGTCTCGCCAGAAGACTTAGCTGAGGCTTACAACCTTGGTGTCAAAAACAATTCCTCCCTCGTGGCCGCTCAGCCGCCTCGCGTCAACGAAGGGCTAGCGCCTGGAGTTGAGGTGGGCAAGTACATCGCGATAGACTGTGAGATGGTCGGCGTAGGACCCGAAGGGCGGGATTCCGTGCTAGCGCGTGTCAGCGTGGTCGATTTTCATGGTCGGCAGGTATACGACTCATTCGTGCGGCCGCGCGAAACCGTGACCGACTGGAGAACTCACATTACGGGCCTGACACCCCGTATACTATTACCCGTCGCGCGCAGCTTCGACGAGGTGCAGGAAGCTGTCGCGACACTCATGCGCGGCCGCATCGTCGTCGGCCACGATATACGGCACGACTTGGCCGTGCTGCAGCTGAGCCACCCGCCAGGACAGATCCGGGATACGGCGAGGTTCGTCGGGTATAAACAATACGGGCACGGACCTAAGCCGGCCCTCAGAGTATTAGCGCGCGAGGTATTAGGTGTTGAAATACAGACGGGTCACCACTCGAGCATTGAAGACGCGAGAGTTGCCATGCTGCTCTTCCGGAAGCGGAAGTCCGACTTCGACGTCCAGCACGCGGGTAAGTACGGATTACCTGCGGAGAAGACGATAGCGAACGACAAGGTAGGTGTAGATGGCAGGAATGGTGCTGGTGATAAGGGCCAAGAAGCGAAGTCGAAGAAAGGAAAGGGGAAGAAGAAAAAGAAGAAACATTGATAGGGGTACAATAGGAGAAATGAAAAGAACGTGTGCTCTCAAATCGCATTTTATTAGTGTTTCACTCTTTTAACCTATAGTAGTCTCATTAATAACTGCTATCCTCTGATTTTATACTTGTTAGCGTCATTGGCATTCGACGAAGTCATGTTAACATATCTCTCTATATGTATATCCGTCTAGAAAACACAACGCTAATACTCCTTAATCCAAACCTAGATTTAGATCGTATTGTATGATCATGAAACATACCTATCTCACGAACGTCTCAAACAGAAACCCGCCTTCTATACTTTCCTCTGGTCAGCTCACTAATATCATCAAAGAGGAATACCCTCCATTAATTCCATTGTGCCCTCCCTTCCAACCGTAATGATGACATCGCCCAAGCTCTTCGTCACAAACCCGGCTTCGCAATAGGCGAAATAATACTGTCGAAATATCAGCAAATTCTCCCCACATACACACTAGTACGTATTCATAATGATGAAAAGCCCATACCTCCCACTTTCGTCTAAACACATCCACCTCCTGCGCTGTCATATGCGGATGTTCCGCCTTCAAGGCCGGCCGGATCTTAGACTCGAAATTCGAGAGGAAGTTCTCCCTCCAGAGACGCAGTGTCTTGGCGTAGTGGCCTCCGATATTTTCAACCCGCTCCACGATTAGCGTTCCCTTGGACTGCTGTGAGATGCTGTCAAGGAGTTGCATAGTCGACGGGAGATAGCCCCCGGGGAAGATGTGTTTATTTATAACGCTGTTGGGAATGTCAGTAGGCGTTTCCCATGGGGGGAAAGTAGATAGGAATAGTAATCTCACTCTTCGGATTTGGAATAAGCCTCGTGTCTCCCCTCGGGCATCGTGATGCACTGAAACATGGCAATACCGCCCTTCTTCTTCAACAGCCGGTCAATACAGGCGAAGTACGTGCCGATATATCCCATGCCGACGTTTTCTAACATCTCTATCGAAATTATCTTGTCGAAAACAGCCGTGCCGGGCAAGCTACGGTAATCCATCAGTTGCACATCTATCCGGCCCGAGTATCCTGCTTCGTCGATCCGCTGCTCTGCTAGCCTCTTTTGCTCCTTTGATAATGTTAGACTCGTTACCCGGCAGCCCGTCTTTCTGACTGCTTCGAGAGCGAATGACCCCCAGCCCGTACCAATCTCCAGAACATGGTCGGTAGGTTTTATCTTGGTACCATCAATGAACCGCCTCAGTTTAGTCATCTGTGCCTCTTCGAGGGTTTCTTCGGGGTCGTTATGAGTTATCCGTGTCTGCCAGATAGGACACGAATAAGTCATGTCTTTTGAGAGAAAAGCTGCAAACATGTCATTGCTGATATCGTAGTGAGCGGATGCATTCAGGAGCGCATTTGACAGTGTATTTGTCGTTCGAGCAATACTCGATACGGCCCCTGATATCGAGGAGAATATCGTTGTGCCGTTGCTCAGCTGATCCCGGTTTGCAATGAAGAGCTACGATTTTTATTACGTGGGTTAGCGATGATATAATTAAGTTATGGAAGGTAAATGTGCACTACAAACCTGAAAGAAGGCTGTCAAATCGGCACACTCGAATTCACCCAGCATGTATGACTCTGCAAACCCCATATCAGCGAACAGCAGTAGTCTCATCCAAAACGCGCTATCCTTCACCCTGATTTCAACTCGAGGGGTCGCATTTGCTTTCCTGGGTGGGATTCCCCAATTGACAGGCAGAGATTCCTTGGAGGCAGGCCTCTGTCCATACACCATTTCCGTTCCCTCAGGCTCATCGACTAATAGTAGAGTGCCGACCTCAATTTCAGAGAAGACGGAAAGCACAGCAGGTTTGGCTATCGCTAAGGCCGGCCCCCAGGTCAAGCTTCCCAACGTCCCACGGATTAGATCGGCGCCCTGGGTAAGAGGCCGGGCAATAATAGACGGAATTGGAGGAACCATTGTCTTTTAAGATGGATACGAGAAGATGAAAAATTATGCTGGTTATGTCAGTATTATGAAACCAAAAGGAGGCTACTAACGACGATGATGTTCTGGGGAACCAGAACATCAAGAGCCTTGCAGCGAGGCAGCAAGGCGGCTTTATGTACAAGAAGAAAGGCCTGACTCACGAGTGAGTCGGGGAGGGAGTCACGATGATATCTAGCGGAGCGAGATATCTGAGTGACTGAGTGACTCCTCACCGTGACAGTCAATTACTATGGAGATATATATATTGGATGATTTCTAGCGAGAAATTGGACATGTGAGGTTCACGTAGTTGAGCTATAGAAAATTGACAAATCACCCAGATAATATCGAGGTACACAACATAGAGAACTTTTCTTGCTATCATCGGGAAAGACGTGAGAGAAGCTGAAAACAAGGAAAAGCAAAGTGAGACATCGCTCGGGAGGTCTCGACAACCCATACTTAAAAAGCAATAATGTTCACCCAATACCACTCGACCACTACGCGGTGTGCGTCTCCCATTAGTACGCAGAACACGGTCTGTGATATGTCGTATTCTTTACTATTTTGTAGCTATGCTTGTTGTCCCCGAAAATTAGGAGAATCCATGTTTTCCGTCGAGGTTCGATGTGTCGAAGTTTGGACAGGGGTCTTCGCACAAATAAAAGTATGTACAAATCCTCACCAACATGTTTTTGGAAAGAAGTAAGTTTCGGTTTACTACCGGAAGTAGATCATGTGTAAGACCAGCACGCTGAGGACATGTGTAAAAGCCCGGAAGATCGCAAGGGTTGACATTCAAGGCGTCATGCCGCGATCGAGTCATCACAGGTTCATCGAATATCTTGATTATCTTACTGCAGATTTCGAATTTTGTGTGACCAAAGCGACAATTTCCAACGGCAAATATCTAGGTACGAAAATAAAATGTCCTGATAAACATGAAGCCTTACTTCTGGCTGGGGTGGTGCCGAGTGGCGACCACTGACTTATGAGAAATTAGTCGCGCAGAATGTAGTCAGGAATATATTGGCTTCTAGCGATATCGTTATCAATACCTTGAGAAGACGTACTCTTTTTCGGTTATCAAGGGCATCATCACTATTCAGATGAGAACGAAGTAGTTGGCGTCTTATATTCTTTATCTTCTTCCCCCTGAGTATACGTATAAGACGAGACGCTTCTCGAAACGTTGGCAGGGTTTCTACTCTAGATATCGATAGAGAGAATGCTTGACAGCGCCGGTAGGAAAAATAGCTATATTAACGTCGACGAAAGCAGCTAATATGTAAATCAAGAATATCCGATTAACGAGAAAAATGAACTCTCGATTAACTCCTTTTTGAGGCGAAATACGGCTTTGGCAACATGTCGTTGATTGCCCAGAACAAATGGTGGGCCTGACTCAGATGGGTCATGATTTTCTTGATTGGTGCATATTCGAGCTTGCATATATCGAGATACTCCACAAAACGCGAACTTGGTGAACAGCGCGCGCTCCTTAATTGATTTTATGTACGTACCATGCAATCACGACGCGTCGTAAAGCTTTAACACCATATCACGAATAAAACAAGTTACGTTTGTCTACTGTAACCAGCGGAATATATCAAGATGGCGCATCCCGTTCTTAGTGTAGATTCTCGAGAGAATATCCAGAAGAAAGCTCAAGTCCATTTACTACCATGTCGCATACATCACGACGGTAACGTCAACCCAGTCGAAACATACTGGAGCCCTAGTGAGAATGAAGGTACGTCAATAGTCAAATATCTATCGACCCTATATAGTTCTAACTGTAACTACCTAATATAGACAACACAAAGACGGCTTATCTCAGGGGTCGTAAGCTTCAAGGGAAAGCTGTGAAGTTACCAGAAGGTTACTACGGCTCCGTCGCTGAGAAGTCGGCACCGAAGAAGCCTGAACGAAGCCAAGAGGAAATGGTTGAGGATCTTGAAATTATAGAAGACCCGAACGACCAACTGGAAGTGGGCGCAATGCAAGGAAAAGCGACCTTTGACGAATTTGTGGTCTGGAACCACGAGACTCTGGCCAATTCTAGCGAGGATCCGTACTTAAGAGGCATGGAAGAATGGATATCCTTTGCAGGACAGGTTCGTCGAAATATATAGGTGTACCTAGGTACCTAATGAAACGAAAGAAGGAAGCGACTAATTCTTAACTTGCAGATACACTCATATCCTTCAGTGAAGGATTCGAGGAAATAAAAGAAAACATTATTTATATAGCTGCTCTGGGTAACTCGATGATTTACACAATCTCTACCTAGGTAAACTAGGGCATTTGGGATAGGTACTACCCAGGTAGGTAATGTTAGGTACCTGTTATTCGCGGTTATTAAGGTGCGGCGTCAAGGAGTTTGATGGAATTATACATGCATGAATTATTTTAGTAGTAATAGTACAAGAATTTACAAGAATTTACATTGTGACATTCATTACCTAGGTACCTAGACCTACTCCCTGATAGGTACCTGGTATTTTAAAGTTGCAGTTGCATAAGTGCAGGCTGATAAAATGCATGTTTGGTTAATAATGATTGGTCAACTAACACAATCTTGTGTTCTTTAGTTGCCGATTACCGATATCAGCCCGTCAGCTAAACGTTATCAGCGAACTTTAGTTTCCTTGCCCCTCCAAAACTTATTCTTAATCACTTACACCTTTCCTCTTACGAACCGTTCAATCATACAATACAACCTTTTCATCAAAGTTCAACGCAAGAACACCGGATTTCATCATGAGTCCAAGCGCGCTCAGTGGCGAGACCGCCGTTGGTCCTGAGGGACCCCGACAAAGGAGCCGTGCGACCGCCGACACCATACGAGTAGGCTGCATTGCCATGGTCGAGAAGGACGGACAAGCTCGGCGCGCCGAAATCTTAAGCATCAGAGACACCAAAAGCGGTCGCCAATTTTATTGCAACTTTGACAACTTTAACAAGCGATTAGATGAATGGGTGCCTGTTAAGAGGATAGACTTCGATCAGGACGTCGAGTGGCCAAATCCCGACAAGGACAAGCCTAAGGAAGGAAAAGGAAAGAATTCTACCGCGCCCAAGAGGAAGACCGTCGGAAACAAATCCCAAAAGCGACCTGGGAAGAGAGAGCAATCAGTTATGTCCGAAGCTGTTACGCCTATGCCATGGACCGATTTCACCGATAGTCCGTCGCAATCGAAAGCTCCATCGACACCGCGCGATCTCGAATCCAAGGCCGGGGAAACACCGGCACCTAATGGAGATGAAATGGACGTAGATGACGATGAGCCGACGCCCGAAGTTAAAAAAGAGGAGACATTTAGTAGAGAAGCAGAGATAGAAAAGCTGCGGACAGGTGGCTCCATGACACAGAACCCGACGGAACTCGCTCGAATACGAAACATATCCAAGGTTCAATTCGGTCAATGGGTTCTATTCCCGTGGTATTTCTCACCATACCCCGAGTTGTTTACCCAAGAAGATATCATATTCATATGCGAATTCTGTTTGAGTTACTATGGAGACAAAAAGTCATTCGCTCGGCATCGGCATAAGTGTACTCTCCAACACCCTCCCGGAAATGAGATATACCGAGATGATTATGTATCATTCTTCGAGATCGACGGCCGACGACAACGGACATGGTGCCGGAACTTGTGTTTACTGTGCAAGATGTTCCTGGACCATAAGACTCTTTACTACGATGTGGATCCTTTTCTCTTCTACGTCATGACGCAGAAAACCGAAAAGGGCCATCATCTTGTAGGCTTCTTCTCCAAGGAGAAGGAGAGCGCCGATGGATACAACGTCGCTTGTATTCTCACTCTGCCTCAATACCAGCGGAAGGGCTTTGGTAGATTGCTGATCCAGTTTTCCTACGAGCTCTCCAAGATCGAGGGTAAGCTGGGATCCCCCGAAAAGCCGTTGTCCGATCTGGGTCTTCTCAGTTACCGTCAGTACTGGACGGAGAATATTCTAGAACTTCTAATCGAGTGTAATGAGCGGGATGAGAAGTCGAGCATTGAACAGATCTCGACTTCGCTCGCCATGACCACCCAGGACGTAGAGCACACATTGCAGGCGCTCAAGATGCAGGTGTATCATAAGGGAGAACACAAGCTAGTGATTCCGGACGCGCTGATCAAGCAGCGAGAGAAGGCCAAGTCGAAGAAGAAGCGATATATTGCACCGGAGCGTATTCAATGGAAACCGCCCGTGTTTACTGCTTCTTCGCGGACTTGGGGTTGGTAAGGAGTTTGGTTGGTGTGCTTATCTTATAGCTTTATAAAGGGAGCGTGCATTATATTTAGTTACTTGAACAGATACCCCATTCGCGTCGATAGATCGCCATCTTACCTGTCTACTTGTGTTACCGTTACTGTCTATCGCGATGTTCCATTGTTTTCGTTTCCATCACGGCAAAAGCCGTTCTGCCACCACAGAATTCGACGAAGGAAATGGTGTATTTGAATTCGGCCTAGCTAGCTAGTTTTTAAGAGAAGAGAAGAGAAGAGAAGAAAAACAAAAGGAAATGGTATCCGTCCCAAAGACACCCTCGTATTGTAAATAGTAATTTGACCTAGATTAAAGAAATCTTGCAGACGCAATGTGAATAAGAAGAGGTGAGTTAGGAAAAGGAAACCAGTAGAACTAATCAATCTCCCCGTCGACTCTCTTTCCCCCATTACCCCCCGACCCCCATCCTAACCACGTGTTAACTCAGACCAGATGGTCTTAAAACCTTGACTACGTCGTCTGTCCTTCCGCTAACTCAACCCATCATCCCATGAACCAGACGCTCCGAGGAAACTTCCCATCCCATTCTATCTCATTACTACCTAACCTTCTAGCGAGATAGGTAGATAGATAGATAGATAGGTAGATTTGGTAAGGCACCTGGCCCTACCCTAGTAAGGGTAAACGCCATCGTCATCCCCATCCAGCTTGCCCTCCTCGTGCAACTTCTTCAGGGCCTTAGTCGCGCGCTCGGCGGCGTGCTTGACGGCCTGGGGGTCCGGGACAGCAGCAGCAGCAGCAGCAGCAGCAGTCGTGGTAGTAGTAGTGGTGGTGGTGGCGGGCGCATCCGAAGCGGCGGCGGCGTTGTTGTTATCCCAATCCGGCTTGAGGAAGGGGACGTGCGCGTCGTTGGCGAGCAGGATCTGGCGCGCGGACTCGAGGAAGGCGTCGTCGTACACCGGGGAGGCGACGACGATGGCTTTCGGGGGGCTGGGTTTGTGGATGGTGTGGTCGGTGTCGGTGTCGGTGCCGGTGGTGCTGTCGTCGGTGACGCTGGGGGGTGCGGTGGTCCCTTTGATTACGAAGGGGAGGTCGTTGAGGGCTGCGGTGGGGTCGAGGAAGATGTATATTCCTGTTAAGGGGGGTGGTGAGAGGTGGTTAGTTTGGTTTGGTTATTGGGGTGTATAAGGGGATGCATGGTTGAGAAAGGGGAAGGCAAGATATCTAGATAGGTACTGAGGTAGATGATAGGAACGAATAGGGGAACGAGTGACTAGATAAAATAGACGTACCGTCAAAGTCAGGCAGAAGAGCATCGCGGAAAGTGCGGCTCGCTTCCGAGAACTTGCCTAGGATGATCACTGAGATGCCCGGCATGGTTTGTGACGAAATGCCTCGATGTTGGAATTGCTCTAAAGTATAAAATATGATGGTGTAAATATTTGATTCTCCTATCTCTGGGAATACTTCTGCTTGAATGAAAACGAAAGCTATCTCAAGCCACCGGCAGATTGCCCTATTTATAATCTACTATACTCCTAACTCTCGAAGTCGTGATCACGAACACGTCGTCACCCAAGTACAGTATCGCCATATAGAGTCGGAAGACTACCTAGGTACCTAATGTTCCATTCCATCGTTGTCATTCCGAGTAACCACCCTCGCAAACTGTTTCGTTTCTAGTCTTCTTCCATTCTTCTCAACACCACGTTACTTACCGGATCTTACCTTACCTCTTCGTACGCTCGTAAATCTCCCCACACGATACAACGCAGTGAGTGTATCCCCTGAATAGGCAGCCAACCAACTAGCCAGCAAGCCCCTTTCCTCTCCTCTCCTCCCGAGCACGCACGCGATCAAGCGGCAAAATTATCCCCTTTGTCTCGTCTCGAATAAAATTACGGAATCGTCCTACGCTTCCACGGTACCACACCAACGTTCTCGTGTATCTCATAGACGCCTAGGCCCTATTATATACGTAGGTGCCTAAGGCATATGTCGACATTACCTATTCGTACAACGAAGCGTTCGGGAGTCCCGTGGAGGAGAAGGAAAGAAAAAGAAAGAAAAAGAAAAAGAGAAAAACACCTAACCTAAAAAAAAGGCTATCAATCAACCTACCCAGGCCGACGTAGCCTATGTATGTAAGTATCACCGACCTCGTTCCCTTAATCCCCCCAACGCGAACAAAACAAAAACAAAAAACAGAGCAGAACGAGATAACGCCAGACAAGCAAACGCGTTCCCTACCTAGGCGAGGCTGATGACGGCCCCGGCCCGTCGCACGCGAGCGTATGACCGCGGTTCCGACGTCGTGGCACGTCCTCGAGTCCGACTTACGCGGCCTTACGTCTCCGCATGTACACATAACACGCACACAACACGACGCACGAGGAGTTGCAAAAGTTGTCGGACAGAACAGCGACACTAGCGACTAGCGACAGCAAACAGTCCAATCATCTGTACCGGGGGGTGGGGGTGGGGGGGGGCGG